CAGCCGCAATAACTTTACATTTATTACATTAAATCGAAAAAAAAACATATCGATTACGTATATCGCAAGCAGAAAAAGATCTAGAATAAAGAAATTACAGTAACTTCAATAATCGATGGTACACTTTGTTAATATCCTGGTAAAATTCTTCCTATAGCTTTTGAATTCCTTCTGGAGCAAACAGAGAAACTGAATGATTTTGTTTATTTAATAACCAAGGTTGTGTTTGATAAATATATATCTTAAATTCGTAACATCTTTTACTCCACAAGAGTGTATTAACGTTACGATAATAGTAGAAACAACGCAGAATGTATGAATTTAATTGACACAGAACACCATAATAATCGAGATGCAATGAGATTGTAACAAGTCGAGGAAAATCACTCCACCCTATAGACAGTGGCGAGGGTGTGGGTGATGCGAAACGTAGACGTCTAAATTTGACGCGGGCCCGAAGCGAAGAGCTGGGAATTGGGTCAAGCGCTGAGAACTGGGATGTTGGAACGTTCATGGGTTCGCACTCTTCGTGTCCAACGCGAGTCGACGAAATAACAAAGAATAAATTACAATATTACACGGAAAATCTCGTCGTCTAAACCAAGTTCAAAATCAAACTTCAATTCTAAAAACAACCAAAGCTATAATCGTCCAATCCGATCGAGGAATCAAAGCGAGAAGTTAAATTAGTAGGGAACCGTAAATCCAAAAATTTCATTTCAAGGTCTATGCAACTCGAGAGGATTTTCGGCAGTCACGCGATGGAAACTGAACCCACGAAAAATGAAATAAACGGGTTACACGTAGTTCGCTACGTCGAGCAGGTGTGTCAAATTCTTAACCAGGTATTTCCATTGATTGGAAACGAATCGTTAAAAATTATGGATCGAACTGAATGTATTTTTGTCGTTATTACGGAGGAAATTTTCTGAAAGTAACTTTCGTAATCGTTCGTTTTGCTCCTCAGACACACCGAGTCACTGGTGAGCAACGTGTGGCTATTAGCACGCCAACAGGAAATCGTCTCTTGTGCAACGTAGACTGCCCACTGCGTCTCGTTTCTCCACGAAATTGGCAGAACTCATCGATCTCGATCGACCCGCTATTTATCATCGACGAACGAAACGCATTTTGACCAGATACAAGTTAGAGATATTCGATTCAAATACCAAAAGTATGGAATCCAGTGTTCATAACTGATGTAATTTATTATTCTGTTACAAGAAAATAAAAGTTACGGAATCGGTGAATATACATAAATCACTTCCCGTCAGTTTTACCTTCATTAACTCATTGTAGAATAATATTTTGCCATACTTATCATCGTTAGTTCTAGTGTTACTATCTACACCATTGTAGGGACTAATTTTTCGAATGGAAAATCTGTTGCAGGAAAAATATAAATTTTAAATGTTTTAGAATAGGCATTCAGGCAAGAATTACAGCGAGTTCACGTGTGAGGACGCGTCATGGGGGTCTATAAACATCGTGCACGCCACTTTGGCCGTGGCCGAATTGAAAATAAATACACCTCGGGGTCTCTACCTGTATCGCCGGGTCGACCGGTACGCGACAACGAAAATAGATCGTGCATTCAGAGCACCCGGTATATGCGTGCTAGGAGGTCGCAGCGAATGACCGAAGAGTGCCAAATCGAGAAGATCACCTTTCTTCCGTCCTTCTTACGAGAGACGAAGCTTAAACCATTAAACTCCGCCTGATTCCGTTACAGTACACTTTTGTCCCGTTCGAGGATGCCTTGAAGCCAAACTGTCTGCTCAGAACAGTCTGTCTTTAATCATAAATTTTCAACAGAGAATTGAAAATTTTATAGTAGATATCGTGGTAAATCTAGGTTCAAGGAGCTTAATTATAAAAACTGTGTTGTGACTTGAAAATTTCTGTACTCATAGTAATAGTAAACAGTGTCGTCTATCTTTTTCGATTGCTTCTTGCACCTGGCGGTTTAGCAAAAAAGCTGTCTCCTCCGTTCGAAAGCTCGCGAATCGGCTAAATAAGGCGAAGAAACGGGACAGTTGCACAGTTTCCCTGTATTTATCACTCGTCGAAACCAGCTTTCGGTATTTCGGTGTTCCGGTGGCGTCATCGTATCAATCATGTCATCGTATTTTCGTGTTCAGTGACGTAGACATTTAAAGATCACCTGACGTCACCCCGGGGCGTATTTAAACAGATGTATTTGCGCTGGAATCGAGGCTCGCGACCATTAGTCAGTCTCAAATCTCGAGCCCTGCAATGATAAATCCCCCGATAATAGCGAATGATTAATTTCTCGAAACGCTTATACCGATTAACCGTCTGCAATGGCGACGGAAAATATCGAGTAATCCAGAACAATTAAACTAACCATACAATTAAAGAGAGAGAATATTGTAGGAACAGTGAAACTGGTCTAATGGGGATGTGTGAATAGAGAATGATGATGAGATTTTAAAATAGGTCGAGAGATCGAAAATTGTGACTTTCAAAAATTTTCAAAGAAAAAGAAATAATTGCCTTTCGATCAATGTTTCTCAGGTTATATCGGTTAGTTATATTAAGAATCGTGGATTATATACAAGACAGTTTTCTGTCAACAGAACATAAACACAATATTTTTCCGCAATCCCCGTACACGAGCAATGACATTTTCGCGACGAATATACACAGAAATCGCCTTGGAGAAGGCCTCGCCTCAAGGACCAGGAACCATCGAATACTGCCAGTGTCATTTTAGCTTGACGCTCGTGACAATATAGATATGACTCGCGCTGAACCGTCGAGTTTCAGCATAGCTGACCGACGACAGAAAAAAAAGCCCTCGAAGCTCTCCCGCCAGTTCTTGAAATACAAAAATCGCGCTGCTCCGTTTTAAAATAAACGCGCGCGTGGTTGCGTCTTCGCGAGCTTCTGTCACCTTTTTTATTGACATTTCTTTTATTTTGTTAAAAAAAAAGTTTGTTACGTTAATTAATTTGCTGTTAGGATTCTCGGAACAACACGACGTTAATGACTCATTAAAAATGTAAATTTGACAAGTATCTATTACTCAATACGGTAATGGCATGTTTAGACCATAATGTATATAACGAAAATATATGTAAACAGAGTAGAAAAGAGTTTAATTAAATACTGAGTCAGAATCAAATGCTCAATTGTTTACGATTGAATCACATGTCCTGTGATCGATCATCTCGAGAGTAATGTTAGCTTGTTTACAAGCTGAAAGAATCTTTTATATCGGGAAGGTATAAATATTAATTGGCAGGGGCCAAGATTTGTGTAATGTATTACATGTGACCAATACACATGTGTTATGTAAAATTTTTGTATTACGCGCGATTACCTATTTAATTTGTTACTCGTACGTGTTACAGATGATATCAGATAGCAGTTCAGAAAATTAGTGAATTGTCGAATTCAAATTTTGTTGTTTAAAACCCACGAATTGAGTGACGACGTGCCAACAAATATTAATAGACGTTCGAAATCCACGTGTATCCACGTGTATTTCCTCCTTCACTTTCTCTATAGACAAAATTCGTGGAAAACCTGCAACCAATGGACAGGAAGCTATTACGTTTTTCGGATTACCAAATTGGAACTTCGCTCACGAAACTGAATGATCTGTTTTTCGAAAATAAACATTCAATGACTATATTATTATTAGGTTCATTCTGATTCATCCATCATCGTGCTGAAACATTTCGAAATGATTATCCTGATTTAATGTGACGCTAACTGTTAATTAAACTAAAGCTAATTGAATCCAATTTTAAATCGAAAATAATTTATTTAAATTCTCATGTTTACGTTAAATAAACGTAATGACACTAACTTTCACTCGTTCTATATATAGACAAAATTACAACAATAGTGATTGCAATGATAAATTAAAAGAAAATGAAAGAACGTAGAGCACTTGTTATTGACAGTACTAACAATTCCTTTACTTGCAATTACTTCTTTGTATAATTCTACAATAAATGCATTACAAAACATTCTAAATCTTTCAGATACTTCCTGGGTCAACCATATACCCTCCATTGGTAAGAAGGTAACAATCATCCCCTTTCTATCGATAGATGCATGAAAGCAGACAATATTATTACTCAGTTCCAGAAATATCAATATCTATGTTATGCCACTATCGTGACCCCATCATAGGTAAGTATCAATCAAAATTCACAAAAAAAAAAAATTCAAGACCGAAATATCGACCTGAAACTCCTCCAAATTCCCCAAGATCTCGAGTCCATCAATCTCCAAAAAAAAATCTCGCATCCTTGACGACGCCAGGAACAGTTCCGAATTAATATACATCGTTAATGTTCACGATCAAAGTCGAGTCCACAATAATTCTCAAGATCACGAATTACAGTCGAAAAATATCACAACCTTGACCCTGTTATGGACGTATCCAGTCGCAAGACTTAGCCAAGCCGATTAGTCTTCCTCATACTTCTTACTCATCGAATGATCATTCCGTGACCTTGACTCTGACACAGGAATCCACGATCCAATGTTTGCCGAAGCTACTAGACCAAACTTCAACCCGATAACAAGACAGACGTCTATCCTTCTCAGGCATTCTAGACTGAAAAATGGCGGTTCCATTCCTCGAGGAATCGTCCTAGGACTCTATCATAAGCACATCATACATTATAGCTACCAGATCAAAGATCTTCCCTGAATATTCGAAAATCATGGACTTCGATCCCCTTGATCAATCATCCGACAATAAAGCTTTTCCATCGTGTCGTGTTCAACCCGAAAAATCATCCCCAAATAAAATCGAAACCGATCCTCTCGGATGTCTGTCTTCTACTTTTCGCCGTGAAAAAAAGCCACAAGACAATTACGAAAAAAAAAAAATTGCGTGGGCGGCCCCAACGACCGTGAGGACAACGACGAGGTGGAAACAAGTGTCGTCAGGGAAAGGTTGTGCCATAAATGTCGCCGTGGCGAGTCGCGGAAACCCGCCGTCAGGTCGGCGCCACCGTACCGACGCCCGGTATACTAGTCCACATTTTTGGCGGCAGCCGCCCAGTCTAAGGTCCAAACCCCGAACCGAACGGTCGTCCGAAATACTTAGGTAAAAAGGGCTCACCTTCCATCGACCACCGGTCAAAAACCGATCCGTGTTCACTTCCAAAACCGTTCGATTTCGTCTATTTCTTTTTTGTCTTCGTCCGTTCATATTCTTTCTTTTTTTCGAGAATTTCTATTTCTTCTTGGTTCTTTTTTATACTTTTGAAAATTCATCGAAACACCCCGATATATATATATACATATACAAACATTACCTCGGAAGGATTGTGCGGTAACCAGAAGAGGAAACGAAACGATCGAATACGTATACCGGTAAACGGAAGGAAAAAAAAAAGGGTGTCGAATAATAGTGCACAAGGTCGAGACTAACTCGAAGAGACCAAACAAGAGAAGGAAGATCGAGGATCGTGCGACTAAGTGATACACAGGAGGAGAGACCCGCTGATTCGACTAGATCTCGTCCCGCCTGGCGTGTCCTTCTGCGTATATTTAGTAGGAATTCGCTCTTCCATTAACCCAGACAGATTACGCTGTTTTCGTTCACTCACAAACACATACATACATACACCTACGGACACACATTTGCACACATACATACACACAGAACGGTGTTTCACGCCGTTTCGATCGCTGACACCCTTGTGGGTATTTTTAGGACTAATTGATGCTGCTAACTAACCACTCGGGCTGGCCTCCGGTCGCTGACGAGACGAGGACGATCGGAACGCGTTTCGATATACTGGATCGAAAAATAGAACTACTGGTACACTAGGCCTGTTGATTGGAACCAGATGTGAAATTATCGAAAAAACGATCGTTCGAAGTCTCCGTCCAACTTGGAGGCGGAACCCAGTACAAGGCTTTCCTAATCTACATACTTGTAGCGATAAGCATGATGTTGTTACCAATTATGTCTAACTGTCTTTAATTGTATTTTTGTCATTTGTTACTTTTGGATAATGTATGGGATTTAGCTGTGGAATTGAAGAACAAATCTAAGGGGATAGATGCTTCGTGTTGGTATTAAGTTATTGTATTCAAATTGTAGAGTATAATGAACGATTTATGTTAACTGATCAGAGTGTCTTATAAACAGCATAATTATTCGAAAGACAACCCTGTACGTTTCGTGACACAGAACTGGGGTCTGATGAACGGGCGGATAGCTAACTTCAGGTCCCCTCTTCTCTTTCTCAACGTGCTTACCCCGCGGGTTCGAATCTATGTCACTAACTGTACACCGCGAAAAAAACCAAAGACGATACGGAACAATAAAAATAAGATTAACCGAACGTCAGAAGAAGAAAAAACTTTAAAAATAAACAGTGTAGCTTGATCGCGTTGCATCATTGCTCCATTAGCAGACACGGGAAAATTCGTTGTCTAGAGAAAGAGTTTGAAATAACGAATGAAAAATACAGTAAAATTTCCCATCGAATTAATCGACACGTGTTTTAATCAGTCACGGGAACTTGTAGGTCTAGTGAACCCTCGATAAGTGTTATTGGATAAAAATTAGTTGCCTTCATATAACAAGACATATGTTAATTTTATGAAAGTATCCACTCACGGTTGTCACTATGTACTACAGTAAATCCTCGATGAGTTTTCCAAAGCTCCTCGAGGCACTGAACATTAAATATTTCATGAAACAAATATCATAGCTTCATAATTCCAAACTCTATGACTGTGCTAAACCTCATTAAAAAGTCAGCGTTACACCTGTGGACCTCTCCTTGTCAGGAGCCCGCGAACACTCATCGAGGATTTACTGTATTCTCCTAAAATCGCGTTCCATCCCTGTCCCATTAAAGTATTATTATTAAACATCGTTCGAACAGTCGGTCCAGTCTTATATGATCGATTTATGATCGTCGAAACCGCGAGGTGTGTGCGCCTCGTCCCACCGAGCAAACGAGGTTCTAATTTCGTGGAAGCTGATTCGCAATAGTTGGCGCGGCGCGCGTCTCGGTTTCGTCTCTCGGTCGCATACCAATTCAAGGCAGATGGCTTCTACCACTGTGCGTCGAACGGGCGAGGGTTTTTTTTTTTCTCTTCTTCTCGAAAGGATGAACACACATACGCATCCACAGGGTCGAGTTCGTTGCCAATCACAACCGGCCGGATTGTTTATAATAATTGGCAGCGATTTGTTTGGGCAGTTATGTAACCCGCCGGCGCGGCGCACGTTATACCGTTGGGAGGGGGGTAAAAATAGTCGGTCCCGAGTGCCGCCAAGTCCGTTGTGTCTGTTATAGCCGCTCCCTTTCGACTCGAAACTGAACGCGAAACACTTTTTGCTAGCGCCATCTCGAGTGATCCAGTTCCTTTTTCTGTTTTTTTTTCTCTCTTACTTGTCATCTAATTCTTCGAGATGAGCTTGACTTGATTTTGCTAGATTTTGGGATGGGCTGGAAATTGTACAGTAAATGCTCGATGAATGTTCGAAGACCCCTCGTCACTGAAAAGGAGAGATCAGGTGTAACGCTGACTTTTTAAATAGGTTTAGCACAGCGATAGGCCACTAGTTTATAAAATATTTAATGTTTACTGTTTGAACACTCATCGAGGGTTTACTGTATTTTGTTTCCGATCGGTGACGGTGAAATGGAAATCTAAGTAGTACGAGTCAACCATAGTAGATGAAAGAGGTAAATGTTAATTGGACTGTTCGGGGGTTATTGATACTTTTAATCTTGGGAATTTTTAGCTCGTGATTGTTAGGATGATTTTTCATTTATGACTACGGTTAAATGTTACTTGAAATTCTTTTTTTGAGGGTGTATTTTTTCAAAAGGAAGATAATGCGTATAAGATTACAAGCACGGTTAGAGACACGCTCCAGATTGCTCATTCTCTTAATATGATAGAGTACGTCACAAGTGCCAAGAGGCGCCTCGCGCCGCTTGACAAGTTAAACTGCGCGTCTGACCGAATTAAGGCGTCACTACTTTCGGCCACATCCGACTAAATATAAACGTCGCGAAAAGGCTACTTTTCCGCTCGGTGCCGAAACTTCGATTCCGAGATCAAAACAGTTATCACGGGCTCTAATTGTTCTTTTTTCGAACTTTCGACAGAACTTCGTTCCATTATGTATGCACGATATTCATTATGTATGCGCGCTGTATCTGTTAAATCTAGGTCCACAGATGCCATCTGTGAAAGATAAATCTATTTCAAATATTTAGTACGATTGTATAAGCTCCTAACAATAAATCTACCAATTGTCGTGAATTATAGTTCGTTAGAGCAACATGTTTTGAAGAGTTTAAGTTGACCACCGTTTTAAACGATAGGTTAATGTATTAACATTTTGCATTCTTGTTTTGGATTTATTATCATGAAAGATTAAATAATTCAACAGTACACATTCCACATAGACTTCCATTTACCCTCCTCTAAAATGTACTAAGTGTGACTTAATATACTCTGCCTCTGGGGTCCAGATATGTACACTAACATTCAACTCGGCTTCCGCTGGGGGGAGAAGTGACGTAGAAGAAAAGTCTCCTACCACTTAGTAAATTTATTTCAAGTACTAAAATAAATGTAAACCCGAATGTTAATTTGCCATAAATTTCAGAAACTTCCGAAACCGAATAGTAGAAGGCCCTATCGTCACTTTTTTCCCTAGCGTAAGCCAAGTTTGCTCGCGAGTGTACATAAACACCAGACCTCATAAATCCCCGTACATCCCAAAATTCCTGAAGACAATTGACGCATACACGTCACAAAATCTTACTCAAAACACCTGACCAGAAACTACCGAAAGTTTGTCAACTGACCAATGATGATTGAAGCGACAGGTGGAGGGGCACCGATCGCTATTACCTGTCATCGAACGAATCCACGTGCCTACCGGCCGTGAGAGGTCTGGCGAACGTCTCGATTTTCCGATTCTTTTGCTCCGACTGCCATTTCGCGAACGCCGCACGGTGACGCAGCGAAGTGGAACGCGCGCGCTGGGAACTATGCGTCTATGTACCTATGAAAAGCTATGCCAGTCGGGGCGTATTTCAGTTTTTGGACCTACGCCCCAGATGATTTGCTTGACCGCGCCGTGTGTATTTTTAGAGGCCATCTAGATTACACACGCGTCCAGATGGGAATAAACACTCCGCCTCCCCGTCCCTGGTCTCACTCTTTATTTTTCACACCTTTATCTTCAAAATTTTCGATCCTCCACTTTCATAATGACGTAGAGTCGGTGAAACGGTTGCTACCAAGCTGATACAGGTGGAGATTCTAAGATCGGTATCGAAAGTATAGGGATCAGGGGATGATTGTGGGCCTGGTCTGATGATAAATAGATTCGAAACAAACAAATAGATTTTGTGTAGATAGAAAATTGTATGAGAAAATCTTAAAATTAGTCTTGGGGGCTGTGGAACGTCCTGTCTGACCATGAACGTACTAATTTCACTGTGGAAATGAAGTAGATAGAATGGCTACAAAACATATTTGTGTAGTTCTATGTATCATAACGAGAAAAAAACAGGGTTTTTCTATCGAGTATAACTAAAATGAATGTAGAAAGAACGAAGGGGAAACTAGTAAAAAAACAGCAGGGATGAAAGGTCGTGGCTGGTCAATGATATACTAACTCTACTGAAAGAATAAGACGAGTTGAGGAATAGAAACCAGTGCCGTTAATTTAAGCTCTAATTAACAGATCAAAACATTTGAACAATGAAAGTATTCGAACGAAAGGGTAGTCCAAGGTTCTTCACTGACCAAACAGTACCTACACAAATTATAAACAATTTCCTATAACAACACATACATAATTCTACCGTTCCAATACTTTAATTACCCACTCCAGTCCTACTAAATAACGCTCCTAATCCTCTTGGTCCCATCTGGGCCAACGAAGAATATTCCCACTAATTCTCGAATTTAACAAGCACGCCACTAAACCGCCAATGTCTCTTGACTTTCGTCCAATTATTTCTCGCAGAAAAGGAACAGAGGGAATCCCCATGAGTCCGTTGGGGAGGGCGAGACGACGCGTAGGCCGCTTTAATGGGTCATTATCAGCCGCGACCGTCCGCGAGCATAAGGGAGCCCATTCCGATGGGAGTTCATGAAAATCGGTCAAAGTCAGCCGTAGACACCGGTCCGCTATGCTGCGTGTTCGCGCGGCTTCGATGTCCACCTGTTTCCGCCTAAAAACGGACCGGGGCCCGGGCAGCCTAAATATAGCGACCGCGAAATCCGGGACTCTTACGTCACACGGCGCATCGTTCGCGACCACGACCACCGTGGGAGGGGAGCTTTCTTATTTTTCCCTTTTCCCTAGACGTCAGAGAGTACCACACGCGTACCCCGTCTATTATTTTCGACCACCAGTCTCATAGTATACACGGGCTTGATGATAGATCCTTCAAGGGCAGAACGTTTCTGTCCACATCCGGTTCCAGAGACCTCTAACTTTAGGTTCTTGAGCTATTTAACGTGTTGAGTTGGTAATAAACTGTTGGAATATTGTTCTCCAGGAGAATTTATATTAGGCGTACCAGTAGGCCGTCCACTGTACGTTCAATAAGGTTTTTGGTACAGTTTAAGTTTAGGGTACCCTTCTGAACTTCGACATTGGAAAAAATGTCGTGGGATAATGCTAACAGAGAAGTGATATTCGGAAGACAGTATTGAGGATTTGACTTAGTTTTAAACGAATACAGAAATGTAAGAATTGTGAACTGTCTATTGGTACATTTAATAACGACAGCTTTGGATAGTGAGATAGATCTGTTTGCTAGACGTACAATGTGTTTCAATGGAGTCTGCAAAGACACCGGTTAATAGATCCCGTTGTTATTTTATTGTGTTAATTACTCACTGCTCCTGTTGACCCGGTACGGCTGCAACTATCAATTTCTAGAATGTTATTCTTATATTGGGATCAAAGGGTCGGTTCCTTTTCATTTATCTAACGAAAAAGAAGCTTCAAACTGCTTGCCTATCGTGTGCAATATATAATCAGAAATATAAGTAAAAATTACAATTTAAAAAAAAATGTCATCCAATAGACAACCTGTTTAAGAAATTACACATTTCTGGCGAATCAATTTGGCCACCTATATGGTTCTCTAAACAAGATGAATCATTAGCAAACACGTTGTATGACCGGGCTTAACGGCCAGAAAATTACTCGTACCGCCGGAAATAAATGTTCAAACGTTCCCCGCCCGATTAATTTATCTATCGCGCGCGTATTCCAAATTTACACGGATGACCTTCGATCGCTCTTGCCGAGAATGAAATAGGAATATACGTGCGAAAGCGTTCCGATGATCCAGGCCGAGTATGAAGTGCGCGCCACGCTAAAATTAGCGCGCGGCCACAGGCGTTGCGTCAACAAAAAGAAAAGACGATGCCCGCCGTTTCTGTCGCACCCCTCGATTGGCTGAACCGTGGAATCGCGCGGCCAATCGTGATGCTTGTAATACTACACGGTATTCGAAAACAGGAACAATAGCGATTTTCGAAACCACGATCCGAATTCAGGCTTTCTTTCATTCAACCGAGGATGCTCATTGATATTCTCCCTCTCTACATATGTTCACCTATTTCTTACTGAAACAAACTATACCAAATGTTTCATTGGACGCCCTGTTATTGTTTAAAAATTCTTTAAATGCCATTGGATCCACGGTTATTCTTTAAATGTTCGTTAAATGCCACTGGATCCCTGACAACTTCTGAAATATTGTAGAGACCTCTAACGAAGTAAAGCCTCTGAAATCAATTTTCTTAGACAGAAGATGGTGAAGCCTTTAGGTCAAATTACTGAAAAAATAATAAATGATACTGGATAGTCGGTATATTCAAAAGATTAATAGAAAATTCTTGGTTTCGAAAAGTTTGTAGAAAATTCAAGATCAGGATTCTGACATTCGTAAAACAATCTTGCAATTGTCAAATAACCACTCAACGATATTATAATAAGAATACTAGCAGAGGATAATGGCGTATCTCGCCGAGAATATAAAGATACACAATTGCAAAATCATCTTAGGTGAGAATGATGAAGAAATCGACCGTGAAAAATACACACGCCTATACTTAGAGGTGGATACGATGCCAGCAACCGTGTTCGCGGATTATCGTTGATAATTTTCGTATTTTTAGCCCTGTTGACAGGCTACTAGCGTTACAAACGCTAAAATTATCGAATTTCGCGGTGGGCATCGTACTCGTGGCTGTTGTAACGTGAATTCGTTGTGGTACCGCGTCAATGAGCGATTTCGGGGGGAGGAAAATGAATTGTATGTCTCAATGACGAAAGAAAAGTCGACTAACGTTCGAAAATAATCTCGAAGGAGATATTTAACAATGTTGTATCTTGACGCAATTCGAGAAATTATACGGGAATATTATACTTCAGCGTAATTCGAGTACTTCCTCCTTGGCTTTGTTCAATGGAACAGTTTCTAGCTGGCAGACGAAGGAACGTCGAATTTCACACGGCAATGGATCGCGGAAACGAGCCTCGGTTTACGGAAACAAGGTTAAAGAAACACTTCTTCTGTGGAAACACGAGTTGCGTTATATTTAATCGTTGCTTACGCAATTGCCTCTCTCTCTCTCTCTCTCTCTGTTTCTCTGGCGTGCCTCTATTAGGTGTACAAATTAATTCGTGACCTTCTTTTCATAAATTTCTTGTTTATTTACATGAAAACCAAAATACAGTCTAGTCTTGAAAATATTCCCCATCATTTTCTACAGATTTATGCCATTTCTCAGGCAGTTGGTGAATCCCCCCTCGAAAAAATAATGACGATTTTGTATCAACAATTAATTATGGAGGCCAGGAATTAATTTGTACATCAAATCGATATCAAGAGAAAAGTGAGATTTTCAAAAGTTAAGAATCTATCTCGTTGTATATATATTTGATTCTGTTTACTGCAGAATTACGCGGGAAGGTGCTGTCGACATCCGTTGGCATCAAATATTAATTGCCATCCTCTGTACTAATCCTATTCCAGAAATCTCCAAGGTTCGATAATTGCAATGATAATAATCGCTATTAACGTATTTAATCTCTCCCGAAGTATTTAACACTATTCTGTTAGGGAAGAGCGATTCCACTGTCGGAAAGAAATTATGAATTGGTCCAAAATCGATCTTCCTTCTTCATAGAAAACTTATTATTAAACCACGGTACATTTTATCGAATCGGAACTAGAAGAAACCCCCGGAGTTCGTAATTTCTGCTGGAAAATTAATCGAAGGTGTTTAACGTAACTTTTTGTCGACGGTTCCAGCGAACGAGTGTGGTTAACAGTTCAGTAGAGCGGCAAAATGGACGCGCGCTTTAGAAGCAATCTCGACATGATCGGGCGTAACGAGCCCATCACAAGGAAAGCCAAATTCTGGCAAAGCTATGTCCGAGCCTTAAAAGGTAACCCTCTACACACCTTCAATCGGTTATCACAAAGTGTATTTTACGATACAGGAATAAATAATGATCCTTTGTTATAACAGGCACCGACGACATCAGAGCCCCCGAACACACGCACAGACCCAGAGGCATTTTCCGTTCGGACTACCCTGAGCTGTCCACCTCGTGGCCGTTTGGAAAGTCAATCTTCGAAAACCCAATTCACGCAGCCGATCGCATCAACGTTCCTGGATACAGGTGTGTAAATCAACGGCACACCTTTCTTTTCGCTTGAAAAGCCCTCAGGAACCAATACAACAATTTATAAAATATAACTTTTCTTGAGAAAAATATCACTGGACATAGAAATACACTGCGTAGCATAACTATAAAACTACCCTAAAATTTTCAATCCTCATGTATTGTGGTGAAAATAAAAACAAACCACTTGTTTTATTTCAATCACAATACATAAGAATTTAAAATTTTAGGGTGGTTTTATAGCTATGCCATTTGTAATCTGTGATGATCAGATTTTCGTTTAACCCTAGAACTCATACAGAGTGGTGTTCATAAACCTGGACAATCTTTTGCCAACCAAAAATTGTAATTGACTTCTTCGATACTTTCGTGCAGATTTTAATTAAGAAATCAAATCTATAAAGAATATAATTCCTACAATCTATACTACAGAAATAGAAACTGAACTCGAGTATTTCCGATTATTTATTTGTGAAATTCTATTGTCTTTTTCTACAGGTACCTGCCCGTCCACCGTGAGATTTACGGTTACTCACCGAGGCAGATCTATCCGCACCAATACAAACCTGTAGAACGCTTCACCCCCGGTACGTACTAAAGAACACTGAGCAAACAAAAAAAAAAAGCAAACAAAAAAAGAAAGTCCGAAACAGAGACAAACAGAGTGAAACGACGTCTATATATATATATATATATACATAAGAGAGCAAAAGAAAAGAGAAACGTTTGAAAACTATCCGAAAGAATCGAAAGCGCGAAACGAAACGAAAAGTTTGATAATGCCTGAATTACGTGTGTAATACCGAACGAGAGATTCTTTGCCAGCTCGAACACGTGAGAACGATATACATATACCCGGGAGAGAGTTGAACGAAATGCATGATGATAACGGGAACGATATATCGCACATCAAACCAGTCGTCTGTGTACTTGTTAAATCCAAATAATTGTTATACATAACAAACGCTCGTTCACGGGGTTTCCCTAGTTGATTTAAGTCACTTTGTTGAATGTAACCAGGGTGCTTTTGGCTTCTGGGCGCCGAAAGATGAACCTCAAACGAAGAAGTATACGCGAAACATAAAACATTGCACAATTAAAAAGCACAGAAAGGCAAAAGACATTAACGGAGGTATCCCTCGAATATACAGGCTCTTCCATTTCACTCGTGTCACTTGAAATACTTCCTGTACCATCGATATTTCTGTTTCACTCTTTTTTTTTTTGTCATAATATTTTGTAGCATATTTCTAAATGGAAGCTTGTGGAAGACACGAGGCTAACCTCGATTTTTCTAAATAACGAGAATATCGATGAGGAGAGTATTTCGAATGACAGAGTTTGATGGAACAGCCTGTAGAATATATTGTCCCTCCAAGGCCTTTCTCAGAAGCCAGAAACGCCATTAGGAGGATCCGTCTCTCGTACCCTAAACCCTCCACCTTTGCCTGCACTCGATCGTAACTAAAAAAAAAAAGGAAAAAAAAACAGAAAATATGAGAAGTACGTGTTAATCGGGCCGTTGTTTTTAGTTAACTTCGAGATCATATTTATCGACATTCATACCATACCACATGCATACTATATGTGTACCACTAATTATTACAAACACTTTGTATCTAAGTTATTATACTTATATGTCGCTATATGAGAACATGCAACTACGTACGTATAAATATATATGTTTAAATATGACTAAAGACTTGTCTGCTTCGCGACTGGCTCCACGAAACGAACGAACCCTCTGTGATGAAAAAGAACATAAGAGAACAAAAGGAAAATCGTAAAAAAAAAAGTGAATTCGGAACCTCTAACGACGACAAAAAAAAAAGCAAAACTTGGAGCAACATCTGACATCCACTGATGATGATCGCGACGCTCCTTCGCTATTAATCAAACTCCTCCACACTCTGCACCAGAGATGGGCAAAGTTCGGATTTTTTTGACCGACTAATTAACTAATTATGGTTTTGTCTAATCGCAGCCAGGCTCACGGTCGTGTAAATAGCGTACGCGGAACTGCAGATCCTTCATCGATATATCATCTTTCGTCGTAACAGATTGATAGTGTAGCTGGAGATTAATATCTGTGTCGATTAATCAACGTAACCGCGCGAGCTGAATAACTGTTTCTGCACGTTGCACTAGGTTACATATAAAACAACATCTCATTCATTCAAATGATTTCTCTGCAAGATACGTTTACGGTTAACGTTCACCTTCATCGTTATTAACCCTTTCAAAATTATAAAACTGCTATACATATTGTATCTTGCAATTTTTAAGTCGAAAATATCTGTATTGAACAAACTTATTTTTTTCTTTTATTTATTTTTGGAATACTTGAATTGCTCAACTGAGACCGAGAAGATCTACTGTAAATCCTTACTGACAAAAATTACATATTACTCGGCGACAGAATTTTATACACTTTTAAAATGACCGTTGCACCGATGCAACACTAAGAGTTAAAGAGTTAAATTTCATAATTCACCACTTCTAATCGACAATCCGTGATCGTAAACGATAAAAACACGCCAAACCTGATGCAACACTATCAAACGAAAGGTAGAGGTAGAGTGCCCATCTCTGTTCTCGAATTCATCGATCATCGGTAGTGGCAAACACGTTAGATGCGAACCGCGAGTTGATTAACCAAATTAACGCGATCTCGGAATAACCAAGTGAAACATCGGTGGATGTGTGTGTGTCATTGTCGACGGGTCAGTGGACGAGGAAACCCATCGACGGATGGCGGGACGTCGACGATCTAAGACGACAGACGAACACGTCCAGGGCAATCATCATGGATCACCACCGTTTTTTACCATCGAATCATTCACAATTCGTTGATCTTCATCGTCCGTGTCGTGGGGGCCCCGAACGGTGTCTCGTCCCTGTTCGTCGTTCACCTTCGGAGTATTAATGGGCGAACACCATCGTCACCGGGATTGCATGCGGCACTGATTCTAATTTCTTTCCAGGCACTAGACCCAACAAGTGGCTTTTTCTCAATCGCGTCATCGACTTGAGCGACGTTAGGCGACAACAAATTATACGACACTGGCAGACGAACGAGCGAAACGTGCTTACTACCCGAGTGCGACTTCGTCATTGCATTAGAAGAAAGGACTACTAACCCACCCACCCCCCACCTTACCCCATAGCCATGGTCCCGCGGTGCCCTAACACTCGAGTAACATGGTCACCAGTCGACACCTTGAGCTTGGAAACTTTATTTTTGTTTTTTTTCTCGTGTGATGTAATTTCGACCCTTGGGGTACCAAGACACTAGGTACCTGAGGATTTAAGGAAATAATTAGTAATTTACGTTAAAGAATAATCGTTTTAAGGCCATGAAATAATAAATAATTTTTATTAAAGAATAAGATCTTTTTAAGGCCATGAAATAATTAATTTTGGTTAAAGAGTAAGATCTTCTTAAGGCGATCAGACGATTGTCATTGTACTTTGTTTTTGTGAAATCAAAATGTCTCTCGTCACCCAGCACAGAATGGGGTTAATAGATTTTTCAGCATTCTAAGTAAAATTGATAAGAACTGAAGTACTTAAATTTGTAAAGTTTGAATATTCAAAAAACAGATCCAAGAGATTGAGCAATGCCAGCTGGCAGACAGACAATTTTCATCTACGTTTTGCTACAAAGTGTCATTAACGATTGAGATTTTGGTTTATGTTCGGTAGACAGAAGTCTTGAAACAATTAGATACACTGGTACCCGTATAATTGACAGATATCAAGTGTAACGTACGTTTGTACAGCTGCGGCTGCCAGAGCTCAAGATGTTGATTGCCACGACACTCTAACTCCTGACATCAATTAAAAACATTATACTAAGTGTTGCATAATACCCTTAGTTGATGCACTTCTAGAAACTATTTGTGGATCAAATTTCCTATAATAACGGTCAGAACATAGTTCGAGTGTAATTTCATACAAAAATTAGATTTTACTGAGTGATTTTCTTACGAACTTCCAGATACTAATTTCGTTCCTGTGCCTTCTGAAAAATACACACAAAACTATATTTTTTACACAGTCTCACAGACCAGATTACTTAAGTATACAGTAATTGGCCATCATTCACAACCGTGCCCAATAGATTAATACTTACAAAAAGTCACTAACTAATTAAATTTCCCCCCAATGATTTTCCCAAATTGACGAACGAAAGAATCTACGCAGAGAGAGAGAGAGCAACACCGTTTTCTCCTTCATCGATGTGTTCGGACGATCGTCGAGAGAATGTTCACGACTTTCCACGGTTCGAGGAACCAAGGAAAATGGAATAAACTAAAGCTGATCGAAGCCATCGTGAAACAGTGGCCAATCACGACGGACAAACCACGATGTGTCCTTTATTTTTTTTTCTGACCAGCACGGAGAAAGCTGCTCCGCAACTGTATACACAAGAGATCTGTAATAAAATTACATGTGACGAGGGATGAATACCATTTCGACGATGACCACGAATCGTCTCCTCAAAAAGGCACCAGCATTGTCTTCTCTTTTTTCTCTGTGTGTCCGTCCACGAATTTTTCTGTAACTACCAATTCTTTTTTCACGAACCTTTGTATACTGTTTTTTTGCGAGAAGAGCGAGCATACTTTTTTACAAACGCAAGATTTTCCGTGATTTCACGGGTACCTTTTTACTACGAAACTTTTTTCGCGCGTGAACCAGAGGATCTACAATTCGAGAACTTAACTCTTGCAGCTGAGGTGGAGGTCGCAGTTTAAGTAACAGACACCCTCCAGACACTGGATATCGAGAGAAACGGTTTACCGTGTCCGAACGATGGGGCAAAAAGAATGGCGAAATACGAGCGGTACAGCCTGCCGAAGACAGAGACAAATGTAGTAGCAAAATGGTGATTTCGTGGGAGAAAGTGATCCGCGATGCAGAGAGAATGAAATAAAACGTGAACCAAAATGGCCGCCAAACTTGAAAAAGCTGGAAATTTTCTCTCGACGCTTCCGCGTTCTAATTATCTTTTTGCTACCGAGTTTTTACCCATTCGACATCGTCTCTTATCTCCCTTTACCGTTTGTGCATTTGAATAATTTATTCTTCTTAAAGAACAAAAATGTATAATGAATTGGGAGACCTAAGGACGATGTAGAAAACAGAATAATATCCATACTTCGATTAATACACGCTCTAATTTATAATAATGCTCAGCCGTATCGAGTATTCTTACTAACAAACGACAGGCCAGTAATTAATTGCAACCAGATCCAGAAATTTCTATCTTTTTCAGGAGATGGCATGTACCTTTTTTTGAGCCCGAACCGACCCTCCCCCATCCAACAACCTATCTTAATAGCTTAAGTAATCCAGGAACCATAATTATACAGGATGTTTCGTAAAATATGAACAGAATTCTCAATACATATATACTTAATATAAACTACTATCGAAATATAGATAGAAATCTGTGATATTTAACTTTCAATTCTCGATGTTACGTTTATTGTCTCACGAACCACCCTGTGCAATTATATTATTCAGCAAAACCTACGAAACACTAATTAGCAAGCAGATTCGCGAAACCACAGAACTATAGGAAGACATAGCAATCTCTAAAAAACACAGAACCAGTAATACAGATGATGGATCGACGATCCCAGTTGACGAATACGACTGTCATTAGTAGCGACGAGCTTTTTTTTCTCTTTAGTAATTAACAGAAGTAACATTTTCGCCGAGTGACACGCGTAAGTAATCAGGAATTAGCGGAGCTAGACGAGAGTGTGTATCGATGCTTTTTGGAAATACATATACATAATTTCGGGTCGGCGCGCCCCCGTGTCGCAGCTCATTTTTTCGCAGGACGATTTTTTGGGGCAGTGTGTATCTCTGTCCATGCCAGGTCAGTATGCTTTTACACCACTGTCACAATGTGGCGTCGTGTTACACACTCACACACACACACACACACTGTATAATTTTATTTTCGTGTAGAGCGTCGACACGTTTTTTGTTGTTGTTCACGGAGAGAGCAAATACAGTTTTGATGAAACACTCGCTTCAAAGCTTCCGATCGTCTGACATTCGTTTCTTTTTATTTCTTCTCGAATGGGAGGAACACGCACGGCTTATAAAAAAAAAAAAACACGAAACAGGGACAGAACCCTCCGACCCTTTAACACTGTGCACTCCGATTAACATACGAGCCCTCTGATCGACAAAGTATATTAAGTTCAAAATATTAAAACATGATTTTTCTATTTTATGTAATCTACCATTTTGTCAAGAACATATAAAATTACTCTGTTGTTAATAAAATATAGAGTTCGAAATTTTAGTGAAAACAAGTCTGGATGAAAATCAAGAATTAAACGTACTTGTCGACTAAATGGCTCGATCACATCCTCGTCAATATACTTACATGTAGAATTAAAACGCAGCGTATTAACACGTTTATATTCATTTTTACTCCAACCAAGCTTACGAATAAACCGTACTAAGTTGTTCGCTAACACCGAGGATTATTTTTTTTTCTCTCACCATTTCTCAGGATCGTTGCTTCAAAGCTAATACACTAAACCAGAGAAAATGGAGCGCAAAATATGTTGTACCTAATTCGGCAGATTCCGGCCACACCGCGAACGAATCAAACCGTTGGTACGCACGGTGTTGATATCAGGTGTCGTGATCATTTGTAGATCGTAGATCATGGTTCATAGAATGTTTCATCGGAATACAGAATAATATGGATGAGAAAAAAGATCGAGACTCTCCATACATTAGTGAATCTGTTGTTATGTGGACTTTTTTTTAGTTTTACGTAGCTGCGCGGACAGTCTTCGATATGAAAAAGAACGTTTGCTAACAATTCTATTGGCAAAACTGCTCACAATTTAAATATAGAATACTCAATATTCTAAAGAAAATTAATTAGACCAAATTTTCTTTAACAAAAATTATTTCTACAAAATCTAAAATTCTATGATCTAATTAACATTACTGTGTGTACTTTTTCACTCGAAGACCGTCCATAGTCTCGCAAAGAAAAATCGTAACGATATAAAGAATCGACACGATTTTTCCTTGCGCTGTAAGCCAAAATCTTGAAAGCGTTCTTCTCTTCACGTTCATCGATAAATCGAACAAATAATTTTCAACAATTTTTCACACACCAGATTCTTGTTTTATTCGTCGAAGGACGTCGAGAAGACACGCTTTGCTGTATAAAAAGAAAAAAAATGCAACGCCCACGAGATTCACAGCTGATCGCCGTTTGCGAAACCCGATATATGAATATTCTGCATAATGCTGAGGTGCGAAAAGGTAAAGTCGCGTAATCCGCGGGGCGATCAGAATCGGATTCGCGGCGTTGCATAAGTTGATCGATTGCATTCCTGTGTGGGTGGAACTCGGGCGAATACATCGAGACGAGTAGTAGCATTCGGTACGTTACTTCAGAACATTAATATTCCAATTGAAATGAAACCAAAAATGTACAAGAAATCATTAGGATATGGATTCTACACTTTACTTGATAGAAGACAATTAACCCCTTAACGCACCAATTAAAAATTCACAAGCGGTCGTTTTTTCATCAATTTTGTTATTCTCTATTTTCTTAAAATACAAAAGAACATTAACAAATCTTGAAAAAAAAACTCAAAAAAATATTGTTCTATGCAAAAAAGACTCTGGTAATTGCAGCTACTTCGGTTAACTGAGTTAACTCGGGCAACAAAAAAAACTTGAAAAGGATCAAAAAAATATTGAACATTGGCTTTTAGTCAAAAAAAAAAAAAAAAAAAAAGAAACGAGTATATTCGGTTGTATTTATATAGAAAATCAAAACTGTAGGTCTCACAAGTTAACTCGGGCGAGTGCGCTAAGAGGTTAAAGGATTGCATTTTCGAGAAAAAGGGAATTTTCAAATAAATCGAAGATCTGTCACTTCAGTAATTTCTCATGCTATTTTTACGAACAAAAGATAAATTGCCAGATTATTCGAAAACAATAGTAGATTGTTCAATGATATACCTAATGCTAGAACTTTCAAACACGAAATTACTGCCTATTTATAACATGTCAGTTAAGTAACAACAAGATGTTGCAAATTTTCAAGAACCATGAGAATTCGTTACCGGTATAGAAGTCAAGGATCCTTCTGTTCTTGTCAATTGTGTACATTAACGTCCGCCCAAAAGATTCTCAAGTAACGAACATCTCCCCACAATTATTTCAAACGATTGTCGGGTCGTGTTCGCGATTGTTACACGCCCGCGGCAGGAATGGTCCGTGTTTCGGTTGCCACACGAATTTTTGTTTCATTGCCATAAAATCTATATCACGATACAGCGAAACCGTTCGACCCTGAGCAAGCTTGGACCGATCATCTGAACCGTTTGGCAGACATCGACAAAATGTATCCGAGTAAATCGCCATTGCTGGCTCGGCATATAAGCCCGCCGCTCAGTACGAAACGATTGTTCGACATCTACGGTGAGTACTTGCTCCCCGGTCGTGTCGCTTCTGTGCCCGAGATCGAACAACTTTCCTTCATCATTTGTGTGAGTGACTCGACTTAAACGAAATCAAACCATTCTTCGATAATTCAAATTAAATTATCGTGAACAATACCAAACGCAATGGAGAATAGAACAGTGAACGAAAAATGAAGGGAAAGTTGTACTAAATCGTAATCAGACAGCGTCTTCGTGACATTTCCGTGCCTTTATGAACGTAACCAAGATTATATCTGAATTTTAACCTGTTAACCGGATGGTAATACATTACTGTAGATATTATGATAGATTTTAATACAATAATCTTTGAGTAAATAGATCAAGAAAATATTAAAAATTTTCGATGGATACGGTTGAACATGAAGTTACAGCTTCCTCGGTTAACAGGTTAATGGTTATGAACATAGTTTTCGTATTTCATCGTTTGGAGTTTGAAGTTTGGTTCAATGAAGCGAACATTTTATTTCAGGTAACCTGTTGAACGATTACTTACCCTCGTTACCGTCGTTGCTTCGCAAGAGACCGTTGTTCGATCTCCTTGAGCCATCACCAATGGCACCTGTCAGTGCGTTCACCAGAGACCCATGGTGGTACCCGAGCTACGCTCCTTACATCCCCAGCTATGCTCAGAGGAGCACTCCTTTCTTCCTGAGGGACAGTTACCTCAGTCCTGTAAAGCGTAGCTACCTGTGGAGCCGACATCCAATCAGGCCATTTGGTACGTACTCTTTTATTTTATTGTAGGTCATACTTTCGATAAACATGATCGCTCTTCATCTGGCAATGTTCTTTGGCTAATGAATGATTCAGAAAATGGGGAAAAATGTATACAAGAAGGTAAAATATATATTTTCACGGGCGTGTTGTTTCGTAAAAGATGCGTATGGTGTTTAGTTTTTGGTCAATCTAATCGTTTTTCATTGCTCTGAACGCGGAGATTAAATTCTAAGATCGGATCCCTTGATTGGGAATAAAACGGGAAGATAAGATTCAATTATGGTTAACACTGTAATAGGAATGTATTATCGAATATATTGGCAAGAAATTATTGTCTACAAACGTAGTGTTCTACCAGATGAAGAGCGAAATTGAATATTACCGGAAAAAAATAAACTAAAAATAATCGATTAAAAGATTTGACATAGTAAAAGTTAAGAGACTGAAAACCAAATTTCTTTCCTTACCCTATAGAGACCAAGATCTTTTGTAAATGAAAAATGATAGAAATCGGGAATATTAAAAAATTCTAATTCTTGTCGAACGACGCGGAAAACACTTTTAGGAAGTTGTTTCCTGAATGGTCTCTCTAGGGTTGCGTCATCAAAGTTCAAAATACACCAATCAATTTAGTGCAATAAATTGCACAATGCAGTCGAGTGGTACAGGTTCTGCGAACCAGTTGCCTGTTACGCAATCGATGAAAAATATCAAGATCTAATTATACAAGTGGTGTTCAAAAGATCCAGAGTATCCTCTTACCTCCACCTTGAAAGAAAAAAACCATAAATAATCAATAGACGTTACCAAAATGTTTAAATTTGTGAGGTAAAAAGATACTTGTCCGGAAGAATTTACGCCACTGTACTCGGTTTCGTTTCGAAGAATCGCGTGATAATTTTGCGTGTTATTAATATTTTCCACCCAACAGCCATTTTTTCGACTATTTTACGATTATTTTGAGATCTCCTCGCGAAATACAGTGCTCCGCGAAGCTCGATTAATTACGCAACCATCAGGCCCGAAAAAAAATTGCATTTGGCATTATTTACGCTTTGTTTACTTTCTGGCTCGAGCGCAGATATTGTCATTCTCCGCGACCAGCCGGAAAATTCGAGTTGTCCGATGCCAGGCTCGATCGAGCCAACTGTTCTTCCTTCTTGGCACTTTTGATCGATCAATTAAGCGCATTACGCTGACGTGTATTGCTCTGTTAAAAGCGCATTACTCATCGCCGGTATTATAAATTATATTTTCGAATTTATGCAACATTTAGCTTTTAACAATTCCGACCGAATATATGCTAAAACCGCGGAGGAGTATCTCGGGATAATTGTTCCAATATTTTATTTTCCTCGCGAAACAAAATGAGACCTATGGTTTTTGAAAGAATTTTTCGCACGAAAAGAAATGAAAGGTGTGTTTATCGTGCAACTTTTATTCAAGTCGACAAGTGAGTTGGTGATCTTCGATAACAATGTTGCTGACTCTGGTTTTCTTTGCCATTCGTTGGCTTCACCTCGACACGAAGCCATCCATTTGCTAGATTAGTCTCTGAACAATGCGTATTACAATGTGTTCGCGAATACCATCGATCAGCATTTTCGGCGCGCGATTTTCTGTTAATTCATATTTACATAGGACAATCGGCTATTTTTCAACCACCAAAAAATATCCTACAGTCAGTTACAAGAAAACAAGCAAAAGAACTCAGTTAAAAATCTTTGAAAAAAAAAACATTCATTAATAAAGGTAAATGATATGGAACACGAATGTGTCTGTTGTATTTCAGGATCGTTATACTACTATTATTCGCAGCCAGTTCCAGTATTTCACTTTACCCGCCCATGGTACAATAAACGTACCACATATTAAGAAAAAAAAAGTGAGCGATAAGATTAAAATGTGGCCAAGTGTTTTGTCCCCTTCATCCCCCTTTACTTGTCAGTTCAGTGAAATAATAATCGAAACAGCCGGTTAGATCGTTGACTGTACATATTTCTGGCTACGACGAGGTGTGTTTACGATTAACACGTATCTACCAGAGTTGGGCAGAATTTTATTCGAATAATAGGTACACAGTGAAAAGCAGCAGTATCTAAAAGTGTTGTTTCGAGCTTTAAACAGTTAATGAGATTAAATAATTGTTCGACAAATGTCGATTCATTTATAAAGAAGTATTATTTTATTATAAAAATTGAAATTTCCACGTTTAAACAGATAAAAATGACGACATACTTTTCTTATCTTTTATTCGTTATGCGAAATTTTTTATCTAGATAACGAGTTTGCCCATCTCTGGCATCTACTACGTAACAAACATTAATAAAAAAAAAAAAATAAACACACGAAAAACGGATTATCACTTATAGAACAGCCCCGTGGCAACGGTGTTTGTTCGAACGAAAAGAACGTTAATGTTTAACTTCATCATCGTAAAAAATCATAGACCATTCTCACTCGTCACGACTTTAAACGATCATGCAATTAAATGAATGAAGAACTGTGTTTAAACTCAAACAGCGCAGCACAGCTGTCTGCATTTTGTACGTGACTGACTTACGCTATGGGCAGAAATTTTGGAAGCCATTACTTGTCCCGCCATGATGTTCCCCTTTTTTTGTATACCAGTCTACACTGTTCTTTTCTTTATCACGCTGAAACGTGTACCCGTTGTCACCATTATCTGTACTTTACACGTTACAAACAGTCCAAAAAATACTGACATTCAAACGGCTTTGAGTGTTCAGTTAAGAAAATAACTTCCAAACTTTCTGCCAATAGTGTGTCTACTATGTCCTCTAATAGGTATTTTTCTTTGAAACATACTCCTATGTATATTTATCACTCGACTAATATGTGTATATACATACGTGTACATATCAATGGAGAACCGTTCCCTGCAAACAGAAACTTCCAGAATGACAATCAAGCCCTAGCCACCCTTAGTCTCTCTAGCGAGAACTCTGCTCGATGGTTTGTGTTTGCAGACACGTGTTCAGATTTTTATAACATCAAGCTTCCTTACTCGAGACATCATCTTGACATCGACAACACGAACAGTGCCGACGACTTATATGCCCTTGTGAAAATATCCTCCTCTTGAAACGTATTCTAATTCTTATTTGCATCCATTGTGTCCTCCGCTCAAGCTTCGAGGATTCCACGGAAACCGTAGTAGGTCTGTTTGCATTTTTAATTCCGACGCGAGTCCGATCCATCCGCAAGGAAAACCGTTAAAATAATTGATTCCAATCGACTGCTTCGAGACCTCTCTCCTACGACCCACATGACTCGGGAACTCTCGAAGCTCGAACACCGTTCGTAATTGTTCGACTGCGTACTTCTTGTCCTGATCGATCGATCGATCTTTTTTCCAGCTCACGCCTACTGATGACCGTGTCGCCCCGCATGGAACGCGTGTGATACGGCAACAACCGACGAAAAAAATCAAATAAAATCATGAAAAAAGAATACCAAAAAAAAAACATATGAAAGAGTATTATTCGCATCGTATCCCGAAGAACCGTACGGCGTCTGTCGCCTGGCTATTTGTCTTTTCTTTCTCACAACGCGCATCGTCGTCCACAGAGTTTTATTTATTAACAATACTGGCCACCATGGTTTACTGTACTCTTCATTCGTGCTGTCTACGAATAAAATAAAACACTGCCCAAATTTTATCACAAGCCTACAAACTTTACTACATGTTCTCCACTGACACGCGAGAGTATTCGAGATATCTATTTGGTATATATTCGTAACAAAAAACAGAATGTACCTTCTTCGTATATGTGCTAAAATCAATGATATTGTTTACAGAGTATTTTATAACAGCAATTCAACATTATCGTACCGGTATAACACTCAGAAAAGAAAATAGCTTTAATGCTGAAGTTCACTTCAGAAATATACTATCGATCGAATACTTTCGTGTGAAACGTACCATCTTATCGCTCTCTCGATCCGACGTTCGCCACGATCAACGCGCATAACCCGGGACGAAGTGATCAAGCGACGCGTGGAACAGGTTTGTACAACAATATGCATGTTTATTATCTGAAAGTTTTACATCTTTAGGATGTCATTGCATAGGCGTGCACTGTCGCGATTCGATCGACGCGACAAAAAAAAAAAAAAAAAACAGGCGGTAGATATACATATGCTCACACGCCCACGATCTTCGGTGCGTCACGCTCGATTAATTCTACCTTGACGCGGAGCGTCGTCGAATCCCACGACACGATCAGCCTTTTACAAATATAATATCTGTGTTCGGACCAAGAAAAAAAAACATACGCATATCGAGGGATCACAACCGCTTTCTTTTACAATTAAACTTATTAATCGGGGGTAACTGGGGGAGAGAAGGCTGGAGTCGCGGAGGGAAAGAAGATGGCCGCAGGAGTTTTTCGGCTGAAGTGTGATCTTTCTTCTGCGAATCGTCTAAATACTAAAAAACTTGGTAAATACTTTTTCAAACGATGTAACTTCGTCGAATATGCTCGTAGTCTATCTCTATTAACCGTTTCTAATAACCGATATATATTTATATGTATATATAATAAATTCATAGAAGTCTCGCAAATAGAAAAAAGTTCACAATGATTCGTCTTTCGCCGCTTAAACAACATTTTTCTTTTCTTCGTATTCCTCTTTTTTTTTTATATATAACAAACATAAATTACAAATATATTTATAAACAAACGCTCGCTAGTCGCTTTGTCGCCTAACGATGCATCGAAGTCCATTTACATTTCACTTTGAGATAATACGTGACTGTTGATGCTTTCTCGTCTATTTTGTTTATATATATATATATATATATATATATATATATTTTTTTTTTCTGGAACAGAGTTATAGCCTGGCGTTATGAACTCCATCTAATATAATTTTTTTTTGTTCTTGTTGATCTCTTTCGAACAGTGTATCGTTCCTTATACGCTCTCGATAAGTCTTGTTAAATACTTATTCTCTATACATGTGTTTGAGTATCGTCGAACTTGGAATACTTTCTAAGCACGTCACTTGCAATGAATGCGAACTACTTTGTATACTTTATAACTTAGCAAGAGTGAATAAGTTGTGTCCACCGCCGGTAACGGTTACATTTCCTTTTAAATTATTCTTGTAGAAATAAATGCTTCGTAAGAACAAACGGAAAAAGATCAAATACTGTGCACGATGTCGCTATACTATTAAAGCATGTATGGCAAACAAACTAAATGCTTCGTATCGCTTTGTTTAAATTAAATGGAAAATACTTTCGTTCGTAAAACGAAGTTAAAAATCAAACTAAATACTGAGAAGCAAAACGACAAAACATCTGAAAGTGAAATAGTATTCAGAAATGACAATCATTTGAGTTTTACACTGTCCAATAGAAGATGTAATTATTCTTTCTTTCAACGATCCCACATATTCCGCTTATCGCAAGATTAAAATTTCTCTGCAGCTAAGATTCTTCTCCTTAATGACAACTCCTTAATTAGTATATACATCTTGTATCATCAGAATTTCTTTTGCATTATCATTATAATTTATTTCCTTTTAATCCCCCTTCGTCGAGCGTATATATCCTCCGAATGAAGGCATAATAATCTGCATAGAGACATCGTCTTAAAAATACTGGTTCTCTGTACTCTCCGATCATAATTCTTTCTTTTTTTTTGTGTTCTTTACTTTGTTTCTTGGAGAATAAACGGTATCTACCATCTCTACAGCATACCTTGGAACGTGCTGTCGATATTTCAGAATACTGTGAACTAAAGAAGTATTTCAAGCCTGCGTAGGCGTGACAAAACGAAGAAGAAACAAAACAAAGAAAGAAGAGCTGAAGTTTAGAGCAAAATAAAAGAGTATCTATGTACATGACGCAGCCGCGTTTTTGTTAAACGATAATTAAATTAGCTGCAAAGCGATGACAGTAATAGTTACGGACGAATATTTAGAATAATCTGCGGAGTCTAATAATTACACAGAACATTTAACATGGAAGCAATAAATAGTTAAAATGAGAATGTCGACGTTTGTTTCGTAAACGCTAATGGCCGCAAGGACCACCTGGCATCTGGAAGGTGCGGGTAAATAATAATTCCCAGACGATACAGGAGCGATCCTTAATCGAGTTAATGAAAGAAAAGTGTCACATTTAATTATTATATTACTTATCTTATTAAGATGCAATCAAGGAAGAGGTAATCTTACACACTTCTCTTGACGTCTTCATGCTGAAACACGAAAAGTAATACTCATGAAAAGTATTGGCAATATACGATGTTTGTTTAGTATGTTTTTTTTTCTTTGAAACGTTCCATAGCAAGCACACTCGGACAGGCTCTACGAATGTACGGTTACGTGGTTTTTTTCTTCTTTTTTTAATCACTAATCAGTCAACATAAATCTATACTTAAAAAATATATATCTACACGTAAAATCATACGCAAAGGAGAATGTTAGAACTGCGGTTTTGAAAGTCTTCAACAATCACAAATAACACTTTACATTCAAGCACCACCGTCTAGAATCCTCACCCGTTGTTACTGTTACTCATATGCCGGTGTAACCCTGCCGGTAGTGGTGGGGCGTATCTTACAACGTAATGCTCTTAACGTTAATCTTTAATAGAAACTTTGCTGCCTATTAGTTTCAGTTTCCTTAGCGTTAGGTTTAATGTTAAGTTTAATAAAATCAATGAGAAATTTCCTTAAATGCCAAATCAGTTTACCTAACACAAGAGCATCCACTAATGGTGTTGATGTCAAAAAGTAAGGTCGAGGCTGTCATTTCTTTTTGGCTGGATTCCTTTGTGGTGTAGATGGTCTTGCGCCTTGTCCTGTATTTATCCCTATATATTGGTATTTTGCTTTTTTCTCTGACGGTTTCAATATCTATAAGCATACAATAAGCAACATATACGAATTAGAAATCGAACCGTATAAATAAGGCAACGTAATAATATGGTCGCAAATTCCACCTGAAAACTGCACATCAAGGTTTCATCGACGCTCATCATTCCACCGGCGTTGTCGAATTCTCCGCAATAATTCGGCGCCGAGAAGAGGGTGACCAACTGCCGTTTCGCGAAAAATTCGTAACCATCTTCGACTACTTGATGTGCTCTGCATATTAAATCCATATCATGGCGATTTAAGAACTTTGATACTACGTCGGGACCGAACGTGAAAGAAACACCTCGGTCGTTTTCACCCCACCCCTGTAACATAAAATAAAAACTATCTGTGATGTAATTTTTGCTAGATGTTATACAATGTCTTGATACTTTAATAATAAATGACAATACCTGCACTTCCTTGTCTGGATCTGACCACAATAAGTCACAAAGAAGACCAGTATCAGGTACATCAGTTGGACGCATAATTCTTCTGATTTGTTCCATGTTCTGTTGAAGAAAGAGATCAAAGTTATAAACACTTTATGCAAATATTTTACATTATCAATAAGTAGGTACTTGGTACATAATACTCCTTTTTTAATTATCTTTTATAAAAAGTCCTTCATTGATGATATTTGATGAAAAAAGAAGACATAATACCTTGTTTCCAGGTGAACAAGATAGGTAATAAAAAATCAATATTAATCGTCTATTTAAGATTGAACTTTTACTCTCTTCCTCCTTATAGTATAAATAGAAAATCAATAGACTGAGCATAATGTCCATTTTTAAATTTCTTTCATTAGAGCTTAATAGAACCCTTTACATAACATGAATGGTATCACTGCCATGCCCTACAGAATAGAAATAACAAGCCCCTTAGTGGAAGAATTTTAAAGTACTGGACTATAAGTTCACTGTGTATTCTGACAGTATATGTATTTCACTACTTGAAAATTTCGGTACTAAAGTAACTTTAGCGTTATCGCTACCTGTCCGTTGGAGTACCAATGCCATGTTTCTTTGCTTACTACTTCGTTTATTATGTTCATTAAAATAGTACAGTAAAATTAAGTAATCCTTTCAATAAGAGGATCATTTTAAACAGTTTTAAAAAAGAAGACATACATCAAACAGTAGTTTATAAATGCAACAAACCAGAATTTCCAACCCTCACCGAGTCGCGTTCTTTAAGTTCACATCAACTTTATCCCGGCAGATCCGGGTCGCACGATTACAGAAGCCACGTTTTCCCCAGCAGTATTTTCAAAACTTTCAGAACGATCCTCAAGAAAACATAACATCGAATCACCTGAAGATCCGGACTGAGACCACCATGACAACAGAATATCTTTTCGTCGATAATTGCGGCGATCGGTAAACAGTTGAAGCAATCGGTGAACGTCTTCCATAGTTTCACGTTGTACCGCCTCTTGCACTCGTCGTAGAACCCGTATATCCTATTTATGCTGGCGCACTCGTGGTTGCCACGTAATAAGAAAAAATTCTCCGGGTATTTGATCTTGTACGCGAGCAGCAGGCATATCGTTTCCAGCGATTGTTTACCTCGATCGACGTAGTCTCCGAGGAACAAATAATTCGCTTCGGGCGGGAAACCGCCATACTCGAACAATCGCAATAAATCGGTGTATTGGCCGTGAATATCGCCGCAGATTTTAAGCGGCGCCTCCAGTTCGAGTAGGATCGGCTGCTGAAGAAAAATCTCCCTTGACTTCAGGCAAAGGCCCCGCACTTCGCCCTCTGTCATTACGACGGTCTTTCCTGGTCGGCATCCTCTGACTGCGCCCAAAAATTCGCACGTTTAAATACATTTAACCCGGCACCGCATGTCGCGAGACTGAGAATTTTTTACGTATCACAGGTACGTCGAGCATAATTTTCTACGCTGGAGCATGGGAAGGTGTTCTGGCTGCGAAGAACCAATTCAAGGGAGCAAGGGACAATACGAACGACTCCGTTTTCGCGAATCTTCGTGTAGGTATCCCTATTGTTCTATCGTCGTGCGCAATACGATCTGGCGTGTTGAGGGAATAATAATTTGGATGGGCAAAAGTTTCTGACTATACATACAAGGCAATTTACTTGCGTTATGAACCCTTTAAATAAACTGCATGGTTCTTTTCAACGATTAACACAAATAACGATAAGGGAAGCAACCTTGATCGGTTAAAAAAATGTCTGCTCGGGTTACAGTACGTTTCCGGTCGGTTCGAATAATATTTGAATAAACAGTCCAAATAACGTACGGCAGATGCGTTTGAATTCTCATCGAAAATACGACAATTTCATATGAACCGAGTACATGTAATCTCATATTTCGTCCCCTTATAACGTTCCGATTAATCGACAGACGAATCGGATTCCAAAACGCTCGAAACTAAATGTGTCACGGTTACGTATTTTTGTTCCCAAACGGAATCGCATTTTCGTGAAAGATTTATACTTTTTCGCACGATTCAAATGTTAAAAGAAACGAGTGTAGGACTGGGGTTCGATTATAAAAACATCGAGCTACGTAATATAGGTTTTCTCTTGATGCAATAATCGGGAATACGAAAGGTTGTCGCACACTGTAGTTATAATGCTTCAAAGGGATTAAGTGGCTATATGAGCCTCTCGAATAATACCGACGGGCATAATCTTGCGGGAAAACAAACTAGAAAACAAAAGCTCAGGGCAATTTAGCGATGTATAATCGCTTAATCGAAATATTACAAATACACAGACACACGGATGATGGTTTAGGGTTCCATGAAATCTGAGGAACTACCAAACAGAACACGAAAAAAAAAAAAAAAAACAATTTCGCGTGCGGATATCTCTTCGGAAACTTGTACCAGTGTCACGAGATTATTTATAGCAACGAAGGAATTCACGGTATGATTAAACTGGGCCGATGGTGGTTATTGGAAAACTGCATATCAGCAAGGTCACATCACAGCAATCTGTGCGCCATAATCAATGGAAAAAAAATGAAGTTTCTCTAACGACGAGAGCTGTACAAAATTTGAAACGAGCATACACATCGGAAACGTCGTCTATTAATATTGCAGTTATTTGCGGAAATGAGGCGAACGATAAAAAAAAATAGAAAATCGTAGTCACCGTCATGGTTATATTTGATCGAACACGCGATAGTTTGGAACGGCCTCCATTTGCGACATATTACGATTGATTTCAACAGTTTCATCAATTTTTATTTAGGAAAACGTACAAGGTGACTTAGAACTTTGTGCTATAAACAAAAAGCATATGGAAAACCATAACGTAAACATTCTTGTCTAGTAACATTTTATTGTATAGTGTTCTGAAACCAAATTATAAGCTCTTAAAAATAAATTTTATGAGCCTCTGGAAATAGACAACTCACCAGTCTGGCAATAGAAAGGGTTGCACGCATTTGAAAAGCTACTAAATTTGTCATATAACATCACATGACAAAATGGTACTGAGAATAAATGTTTTCATTCTTCGAAATGCCCTGAATTTATGGTACCGAAATTTGAACCACCTTGTATAGATGACAATATTACAAAACAGATAAAAGCGATCGATTTATTTCAACAGAGAAACTGAGTATGCTTCACCAAGCATTAACATCTTCATTCTAATTATAACATGTTTTTTGTCAGGAATGATGTCTAATCAAAGAGTGACTCATATGTATTAAGTACCTCAATCTGTCCAAAGATAACGAGTGTCTCATGTTTATTCCTAACTAGTATGCTTATAAAGTCAGTGGTGTAAGGCACACTTAATAACTCAACACATCAAGAAAAGCATAGCCATGATACACACATTAACAAAGAACAATATATTAATTATGATACATTGAAGTTGTGCCATGAGATCTTGAAGAACATTATGATCATACTCTGAGGACAAGTAACTTGTCTGTTGAGATGAAAAAGAAGCATACACATAGTGTTCTTATAAAAAAGCTAATTCAGTAATGAGTCAACACTGACATATTGAGCATGCAATTAAAGTAGTTTGCAGTCAAGCCATTTGTTACGTGCAAACTGGATCATCACAGATGATATCCTTCACAAAAATATGATCCATTACTTAAAGAGTTACTTCCATGTAAAGATAGTACCAAAAACTTCATGGAACATTCAAGACTGAATGTTTACATTATAGAAATTATGTTTGTGCAGTCTGGATACAAGGTATCCTTGGAACAACACAAACTCAACTGTGTCAGAGATATTAAGGTGCAGAGATACAAGAAAAGCTAAGGGAAACATTGTATAGCGTCAGAATGGCAAAATCAATCAAGAATGAAGATGATATCCTGGGAGAAGTTCAATGTTGCAGGTGCCACAATACTATAACTAGCTTCTACTTCATCGTATGTTGTAAGTCATAAGCAAATAATGGCGAGCGGTACAAAATCCGACGAGAAAATATCTTTTAGCTTGGCTTTCTTCTGAACCTGGTCTTTCTGCGTGTGGTATACTTTACCGCGCAGAGTTCCGACACGTAGCATGAGAAAGAGAACAAACAAAAAGAAATAGTTTTGCCTTGTGAGAAAATAAAGAGAAGTAGGGAATAGATCCGAGGACGTCTGGCATTGTAAGAATTAACGACGACTGCAACACTGGAAGATCGATATTTTTTCTCTTTTTTTTCATTATTTTTTCGCAATCTCTACAAGACCGCGAGCAAAACGGTGTTCGTACGAACACAGAAGACCGAGAAAAACCATTCACGGACCCGTAAAAACATAAATATCGAATGTCGTAAAGTAGACCGCGCACGATTTTAATCTTCCATCGGTTGCAAAAGAAACGTATATGCTCGATGTACGCGGCGCGACATCGGAGCAAGCTAAGTTTCGCTGGATTCTTCGAAAAAACTTCCGGTTAACTGTACACTAAATCGAAGACAAGAATCCCGGGACCAACTTCACACTTTCTTTTCACCGAGGCTTCTTTTTTTATCACGTACCTTCCAACAATCTTTGTATGAGGTCGTCGACGTTCAACTCGACGTTCGCCATTTTTTCTTGCCACTGACTGACTGACCCGATGTTTGTAGACTAGATGATAGGTTTGTGTACGCAGTTAACTGTATATATATGTGCATACATCTTGTAGACTCATGTATACGTGTGCTGTTATCGACTGCCGGTTCTATGTAAATATAAAAACGATTATGAAAAACTACAAATATACCGGGAAGAAATTTTAAAGTTTATTTTAACCCCATTTGCTACGAAAGACCACTATGGAATCTATACGTTACGACGAACAATCACAGTTGTAGATCTGTGTTACTTTTAAAACGTTATGTTCCTACACAGTAACATCATTCATTTGTTATAAAAATCTCTTGTTTTCCTTTATTCACGGAAAGGGATTAAATAATGATCACTAACGTGAAGGAAACAGTATGTTTTAAGGTTATTTAACTACTGTCAGTTTAATATTAAACAACAGTTTAAAATATTTCATGTTATAAAAGGTCAACTGAATTTTTGAGCATGGGAATAATACAAAAATGAATGTATATTTTTTCACTAAATCAGCCTTAAATACGTATAAAATTATAATCAAGTAATGAAAGTGTAATACACTGTAGTTACAATAAATAAAAGTTATTATTAACATTTTAAAATATATACCATTCAGTGTAGTATATTTTTTTGTACATGTAATAAACTAAAAAATTGAGTTCACAGTTCCAAAAATATATAACACATAATTTGCAAAGGTCTTACATGTTTACAGTAACCTAATTAGTTTGCATAACGAATTAATTATAACATAACAGTGTCAATGTACATGTTTTTTAAACAACCATTGCAGCTGCCATGCAATATAGTCCAGGCAAAAAAGTGGTAATATTGCTTTAGTTCATTAAAATTATATAGTAATTCATACTAACTTAAGCATATTTTCTATGATAATCAGGCGGTGAGTCTGCATAATCTTGTTGGAGATTAAAAAGTTCGGCGTTATTTTTTTGTAAATATTGTAAAAAATCGTGAAAATGAGATAGTAACAGTTGTATGCTTCTTTCATCCAATGTGGTGTATGATAACATTCCACCCAGTCTCACTGCAAAAACGATTGAATTACACACCAATTCTAACATAAAACTCTCCAAACTTAAAATAAAATAATACCGAATAGCCTTAATAAATGGAAGGCACCATATAATTGGCTAGGCAGTGTTTCAGGATTGTCATTCATTATCTGAATAAATTGGGGACGTTCCCATTTATATAGTAACTGCAGACCCAAGGATATATTGAAATATTCACGAATACCTTTAGTGATTTCTAATGTACTTTCCCTGAAAATGATTAATTTCTAATGAACAATTTTCCTAGTTTTAACAGACACATATAGAAAAATTAATATACATAAATACCTAACAGAATCACTCTTAAGTTTCAATATAACTTCTGATTCATCGATAAGTACAAACTTTAACTCTTCGGGAATCTTAATTTTAACTTCTACCTTGGTAAGATACTCTTCAGTTTCACCAGATGGCTCTATCCGACTGTAATTAATCATATTTACTTTACAATTTACAGTTAGTGGAACAAAGCTTCTTTGAATGTTATTTTAAAACACACCTGCGTTTTTTGCGTGGAGCATCTGTAGTAATCTCGTGAGAGGAAGACGGCACGACAGAACTAGCAGCACTTTTTGTAAATCTACTAACAGTTTTCTCAACTGTGGCAACGGGAGTACTAGCTCTACTATCATTGTCCTTCTCACGACCACCTTCACTCCTACGCCCTTGAGTTTTAGAGGATGTATTGCCCTTTTTATTTTTCTGGGTAGATTGCTGATTCGAGTGAGCTCTCTGAACCTCTCTTTGCCTTTGTACATTTGCTTCATTGTACTTCAGTACTCTACTTTCAGGAACCCACTCATCCCAACTATTTGTGTGATGTTAACGTTTATAAGTTCGCTGTCAACTTTTATATCAAAGAAATACTTACTTCTTGTTCCACCCAGCATAGTGAATCAAATATTTAATCTGTTTTTCCTTGGTAATGGAGGACTTTAGACATTTTGCTTCATAAATTAATGGCCCGTGAAAGCATAACACTTTCTCACCTGTGAATAATCACACAGTTATTATGAATGAGTTTGTGTATCGAATGTGAACAAAAAGACGTAATTAACAGTTATTAACTAAACTCGGTCTAATGAGATGTTGGAACATTCGATACTAATTGTATTAAAAAATGAATGTGTACCTTCTTGAAATTTACACTTTGGTGGCATGTTTGCGTCCTTTGAACTACTTATTTTGACTGGTGATTTTTCAGTTGTCAGTTTTAAATATTGTCTAAATTTAGGAAATTACTCAATAATTCGCGCCAACGGGGAAACAATTGATTTTCACTGATCAACTTAAAGGACTACTTTGAAAGTGGCGTCTCTGTCTTTGTCTTATGTGTTTAGTTATAAAGGCTGGTACACATTACGCACTAACAAGCCTGCTAGTAAGTCTCCTCGCTAGAGACTTTTCTTCTGCACCATTATCTAGCTTGTATAGAGAGAAACACATTCGATTTGAATTCAGTTTAAAATTTGAATGTTTATTCTTACTTAATACCTTAAATATTCAAAATTGTTCTCCAAATTGAAATAATATTATCGTATAGAGTACTTTCGATGTGAAAATTCATATTTTTTTACAATTATGTACCTTTTATTGTTTTAGTATTTGTTTTAAATTATGATTTACAGCTATAATAATTACTTGCGCAATAATAAGAATGTTTTGTATATAATATATACTTGGAGGTTTAAGTAATTTGTAACATACGAATGTAAATGAAACATCAAACTACACAAGGACACGAACGACACACTCCCGTCCGCCGTCGACGCGCGAATGGCTGGCGGTCAACGTTACCGCGCGAATTAAAGGCGGTAGATACGCGCATGCGCACTTCTTTAAATAACAGCTCTCCCTCCTATTTAAATTAAAACATTATAATCAAATTTTTACATATTCACAAATAATCATTTCTTAAAATTCTTGTTAGATTCGTATATTATAACCTTAAAAAAAATTAACAGTTGTCTTAAGTAAAAAATATGGTATAATGAGTAACTTACAAACGAAAGAAGTATGAAGTCCTCGATATCGAAAGTTTCTAAATGAACTTTCAGTTGTTCGTAGTGAATAATAGGCAAAAGTTCAGGTTCCGTGAAAATAAAAACAGCACATTTCCCTATGACGTTACACAAGGTTATATTTTGTAACTTTCTCTTCTTTTTTCACGATGTTGATTCGGCGGGTTCTGCCCATAAAATGTGACAAAATTCTCGTTCGTCGTATTGGTACATACACCACTAGATTTCTTTCGTTTTTTTTTGTTAAAGACAATCGATCAGAATCAATTTCCCTTTTTCTGCCATTAAGTTCTGAACAGTCTCTCAAATATATATATTCGTAGAAAAGTGTGTACGGTGTGCGAGCGCTCGCACGCCAGAACATTTGATACTCAACAGAGCGTCCCGCTGGCAGAACTTAAGGTCGCAAGGAATATCGATGATGCACCATTGTGGAAACGCATTATTTTTCTTTCGTTTTACTCGAAACGATCACGGTTCACCGCTGCGGCGTCTGCCTTTCCGAAACTAATAATTTACTCTTTCGATGTTCTCGCTCTCTCTCTTTTCTGTTTAAATATATATATATTTATATATATTGCCGCGCGATCGCGTTAAGTAAAGATTACGAATGTTCCGCTGAACGAAAGGAAATTATACGCGTTAAATGTCTTCGTGTAAAATACGAGAAGCGCCGCTCTATTCGACAGACTGCCAGAAGCGGGTAGAGGTTTTTACGAATATCGGGTTAAAAATGAAACGATGGACTGCCATCATCATGATAAGTTATTATAAAAAGATCACGCCGAGGTCTGAACACGCCGGAAAACGCGACTTCTTTTTTTTTCTTTCTCGTACGGTTTGTCGCTTGATGTGTTACGGTACTTCCGTCAAATGGAGCACCAATATTAATTATTTATAATTAAAAATCCCACGTGTTCAGACTCCGTCAGATCCTTGCAAATATTCAGGTAGAAAATATTGTAACTTCTCACTGGTGTGTGTGTGTGTGTGTGTGTGTGTGTGCGTGCGCGCGCGCGCGCGTGTGTGTGTGTGTGTACATGTGCCGGCGATCGGGATCACCGACCATTAAACATTCGACAGTCATTAATATCATTCATTATATACCACTCACACACATTTCCACGCACTCTGTTCTCTCTCTCTCCCTTTCTCTTTTTCCCTTTCTTTGCTTCCCCTCTCGTTGCACGATGCGTATGAAAAAAGCGCGATGTCACCAGTAATTGAAAACGAAAACGAAACTAGTACAATCCTCTCTGTTGCAGATAGGCGGTGAATGAACATTGAGCAGAATAATCGTTCGTAATTTCCTAACTCGAAGGGGTGAATCGTGTTAAGATCACTTCAGAAATAAATCCGAATGGGCATTAAAAGCTGCGCGTTGTTCTTTCTCCACGGTAAATGATATTTCTTCGAATCACTGTAAGTATGCCGTATATGGATGCAAAACGTTTAAAGCGACAAATCATATTCTTCGTTAAACCAGAGTGCACGGTTTTGATAAACATGATGATCCCTAAATCTTTTCTACCTGATCACTTCAAGCATCTTCTTGCATTTCTATATTATTCTGCACAATGTTCACTTTGACTGTTAAATGTACGCACTTATTACACATACATACATACATAATAAGTGAATTTATAAACTAACATTCTTCTCGTGTAATGCTTCAATAATAATATTAATTATAATTAAAACTAACTAATCGATATCTTGTGATAACCTTTAATGAGGTGTCTGCAGCATCTCTGTCCTCTCTCGCTCTCTCTCTTTTCCATAGGGGTTGTCACGTCCTTACTTGTATATATATATGTATATATATATATATATTTGTATTATTTACAGTTGCAGAAGGGTGTGATCATTATTGTGTAGGCACTATGGCTTTGGACGTACACTAAGTTGTACGTTAGGGTACATCCTTTAAGAGACTTCCAGTCGAGACAATTCTTCCTCCCGTCAGTGCACTTGAATCCTTCCAGGAACATTGAACAATATTTAAATTTGTCTTCGCCGGTCAAGACAACAAGATTTTCCACGTCGTCTATTCTTTCTTTTTTTTTTTTTCACGCGGCCGAAGTCAAGTTGCACTGACGCAGAAAACCGCTCCGAAATCCCCTTGAATCAGGTCCAGAATAGTACTGTATCCTGAATGAATCTTAGACGTTGATCGTTACAATTAGAATTAAATATGCGTTTATATGCGACGATACAGCCTAAGATCGTGTGTGCTTTTGTCTGTTCTCTTTCTTGTACACGCTTTTGAGTTCGTCGTCCATGCTCGCGACATCATCGAAGAAGCTAAACCAACACGATGCGCGGCAACACCGGCGCGCACAATTGGGATCGGTGTGATCAACATGATAAACTTGCCAAAAACTGGATCGTTCCATCGTCCGCATCGAGAGATGATGAATTCTAATTTATTATTCTCATTTTCTTTTTTTTTTCTTTCGTGCATATCGTCGAGCCGCACTGAGTCCGCTCTATCCTCGGGTAGAACTCGACCAATTACAAAAGTATATAGAATAAAAACTATGCCTTCCTGCCGTTATTTTTGCATCTTTTTTTTTCTCTTCTTCATCTTCCTCCTCGCTCTACCACTTTACAAACGATTCATCGATAAGCCTACTATGCATCCCGACACTCCGCATTCAATAAATTTATACAATGCGTGCTCGGTTATTTTGTTTGTTTCGTTTTTTTTTCCGGACCGCGGTCTCCCGTCTTAAACACGATTTAGAAAAAACAATTCAGTCCCGGTGATAAGAGAAGACCACCGCCCGGAAACGAGAACGTTCCTCGTCATCGTTTCGTTCCATCATCCAATAATTATCACGTCCGTAGAAACATTACACTAGGAGGGACTTTTTTCTTTTCTTTTTTTTTTGATGAATGATTCCGCACGCGCGCGCGCGCTACTGGTTCTATCGATTCGTGTTTCTTTTTTTGGTTTCTTTCTTACAATTCGATATTTAACGACGAAATGGAAACCGTTTCCGTTTGTTTCCTCGTTCGACACCCGAGTCCAGTCTCTCTTCTCTTTGAAATTCCGAATACATTTCATAACTCTCTCTCTCTCTCGCTCACTCTCTCCCTCTCTTTCTCCCGTTCCGTCTTTCTCACTTCATTTACAATATTATTACACATTGCACAGAAAAAATGGCTTCGCTTACGCCCAGGCAGTTATACAAACATATTCCCAGAAACCTCAAAATGTCGGTCTCGACCGTTATATCAAGCCGGAAGTACTCGAAAGCACCGCGTCCACAGTTCCGTGTGATATGTGTTCTCCCAATCTGCTTCACGCGGCGCCGTCTTTTCGTCCGCAGAAAAAGGTCGATCTGCTTTTTTTTTTCTTCGAGGGAAAAAAAGAACAACAACAAGAAAACCGACCGACATCGACACCACTGCGTGTGTGCATTTGATGATCCTTCAAACGTCTCGCCCGTTCAAACGAATCCGCGATTTAAAATTAAAAAAAAAAAAAAAAAAAAAAAAAAAAAAAAAAAAGAACGCGAGACATCCACGACCAAAATACTATTCGGTATTTAACATCGCCTCCCCACGCGAATCGTTACGAATCGTAAAGTCCTATCTATACCTCGTATTTACACATTCGCGGGTATCCTCGAATGGAAACTAACAAGCAAAAGAATCATTTCACTAAGCCGGCTTGCAGCGATTCTTCATTGTTTACCGATTTGATTCTGCGTTCATGCATCCTGTTCACGCAACACGACGTCAACACAAAACCCTATTTCTCTCTCTCTCTCTCTCTCTCTCTCTCTCTCTCTCTCTCTCTCTCTCTCCCCCTCCTGCTATTCTATCGAACAACGGGAACCGAGATATGACCCTATCAATCGGTGATAAATCGGTTTTCGTTTTTTATTTAAAAAAAAAAAGAGAAGAAAATAACGTGCAACTTAATACCGCCAAATTGCGATCCGTACAAAAAAGCGCCAATCACAAGAATTAACAAAATTATATCTAGCCGTTCGAATACTAGGGAGGCGAACTCGGATTGGTGGCCTGAAACGACAAATGTTACTGTTGTAACGATGACGATGATGCGAATGATATTTCTAGAATTTGAAATCAAAGAGATCCGAAAGCCCCTCCTCCGTGCCTAACGAGAATGAATAGTCGTTCTCCGAAAGAGGCGGTTCCAGGGACAGCAGGTGTTCTCCAAAATCAAGAAGAGTTAGATCTGTAACAAAAGAGAGAGAGAAAATGCTGGGCTTGTCCAAGTGTTTAAAAAACCACTTCCTGACTTCCAGACTCCGTCTGTGTTTTGCTACTCGAAGCTATTAACATATAATCTGAATCTTTGCATTTTCGAAAATGCTGAAAAGAGATTAGTTATTCACATGGAACGGGCCGTTTGTGTGGATATATGTACCAATTATATGTTGAAGTGTAAACAATGTTTTTTCGTATAAAGTGTACGAATAATAAAGTGACGATTGATTAAATCGTGTTGTATTGTTAAAAGGAGTTTTATAATACCGAAGTTAATTTTCTATGTTAATGCTACATAGAGTTCCTAGACATATAATGCACAAGAATGTTAGACAGAAGCGAAGAGAAGCAGAGATAAGCCAATAATTGTTTTGTCTATGAAACGTACCTTCGCGCGATACGAGCTTTGTTGTTTGACACCGTCACCTAACTAGAACTCTGCCTGTGATGTGATTTTAATTATTGTAACACACAAGTCACAGCCAGAGCTCCATCAGGGCACGGCTATCTTCCATTGTTGAAAAGGCAGAGGACAGAGTGAGAGAAAGATGGCTCGAGTCCATAAAACCATGAAAAGGTGATAGCGATTGACTCTCGCGATCTTTCTTTCGAAAAAATTTGTTTTCGGAAGTTATGGATTCTTTTTGTTGGCATGCATCACGTTTCTTTCAAGTTGACGAAATAGTGTGACTGAAGTAATGGATCTATTGTCGTGGGGTGTTTTCACGTATTTGCGCAAGAAAGAAACGTGCCCTTCTGTTGTAGAAATACCCCCAAAGCACAGAGACAGTAGCGGTGTAAAAAGCATTTATTTAAAAAAAGAAAACAAAAAACGAAAAAATATATAAAGATACAAGCAGATTAACAAAAAAAAAAATGTATAGTTATTTCAGATGAAAATAAAGCGCAAAAAGGCGTTGTAAATAAGGAAAAGTATATAAAAGTTTAGCTGTTGTTAAAAGATCAGCTTACTAAAAAGTAACAGTAATAAAATGATTGAAAACGTAACTTTAAAAAAAAACAAGAAGGTGAAAACAAGTTTATGAGTAATTGTACTCACGTATAAGTGTGTAGGATTCAATAATAGATATTATTGTTAGGATTCAATAATAGATATTAAGTTGTATTCACCTTATTGTGAATGTGTAACATTTTGTGTTCAGTATTTTGCAACGAAATGTAACAATACGTGCAGAAGCATACATACATCGAAAAAAACAACAAATATTAGCAGTTAAATATAAACTTTGAAAAATAAAAAATATTACGACAAAATTAAAATTGTACGCGAATGCATTACTCTTTCAGAAGTATTCGCAAGATTAATAACAAACAAGAAAAGCGTAACGAAAGAATTTGATTCCAATTAAGTTTAATTTAAAAGATATACGCAATCCTACCTGAAGTGCTAATTTGATCCTCCGTTTGTAATTGGAACTTGCCACCACCCATTGGTCCATAATCATCGGATTCGCACAACAGTGCGTCCCTCGCGGATGCAGTTGGAGTACGCAAACGAGTATTCAACGAATTCTCGACAGAAGGTACTGGTTCTACCCGAACCCCACTTTCTCCACTGGCCAACAGTTCAGGAGGCAGATAAGGTATATCGGATTCTTTTGACGAAGGCACAGGTTGCGTCGTCGTATACCCCGGAGTGGGAGACGATTTTACTGAAGGGTCATCAGGACAGAGGAACACCTCTATTTCTCCATGAGATGACCTCATGTGCATTTGAAGCTGTAAGAGTACAAATAATATTGTAAATATAACGTTACATTTAATACCAATACCGGCCCTTGTATAATATATTAAAGAGACAGTTACCTTTTGTTGACCAAGGTTAGTGATAGGTTGTGGAACATGAAGAGTAGCTTCTGGGGGAGCCTTAACCGCCATTATAGCCTGGTCTTTGTACATTGGAACAGAACGTAAATCATGATACGTTACATAAGCGTATTGTCTGTCGGCGCAGAGTTCCCTAAGGTTTTTGTCTGCACCATGAATTAATCGATCCAAAGTGTTTTCCTTAGCTTCTAGATCCGCTACTTCCCGTCTGAGATCAGCAATATCATTCCTCTCATTTGGTAACTGACCGCCTCTGTAAAAACACAACGATTACGTATAATTCGTAATTATCGGAACTCCTCTCTTGCACTTAATTCAAAGTGAATGAGGAATAACGTACTTCCATTGAATATTGTTTTTACTTTTCTTCTCCAGTATTCCTATACCTTCCAATACATTTGTAATGTCATATATACGACGTTTCTGTACTTCCAATTTTTCAGATGCTACATTCAAATCTACAACACCATCCTGACTGCTTTCTACTAAGTGTATGAATTTTTTTGTAAGTAAGCTCAGTGATGTATCATACCGTGTTCTTTCTACCGTTTTACCTGCAAAAAAAATATAGCATATCTTTCCCTGAAGGAAATAGACACCACTGCGCGTTTACTACACAAAAAGTAGATAAAACTTACTTTTGGTAGGTGTGTGGCCAGTTATAGAACTCGATCCAGATCTCCTACGTTTACCTCTAGGAGCCTTAAAGGCAGATTGGCTGGGACCTGTTGTTCCCATTTCCAAATTCAGTCTTCGTTTCACTGCCTGAACTGAAATTGCCTATAAAATCAAAAGTAATTAGACACCATTTCATTAAGTCTGTTAATTTGTAAGGAATTTTAATAATAATTAGAATCAATTATATTTTAGTCAATACAATTTTCTTTATATTAAAACATTATTTACTTCAGTTCGAGGTGGTGGTTGTGTAGGTTTCCTTGTTACTTGATAACAAGGTGTTTGTCCATATTGATGGTCTTGAAGATGTGGACTTGGTGTCTCTTCAGCCACTTTTTGTGCTTGCACCTCGTCCAATGAGCCATCGTCCAAAAATTCTGTTTTTACTGAAAGTAATGGTTACACATATAAATGGACAGACACAGTGGAAGGTAATTGTAAAGTGATGCACAGCTATTAGGTACATACTTAATTTGGTCTCTGCCATGTCTGGTGTAACAGGCCTGGCAGGATCTTCTAAGACCACTTGTCTCCTTACTCGAGGCATTTTTGTAGTTTATAAGAATCTAGAACAGTTACGTAAATATACATAAACTAAGAGGATTATCAAAAAGCAATACTGCAACATAAAGTACCACATATGCAGTGTGCAAGTTGTAATGTAGAATAAACCTTCCTCTGTATTCACATTGATAAATAATAAATAATGTGTTTTATAATTTTTTAAGTATCTGAATGTTTTATCATATAATTAGATGTCAAAAGTAGTTAATGAAGGAAGGAATTAGTTAATAGTTCTTTTGTATCCCATGGAAATTTCATTTTAAGAAGTCATAAAATGAATGGTACCATAACTAATGAACTAATAGTCAGTTTTTCTCACTATCATCTTGAAATATCAAATTACAAAAAATTTTCTGAAAACGTGATACTCCAATATTGCTTATGAAGGTTAATTAGTATACACTATTCTGGCGGTCACGTATTTTTCCTTTCGTTCGGTAACATCGTGAAAAGTTGTTTATCTTCGACAAGACGCCACATATTATTTACGTAATGAAATTTCAACGACGAACAACACGAGGTTAAAATACAGTATTTAATGACAGATGAATACCTTATTAACCTTGTCAACAATATGCTTTATCAAAAATACCGTTTATATATGAACAATATCGACAGTGAGCTGTGCAGATCCGAAGAAAATTTCTATCGATTCTCGTCGCTTCATTCTCAACTTTTTCTGGACGCTATCCATTTGTGAGTGAATTTTATTCTGTCGCGATAGCACATTTAAGGTGAAGCGACTTTTTCGATGCATATCAAAGAACAGACAGCATAGGGAAGAACCTTTTTGTTCTCGAATCAAATAACATTGTTAGGACCTATTAATAGAACTTGAATTCCAAAGAACTTCACGTGTGTCCGCAGAGAGAAAGTGACAGATTTTAATATTAAAATAAAAGGAAAAAATTGTGTAGTAAAATTCTGATAAGTCAATATTACAATTATGCGTTCAACATAATGTGTACATACGAAAATACGTAGGTTTGAAATAATAACATAAAATTCATGTTTGTTCAACGGTACACGAAAATTTGTTTACTATAAATCAAATGTAAATTTTATTACGTTTTCTGGTTTTACAATAATTGTCAGAAAGAGAAAGGAGCTACATAAATGCAGTAATAGAACAGTTGAAATCTTATCGTATAGAAAAATAATCGTTACATGGAATAACGAAACGGAAGTGTGGAACAGGCGGCAAGGTGACGATTCCGCAAGAACCGAACATCTGGAGAAAATTGCGGTACAATTTTTACACAATTCTAGAATACGAACCAGTTACTGTACATATGGGAAAAACTCAATAAAAATTGATAGAGAGAAGTATTTTCACATGAACACTTATACAATTTTTTACTAGACTCGTGAAGAAATGAACTGTTTTCCAACAGTTCTTTAAGAGCATCAAAGATTATTTTATAGATGATCGATTTAACAGTACAAAGAAAAGATAACATTCATACAAGGCCTATTTTTAAAATACTATAGTTTCGTGTAATTTTCATTTCCAAAAAAAAAAAAACGAAAACGAACAGTTCGTGAAAAAGAACAGAAAACAGGTCTACGTTTTCAAAAGGCTGGTTACGCGCCTGAGCAGACGCACAGTGCCACCGTACGAGAATTTTTGAGAAAAAAAAAAAAAAAAAGAGCAAGCGTCTCGGGAGCACGAGGCAGCGTTCCGGGTGTGGTTTAAAGAGGCACGTTGTCGCAGGATTGTCGTGTTACAGCAGCCTTGCGTTGTAAGCGGTTTTAGAAGCAAACTCCCGGTCGAACTGCGCGGTTGTCTCGTTTTCGCATGTTTGGCCGGGTACACACCGTCGGCGTTCGACTGGTTCGTGAGGCCAATAGCACAGTAAAGCGCATTCGAAGGTTGGGAGCAATGCACGATGCGGAGGCATTGATTGGTAGGATGTTATCTCGAAGATAAAACCGACTAGTGTAACTCTCGCCGACTCCACAGGCACTGGACGTAAAACTAGCGGTGGGGCATCGATTGGTACAACCGTGCTCCTTCAAACGCGAAATATTTGTACGAACCATTTACTGGCATTACACGGAACATTCTTCACGGCGTTATACATAGAAAGTCCCGTATCCCTTTTGTACGAGCATTTTCACAGTTGATCGAGCATCGAAATCTGTAAAGTGTGCTCTCTATAGGAGACAGGAAATACGGTAAAGAGTGTCGGTGGATTTCGTCGTACAAGTAAACGGAGGGTATGTGCCTCGTGTGCACGAGGCTTCAGGGCCCAGATGTTAGCGACGAACCTTACTGTCCCCCTTTTTTTTCCGCTCTTCCGCTCGTAGAAACCGCACAGGTCGCGAGGTCTATCGACGAAACCCAGATCGTCCCATTTCTCTTATAGCGAAGTAGAATACGCGCGTAGATCAGGCACCCTACCTCACACGTACATAGTGATCGCGATCAGCTGTTATCGTCGATCGGAGGCTCATCGGTTGTCGGTTTTTTTTATTCGTGTTTCTTCTTGAATGTCGCGTGAACTCGCGGGAATGTTCCCGATCACGAATAAATAACAAACCAGAGGTGATCGCACCGAGGCCGGTAATGCGTACTCGCGAAATCCACACGCTACGCACCGAAGCAGCCATGCATACGAGAGCGAGCGAGCGAGCGAGCGAGCGAGCGGACGGACAAACGAGGGAGCGCGATTATGCGAACGCGCGACACATAACATACACACACACACACTAGTCACCGGCAGTACGCACACGATGAAACGTAGGATTCGCACGCGATACGCAGAGCCGTTTAAAGAGCCAAGCCGGGACTAGAGTATCCCTAGTTAGGCGTGCTACCGGCACGGTCATGAGGAAACGTGGAATCGGTGCACGCTTTCGCGATTGATCGCGAGAGATGCCCAGCGACTTTCGACGCAGCGAATCAGTTGCGCTCGAAATAACGGTCCTCTCTTTCTTTTCTGTCTAGGCGCGCTCCAGTAAGCATATCTTTCCCACGATTGCGAAAAGGAACACGCCGTAGCGCGTTTCTAACCGGTACGTTGAAAACGCCTGCTAAGAGGAGGTCGGTCAAGCGGGGTACAACACACGTTTTGAAATGATCAGGTATTTTTTTAACGGGGGGGGGGGGGGGGGGGATTATTCACTTACTTGGCTCTCGAGCGTGCGGTACAAAATGCACAGTATTTTGAGACGGAGGCTCACGCTCTCTTCCGGGAGGTTCAGCCAGTACACGGCGCGGCGCGTGTCACAGTACCGACGAGTGAGGCATATCCTTGCCTCCTCGATGGCAAATACGTTGCCGCCGTGATCGTGGTCGTCTCCGTTGCGGTGTCGATGCCTTTAGTTGCAATTTTCACTGAAGTCTGCCGATGACAGGACAGACAAACGTGGCCGGGATGACGAGAGTTAACCCGGTCCTCCCGAGGCCAATGTACACGAATGTTTCTTTTGGTTTTTGCCCCGGGTTATCATACACACCGTACATACGATTTACTCCCTTGCCCTCTCACGTTTTTCTCTCCCTACGTTCCTCTTTCTTGGATTATACCCGTGTCGTCGTTCCCCGTCGTAGTCCGTCGTAGCAGTTGCGTGGCCTTTATTTCTTTCTCTGTCCCTTTCCCTGTGTGTGTTCCTCTCTTCCTCTCTTTCTTTACTACGTATCTCTGTTCCACTCTGTCTCTCTACCGCACTGGTGCGGTGTCCATTTTCTGCGGGGCCGATCTCGGCAATAGGAACGACAGCCAAGCAGACTGGGGCCCGAAATAATCGAGTGCAAGGGCCGAGCCGTTCAGGCGATCGTCGTGTTTTCAAGTTCCACGGAATGTAGAGGTTCTAAAGTTCACGATAAGCCCCGCCTCGACATGATCGGTCGAGCCACCGGCGAGAAAAACGAACCTTTTCTGTCGGGGTGTCGCGCGCGCACACGAGGCCGGCTCGTGAGCTGGGCGATTGGATGGACGGGGCTGGCTGGCGCGCTGGCAACTGGCTCGGGCTACGAGGCAGCAGACCCGCCTGTATCGGTGGTAGTAACACCGAACCGCGTGTCCGTGCGCTCTACTGTGCTCGCACAGCTCCCTGTGTCACCGTGTTAGTGGCCTTCCACCAATGTTTCGGTACGTTCTTGAACGTGTCCCTATCACGGTGGTAGTACGTGCTTAGGCGCCTGTCATGTGTCGGTGAGTTCGTGGACGCGCGCCTATAACGTACCGGCGCACCGGCCATCTGCCGGTCGCACACAGGAGTCGAGTACGCGCGCCAAAACCGTCACTTCGCTTTTCTCCGTAACCACCGCGCCGCCAGCTATTGCGGATATCCAAAAAGTTCCTAGACCGTGTCACCTTTTAATCCTTTCTCCAAGTGATTGCCTGTTTGCCGCTATTTGAACCACTTCTACGACCTTTCGCGGACACAATGTTCCTCGAACATCCACACCGATGTTTTGTTTATGTACCTTAGGGTTAGACGAACCTTAGGTAGCACACGATGTTGTACTTTTCCCGGTATCGCGTGCTACGATCACTCGAACGATAAACACACGAGAAAAATAGAAGATCCATGAGTCATTCTGAGTTTTTACGGATGCATCGGACACACGCGCCAAAACTGTTCCCTTAGTTTTCCATGAAACTGCCACGCAAGCTCCGAGCCATGTAGGTGAAAAATCCCTATACCCCGACTTTCACGCGACACGTTCGTATTTGATGGGTCGGTTATTTGTTTCTGGCATCTCCGAAATGTTATTATATATTATCCTTGGAGATTATTACCGTCTCAGTCCGCCATGGTCAGGGGTGTACGTTTTCGGAACAACGTCCACACTTGATGTTGGCAGTTGAGTCCCTTTAACATGGGCCTTATCACGAAGGAATGGGGACGAAATGTAAATGGATAACAAACACACTCACGAATTATGTAACTTCGAAACTGTTTGATTCTCGTTCTTTCACTACACACACTTCTGAAGATTGGGAGTATCCCGATGCCTGTCGTTTCTTGCCCGAAACTAAGCGGGCGGTCGTCGCTTCCTTCACGATGGAGGGGTGTTGGATGCAGGGCCGTACACTTCGCACGTGTAAATGTTGGCCTAATTTTTATTCCCTTTCGCTTCACGCGCGAAAGTCTTCAACATCAATTAATAATTTACAGTCTAAACATATACATACAAATTGAGCTCTGAAATTGCATTTGTATAAAAGGTTGAACACCGACCAGCCTGTACCTGGTCAGCAAATACTTTTATTCACAGGAACATAAAAATGATACATTTTTATTACGCATTTACAAAAATATACATATGTATAATACAATATATTTTACATTTAGAAATTAAAAAATGTAATTCTCATGGCGCTATTAGTAATAGTCAACTGTGGATTAAAATATACAACAAATGAAAGTAAGGACGACAATGTTTACCTTATTTAAAGGTATTCTAATACGATTATACATTATATAGAGCTGTTATTCAATCGGTGAATTTTGTAAGTCGTAGGGTTCTGTAATATATCAGTACGTACCTGAGATAGGTCGCCAAGAAGGGAACCCGGTGTTTTCTTCGTAACGTATTTATTTGAACCCTACGTAACTACAAAAGGATCGTACCGTATGCAGGACGTTAGGGAGGTATACCCTCCCTTCTTATTGCTGTATCCATGCGGTCATCCCCACTTCTGTATTTGAAGCATTAAACTAAGCTAACTTCGAAGGTCGCGCCAAGGAATCAAACGGTATGTCGAATTGGGGCCCAAACGACTATATGTCTACGATCACGAAAAGTTCGGCCCGATCTGATTCTGGACGATCGAGTATTTGCATCGCAGAGTAGGTGATGGCTTAATTAGTAATCTTGACTTTCTGATAACACAAACCGTCAATTTTCTTACGAAATATCTAAACTGCCGTAAACAACGAAGTGCAATGAGAAAGATGATTTTATTTTGAAACTTAGATTCGTAATAGAATAATGTGAATCAACACGTGTGAGAAACACGTGTCTTTTAAAAGAACTGGTACACTTGAGAGGAAAACTTAAACATAACGGTTTATTTAACGCTCTAAAAATGAAATATACCTTTGCTACGATAAACGGCTCGGCGCTAAACATAAATAACAATTCATCGAGGAAATGGTAAAGAAGACTCTCCAAGTCGTGTCCTTCCGCCTCTATGTAATGTACCTGGGTCATTTGAACCCACTCTAAATCCGTCATGTACCCAAACATGGCCATCGCGCATTGCTCGAAGGCTTCTTCCAAAGTATCGCCCCATGCGTGTAACCTACGATGGACCATGATTATTAAAGTATTTTTAAGAGATTCAGCAATTTATTATGCTTTTCAATGATTTACAGATATGCATTCTTTCATTCTTGTTAGTAGGAACAATTCATCATCCTATTTTGCCTTTTAGGTTATCCACGCGAGTAACCTCTAAAGCATATTATGTTCACTTCTCAGACATTGTACTTACTGTACATCTGCTGTGTGGTCCAGATCTAAAAACGAAACATTTAGATATTATTGATATGATTAATTTCATCAAATTGAACGTAAGTACAGTGTTGAATGTTGGACGCGTAAATCGCACGTGTAGCAAAATGGAGGCCGGTACAATGGCGCGCCGGCTGTTGATTATAGTATTCTAACCCGATTGAAGTCTTTTCTTTCTAAATTCGATGCATTGTTACATCTACGATACGAGATAGATACTTACATTCGTATTTTACCGGAGGTATCACAAAATCTTCTTCCTTGAGCGCGTCCATGATTGCGCACAGCTGATCTCACGTACGTGAATAACCGATCAGCTGATTGTCTGACAGGTTTAATCAATGGCTGTCCGGTTGTACGTGTACGAACTTTTACTACGTAGATGGCGCTACGTGGAAGGATAGTTTGTAACTTGTTTACCGACAGAGTAGAGTTAGTATAATCTGCAAATTTTTATAAAAATTGAAATGAGGTTAATTAAAATTATCATCAGAATGTTTTTCTTTAAAGTCCAAACAATCGAATTTACGCAAAAGTTAAAGACAAACAAAATTAGTCCATAGTCGAGTGTATTATACTTTTATCATAAAATAAATTGTGCAGACTGTTGATTGGTCCAGTAAAACTGCATTGTTCTATTTGGTTGCTTTATAGTTTTAGTTTAAAAAGTGTAAAATATCCCCAATGCACGAAGTTCCCATTTGAAGCTGTGTTACGTAAACTGTTCTAATTACAGCTACCTAAAAGAGTCGTTACACTTGCTCCGTTGGCCGCCGAATGCAGGTCATTTGAGTGTTTACAAATCGCTATGCAAGAGTATGCGCGATCGAACACATGGATTTCGAGCTTGTATCATTTGCGGCGCATTAATTTCCATGATAGCAACAATCACCGTCCCCAGTGAGCGGTGGACCGCATAAGCAGCCTGCAAATGCTAACCAACAGACCTACATATTTTTCTTCTGAACGAGCACGAGATGCAAGGCACTTGGATTTTTCAAAAAAACCGGAAAGTCGTATAAAGGGAGGGGGTATTTAGCTTGGATTCTAGATAAGTTTCTTATGGCACACGAACAGTGTATCATCGCGGAATATCCCCAAAACTTGAGCTCCAATATTGCTTGACCAAAAAAAAACAAAACAAATGGAGATAATTGTACAATTTTTATGCCGTAATTTGCTCAACATTGTAGCTGTTCCTTTCTATTTCACTTACGTCATGCTTGATCACCGATATACGCTTGTTACATTAAACTTTAGACACCTTGTTGCAAAAAAAGAAATAATGAAAAACAAGAAATAGGATGAATGAATGTATTTTAATGAAGTATTGGCTTAATGAACGTTCCATGGCAGCGACGGTCGAGCTGGACTCTTTTGTGCGAACGATTAACTGTGTCGATCGATCGGACGAGTGAGAGCCAGACTGATCAGGCATGTATGTAGTACAGTTTCGTTGTACCTTTTTCTTTGTCAGCCGTGTCTTGATGAAAACTAGTTTCTCATATTGATGCGATGTGATCCAAGGGCGTCCACTTCGAATGCTTGTAATCCATGGTACATAAAACTGCGTAGACGGTACCGTAGGAAGATTCGTTAGGGGACGCATGTGTACTATCTCGTCATCTGTTTACAGTATCGTTTTCAACGGTATCGAGTCGACGTAGATACTACGAAGGTCACAAGGTCACGGATGCCCACTTTTACACACACTCAGGCGTGGTTTACTCGCGACCAGGAAGTCAGGCAGGTCCGCGCTTGTCGATTGGTGGCATCGTTTTTAATTGGCTTAGGCCTCTTTTTTTTATTATTCTTCGTTGCTGGAATACGTCGTCAAATGCAGTTTCACCACAATTTAATCCGTGTTCAGGATAGTGATTCCTACGAATTGCTCCGAAATTTTTTAAACACGATCTTGCAACACGTGGACGTAAATCGAAGCGATCATCTGTGGACTAATCTTGTGGAAAAAAAGGCTTAAAGTGTGATGATATGCCACCGCAAACAAGTCTTGGAATAAGTATTCGCGGAAGTAAATTCAATGTCACGAAGAGTCAAACTGATTCGAGTGTCAAAAAAGCACACTCTCTGGTCTCTGATTAAAAAAAAAAGAATTTTTAATACTTATTGTTATTAGCCCCTATTTGTTCATATTTCCTCGAATGGACTCGTAGAAACACTATGTAGTATGTATATCTTTCAAAATCGATGCATTAGGTTTACATAAGTTTTCATAACAAAAGAAATTCCTTAATTTTCGAAAAAAAAAACAGAAGGAATTGTACGGTCAATGGTTTAATTATACACGACCAATTGCGTCACCCAATTAGGATACTATCAATTTTCTTTTCATACTCGAACATCAACGTGTAATTTCGTCTACGGTAACGCCTGGGAATGTTCAGATGTGTATTAATTAAATACATGTAATTAAACATTGCTTACCAGAGGCCACAGCGAAAACAGGTGCCGTGTGTTAGTAATGACAAAACAAGAAGATAAGTGTCAACCGGTATGACAAGAATGAATCGATGAATATTGACCACTAATTATGCGCTCGACGTCTATTTTCAGAATTTTTAAAAATTGCATCTTTCAGTCCGAGGTAATCATCGCCGCGGCGCATACCACTTACAGTGTCCAAACTAAGGACCCAACGTATCGTTACCACGGATTTCATACAAACATTACACCATCGTAATATCAGAGGACGCGTCAACGACACTGACGATGCAGGAAATTTCATCCTACCCGTTTCTGTCGTCTCAGCGGTGGTCATTCCACGAAAAATTCCCAGAACAGAATTTTAAGATCCATGGGACCAGAGAATGACCAAGTAAAGCGTTCCCAGTAAGTAGATCACAGGCAATTGTTCGAAACTGTTCAGACCGATAAACAATCTTTTCTATTATCCTCGGAATATCTCCCAACATCATACCGAATTTCCAGGTATTGGCTTGGTTAGAGATCTACCTTTATCATCAAGTTCCTCCCCCTATGGTCCCACAGCTCCAGTTCTCGAGACTCGTAAGCAGTGCGTTCGAGATACACAGCGGCGACCGCGACAAAAATAATGCGTTACAGAATCGGTAGAAGGTAAACAAGCGTGGAAATTATTCCGATAGCGGGTTCTGGGAACAACCTGTGACGGCGAGGCGGGCACAAGGGAGGAACGTCAAGAGAAAACCGCGATGACGATAGACCTGCCTTAGTTCGCCGGTAGGTCGGCCGAACCAAGCCCGGGATGCCGATCCAGTGACAGAAAAGCTGTGGCGAGATATCCCATACTCCACAGCCTCCGAGCCGAGTCGGTGACTAGTCCCCGATGGTAAAACCTAACAAAAGAAGAGCGGCGGTAAAACGCGCATTCCCCCGGAATTTCTACTCGCCGCGGTGCGGCGTGTGTTTTCAAACGCTTGCCGGGGCCTGGGTGGTTGCAGGGGCCACCTGGTGCACCACCGTGCCGCTTCTTGCCTCTCACGTGTTGGCGCGGTTTAATGACATGCAATTTTGCAACGGAGTCCTTGGCGCTGGAAACTATATAAACGGACCGCTTATAATTGGCGAGGCTAGCTGGAAGATTTTTAACCAAGCAGGATGTCGTACCGAGCCGTCACTGCGATTTGTGTTGCGCTCTGCGGTGTTGCCCTCGTCGTCGGCGATTACCAGCTTCGTAAGTTCTTTGCCGTGCTACGGGACCGGACAGACGATCCTCTTGGAACGCGACAGGGGAATAAGATTCGATTTTGTTCAGCTTTCCTGTTTTTTTTCTGGTGCAGATGGGGTAGTTTTCGAAGTGGGGATATACCGTTGACTTGTAAAGATTGAAATCTTTCGATTTTGTGGTTTGCTTTTTGTCGATAGAGAGTGGGATTAATGGGGGATATTCTGAAGCGGGGATGGACTATTATTTCGTAGAATTGTGGGGGTAATTCTTTCGTGAATGAATATCAATCTAGAAATTCCAATTGGTTTTCTTTTAACTTTGTATTAAATTCTTTGTAAATTGTTCGGAATTTTTCTATCGAATTAGGAGACCGTATTGTTTCGTGTTTATTGGACTGAATATAATTGATACTCGATAATTGGTACTCGACCCCGTGGTCCCTGTTCGTTAGAAAGAATAAAAGTTTCTGTTACCGATTCTGTCGAACCAGTGAGTTAGAAAGTTAGCGTGGGACGTGCGAACGTTGAGGTGACTTGAATTTTCGCGAATTCAGGTGAACCGCCGTTCACTGGGTCTCGTTTTCCTCGTTTCTGTCGCGAATGTATTTGCATTGTTGCAATTAATTTCGCTGATCACCTGCTTTAATCAATTTCACCGTTCCCCCGATGATTCGTGTCGTATCAGCTAACGATTTTTGTTTCTTTTTCGTCAGCCTCGACAGTGAAGACCTGCAAGAAGGACGCGGATGACTTTTCGTCCTGTTTGAGACTCGCCATTCAGGAATCATGGCCCACCTTCATGGAAGGTATAACTATCGCAAACGCTTTTTTTGTTTTTTTTATTTGACGATTTTCAGACGTCGAAGAATTTTCTATCGATACTTTTGGTATTGTTACGAACAGGCCTACCGGATTTCGAGATTCCACCCTTGGACCCGTATTACATCGAAACCCATTCAATGAATTACAACAATGGCCAAATGCGCGGAGCAATGAGCGCCAGCGATGCTCATATTTACGGTCTTTCCAACGCTCGTTTCCTGTCCGTGAAACCGGAATTATCTGACGATTTCTTCCGATTGGAAGTCGACGTCGAGTTTCCGAAGCTCTTGTTGGACGGCTACTACAAAGCCGACGGAAATCTGGGTAGCTTCAAAATCGGTGGAAAAGGTCCAAGTTCAATCAATCGGAATTTCTAGTCCATCAACATCGAAACATGGTCTTCAATATTATGCTGTTTTCCTGATAGGTTTCTTCAACGTAAGCATGGGGGACGTCAGGACCACCTGGGACATCTCGGGGCACGTAACCGACGACAGGTGGGTAGTCGAACATTTCAAATTCGTGCCTGAAGTCGGCGACATGAAGATCTGGTTCAACGGTCTCTTCAACGGAAACGAAGAAATGAGTAAGTACAAATTACCAATCGATAGATTCACTTGAAAATATAGAGATTAATTTAATTAAAAAAAAAAAAAAATAAAATATGATGTGAAAACGTACCGTGACGTGTTATGTAAACACGCGATTGTTGTGGAGCTGTTTACGCGCTGTCAATTTACGGGGCATCGAATTGGCGTAAACTTTCATTAGTCGGATGACGTCATATCGATATTATGTTGTTACGTAATATCACGTCGTTGTAGATGTATGGGAAGCCCTTGTCAGTGATATGTCAAAAGACTCTACAGGCGCATAATTAGCATGCGATCGCCATACTTCCTCTATGATTCCCTGTTTACCCTTGTAATTTGTCTTTTCTTCATATCATTAACTTTGTAATATTGTCGATCTATTACATCGTTTCTTACCTAATACGCATCTCCTGTAATCAGAAGTTACGTTATCGAACACGTAGACGCGTGTTTTCTTTGCTGCTACCTTATCAGCGGTTACGATAATACATACATTCTTTTTTTTCTTTATTGTTTGTTTAATTCTTTGATATCTTAGACTCGACTTTTCTTGAACGGCAACAACTACCAACCACGGTGCGATTTATTTTTCATAAAATATTGAACAATGATCAAAATTGTGAAATTGATCGGGAATTTGTTGTCTAATGTATCGAGGCAGAAATAATGAAATAACAATTATTTTTCAGACAAAGCTGCCCTCTATTTCGTCAACGAGTACTGGCCAATGGTGTACCGAAGTCTATTGCCGAAGTTGATGGAGGCTTGGGACACTGATCTCACCGAGTTCGTCAATCGGTTCTTCTCGAAGATACCGTTCTCGGCGGTATTCCCTTGATCTACATTCGATCTATAGTAAATAATTAGGAGCGAATCGAGACGGAATTCATGATCGACAGACCATGAAGGAGTTTAAGCAAACGGAGGAGTGAAGCGAGGGCCGCGAGATATATTTTAATGTTGTGCAATGGGAACGATCCCAGGGACGATGTTTCGAACTATTTCTACGTTTAAACTGTAAGCTCTGTTCGAGAGTTGTCTGTAACGAATAGCTGCGAGACGGTGCTTGAAATGGATTGTTAAAATCTGTGACTGTTATTGGATCGAACAGTGTGATGTAAATAAACCAATGCCAAATACCACTGTGGTTGCGATTTCCTTTTGAAAAGTTTGCTGAAAAAAAGAAACAGGATACGATGATTAAAAATATATACATATATTTCTACATGAAGTCCCGTTACAATTCACTTTTAAACTAAAGCTAAATTTCTTAACTAAAATCCTGTCCTCTGATTTATCCATCTGATATATTCCAATACGTGAATGCGTGCTGTAACTTTATTGCGACTTAAGATTGTCTTAATTTGAACTGATTCTCTATGGTTCGATATATCTCGTGTGCTATCCGTTGAACAAATAATTATCAAGTTGGTGGGGAATAAAGGGCCGTCAATTCAAAACAACATCATTGTTCCACATACGTATATGTCGCATGGTATAATTTTATATAACTGATCCCAATGTACCCCAATGTATTAATCACCAATATTTAGTTTTTATTCTACAATTATTGATATTTTGCAATTATAGCAAAAAAGGCAGTGTCATGAATACGTTCGAAGGGCCATTGATTTCCCACCAATCCAATACAATCGAGATATCGGTGTTTACCACAGTGGTAACACGGAGAACGAATTTATTCAAGGCAGGAGGAACACTTCGACTGGTACGTGACGTAACAATTGATTGACGATGCCAGCGAAGAGTACGGACAGTTTCTTCTTCAGTTGCGGCTCCATCGCCTTTAGCACTTCCTGTCCGTTCTCACGGAGGAACAAATTTGTTGCTTCCGCTGTGAAAATAATTAATTTCATATTAATAAAAATATAGTTGATATTTAAAGACCAGGGTTAATCAAGTGGGATTTGACACAAAGTCTAATGGCGGCCATTTTGAACATTCCAAGGAAATTAGACATTCTATAGTTCTTGAATGCTAGAAGGTAATACTTACTAAGTATCCGATTATTATTAAAAATCTTGCGGACTCTCATGTGCACGTTCTTGACTTCCAGATCGACATCGAGGTTCTCGAGGTTAAGGTACGTCTTACCGTCCTTCACTTTCGTCGAAACGGTACCTTTGACAAGAGCTTTGAGATCGTCGAACCGGCCGTGGAATGTTCCATTGCCGCTGGCTGGTAGAATGATCAGTACTCCTGAACTGATAAATTAAATAAACATCGATATTTATTAATATTTGATTAAATTTGATCAGGGAAAGTCCTAATATAAATACACGCTTCTATAGTGTACTTTGTATGTCTCATAAGGTGGTGGCCAGTTTTCGGTTACCTACGAGTCGAGTAAGTAGAGCAGAAAGGTATCTTGATGGAAGAAAACGAACCTGGTATAATGCGCGTCCAAGATAAGGGCTGGCATTCGTACAATAGCCTCAAAGGGTGAGCCGAGTTTAATGTCCTCAACGGTGTAGTTGCTCGCTCCCCTTACGAACAATTCTCGTAGTTGTACCTTGTAACCGTTTGTACCACCTGTCAGGGACAGAGTCAGCTCGTCCATCTGTTGTAACAAGCAAACTCGCGAATAATTCGAGTAACGGTTCGATATTTAGATGTGCTGTATTCATCTGACCCTTTGGTCATGTAAATATGTATCAGTATTAACAAACTTTAAATTCTTCTAGGTTCTAATCTCACTATCATCAAAGTATCACGAACTTACACGAAAAGGTTCAACCGAAGGCAGCTCGATTTCCGGTATCCCAACGCTTAGATACGGTCTCAGATGATGAAGAGCGTTTATCAGACACGTCTTCAGCTTCGGATCGCTCCTCGAACATTGCTTCACGTATTCGGCTGTAATAACATAATATAACACATTGCAAGCAATAAAACACAATTTAATAGAAAATCCATTGAAATTGAGGATGAACAATCAAATCAGTTAAAAGTGTTCGTTACACGGAAAGTCAATTTAGACGTACATAGTCACGAATCGGACTATCGGCATGAGGCAAGCGGAAACCACGCCGGTCGCACGAAATGGTAGTTGCCAAGCAGCTTGTCACTCTAACTACACATTGTGAAATTCTAATGAAATTTCTTTGGGTTAGCTGCACGAGTGACCTCTTTACCAGATAGCGCACATTTATGTAACGTTCCAGCAGTTTTCAACGTACAAGAATTACCATTTCGCGTAGACCACGTACGAATAATCCTATCTGTTCAAATCGTCAACGTTCAGAATACAAATAATGCAATATACACGTTTAGATCGCTCTGAAACAAAAAGGAATCCCTTTCCTTCCGTCGTTCAAGCCCGACGTACCGTCGTTTAATTTAACTTTCACTCGAGCATTATCTGCAAACTTGACTCTGAATGACACCGCGTCCAATAGGAAGCAAACGAACAAACGGTTCACCAGTCGAAAAAAATTCAGGCTACTCACGGTTCGAATTAACGGAGAGAGTAGTCGAGTCGTCCACCGCCAAGAGTAGGAACAGGAACACTATCATCGATCCCATCATCGTGGGGCTGTTAATCAGGGGGGATGAAGTCACCAAGGGATCGAAACCGTTCACGTAGATTTTCGTCAGCCCGTGTGTTTCCTGTCAAGCTTCACCTGGACTGGACAAGCAGCGTGATTCACAGTGCCTACTTTCCACGGGTCTGCTTCAAATCCCTGGTTCCCCGGTTAAACGGCACCGCTAGAGTAAGACTGACTATGCAAGAGGGCATTGACAGATGCTAGATCGTAACTGCACTCGGATACTTTCACTGCTTCAAACGTGCACCTGCGCCTTCTTCGTCTGCGACGACAGACGAGTCTTGGCTTAGGCCATGTTAGACCGTCGAAAGTACCCTAGATAGAACCTGGGAAAGCTGGGTCCTCCGGCGTCCGCCTCTCTCGATCGCGCAAGGGAAAAAAATTACTTTTATCCAAGGGAACCTTTGTATTGATTTTTTTTGTTTATTTCTGGCGTCACTCAAAACCATCGCAACGATTATAAACCACGGCTATAAAAGGAGAACGTGCTTAAATTGTTTCACCTGTAGAGGACGGGTAGCTTTTCTTTGGGCTCCAGAGGGGTCCTTTATTTTTGGTAGTATGATGCTATAACAAATATATAAATGTTCTAACTCGAAAATACACAAAAATTAATGAAAAAATCTACTGGACTTTTAAAGGTTATTCGTTAATCAGTTCAATTATTTACGCGCCTATGTGCTGTCTATCACACTTGGATGTTGAAAGATTTTTTGAAGATGCTTGTTTAACACTGTTATATTGAAAATTGTTATAATATAGACTGTTCGTAAGAAGAAATTATTCCATACGGTATCACGGGAAAATGAATTTTTTTCGTGGACGCTGCGTCGTTTTTATAACAAAGACCAACTTTCTAAAAGGATCTAGCGTGTGTTTAGCGGCGGTGACTAATTGCACATATCGGGTAATGCAATTCTGTGTTTTTTTTTACACGTAAATAATAGAAGAACCTGTAATAACGACGAACGGTGGCACAAGAAAACCAACAATGATTCATTAACGATCGAAGTAGCGTTTAGGAAAAAAGTGACGATGTTACGACACGGGTTAAATCCACAACGTAAGCGAATAGGTAGACGACTGCGTGAAATAAACGAGTGAATGATCGGTGGTTTCCATTAGTCTGCAATTAAGCTTACCGTATTGTGTAACGAACATTTTCGATAGACTGAGCACGCGGAATGAATTCAGGAAAGTATCGGAGTCATGAAGATGTTAAGTTTCGTTGGTATATAAGTAATGGAGTGATTAGTTTATAAATATACATGTGAATAATATGAATAAATGCTTTGATAATATGATAAATGCTTTGTTCAAAGAGACACAATTCCTTTTAGAGGTAAGAAAGAGTCAATTAAGAGCGTGTACGTAATTCATGAATGTTCCCCTGTGTTGCAACTGTAGCTCAACTGTTCCTACATTGCTGTATACACGGTTGCAGCTGACAGGGGCCTTGGAATTCAGAACCAACATCGACGAATTATTTCGTGATTCGAATGTTTCCATTTAATTATTCCATTCAGTTGGACATATTGCATAGTCTTTTAATCTTTGTACGTTTTATAATTTTCAAAATCTAGGAACTATTTATTCTTTATAAGGAAAACGAAAAGAAGAATTATTGCACCAATCGTCATGCGCTGCTTATTGAATAGTTTAATGGTTAATGCTTGATTTATTTTTTAATAATAATATCTCTAGGCTATTTGCAATGCTTTCGCGTACAAGTCGTAGACTGTAATTAAAACAAAATATTGCATAACACTGACTTCACAATCAGCTTTCTCTGTTAAAACGTTGCAACATATTTTTTCTTGCAATTAAAACAAAACAACGAAATAGAAAAAGGATACACGAGAATGTATAATTTTTTTTCTGTTCATTCGTTGACGTTTTCTTTAGATTAAAAATATACGTAGAAATGTATACTCGTTTGTCGAGTAAACATTTTATTCACCGTTGAATATTTGAATTGAGAATTTTCGCAGATTCTAACAAACAAGTTTTTTGAAGGATTTCTCTTTTTTTCGCACGTTGATTTCGCTGATGTGCGATCGTTTGGTATTTGCCAAACAACATCGTGTTACACGTCTTCGGAATTCCATTCGTGCATTTTCGATCCTCTCTGTATTCTGTATGAATACGTTCATTATAACAATCGTGCGATTTTGCATAATTATACTTCATTATTTTTTGTATGCTTCGTTCTAGGAACGGTGTGAACAACCATCACAAACAGGAGCCAGGAGAAATCTGGGAATTACATAAAAAGACGAAAGTCATCCTCGATATCGAAATCTGTATCGTTAAGATTTCTTCTTCCCAAAGACGTATAGACATTTCCAACATTTTCCAGACGTCCAAAATTATTTCCAAAACTAAATTCATAAAAACAAGCTATTTAAAAACATAAATAATTATTTGTTTCCTCAACCAGAGCGACCTCTTCCTTCCTACACCGCGAAGGTGCCATTTTTCTTTCCGTCCTAATTCCACTTTCAACCCTTACTTAAACACCCTTCTCAGCAAGCTTAACTCCCAAAAAATCCTCGGCAATCACAATAATATATCAAACTAAAAAAAAAATTACCATGTTTCCTCAAATCGTGACAAATCCTTCACACCTGCAATGTCACGCGTCAGCCCAAGGATACGGCCATTATACGTCCGTCGAGTCGTTTATTTCGCCAAATACGCCTATATCGAGGTTAAAGCCTCGATAAACCGGCGAGAAACCGAGGGGGGTGGGTAACGAGGCAACAAAAATCTCGTGAAAACAAGTTCGTGTCGGATAGTTTAGTCTTGCATCTCGTCGCGTGGCGTTCGTCGAGGCGGTCAACCACCGAGAGATGCTAGCTGGTTCCCGGCTGTTTCAGACGGGAATTATATAAGGTTCGGCCCGAAAATCCCGTGGACGAGGAACGTAGCACCGGTGGTATAACCCTTCTCTTCAGATGTACGGTCGAGAGTGAAAGCGTAAGCATCGTCGAGCGTGTGCGTTCACCTAGTTGCTGGAATTACACCTCCTCGCGGTCCTTCGTAACCAGACGCCGTCACACGCGTTGTAACGTGACATTTATCGATCATCACGGTTGCAGAGATGCGACCGACGTACGGTGTCCTGGTGGTCCTGCACCTTCTGGTCGCGTCCACGATCGCGGAATTCGGTAAGATAAAACGTACTGTGCTTGCTCTGCTTTCGACATCGCGGCCGAGTGATTGTTCCTCGCGTAGAGAACCAAAGGTACTTGAAATGGCACCTATAAATGTTTACGTTCTGTTCGATAGAAGTTTGGTACTTTGAAGGTAGAATGTTGGTGATTCGATTGTGTGTTACGCGGTGAAAGAATGGGTGGTGCTGGACAAACAAGGAATTGAGGTTTGTTTATGTTAGGCGAGTGATGCGTGTTGTTAAGTCCTTAAGCGGTTTTAGGTCGTTAATGGGTAATTCTGAACGAGTTTTCAAAATCGAAATTATACAGGTGGTCCAAGTGTCATAAAGAATTTTTGTTAATTAAAGTGGGTTCTTCGAGTGCTTTCAGATGCTATATGATTAATGCTTTGTTAGGAGTTTGTACGTACAATTAAGCGGTTTTAGATTGTAACGGGTAATTCTGATGTTTTCTTTGATGAATGAAATTGAACAGGTGGTCCAAGTGTCATGACCAATTTTTGTTAATTAAGGTGGTCCTTCGAGTGCTTTTTAGATGCTACACGATTAATGTTCTGATAGGAGTTTGTACGTGTGTTTGATTAACCATGTGGCCGGACGTCATCTTCATCGATGATGATGGCTCGACAGCGTTCGGACGAGTTTAGTGAAATTACGTCGGAAACCGACAGTTTTGTGATATAATGCGTGCATTTACGCACGGTATATTGCGCAAAGAATATAACAAAGTATAACATTATGCAAGCGGAAAATTCTCAAGGAACGTGGGACCATTCTAACAACGGTGGAAAGTATGGAATGCTAGAACATAAAACTGTACCAATTGAGCTCGATTCAATGTAAATCTGTCCCTTCGTTGTATTACACTTTTTCTCAATGTTTTCTTCTCTAGATGGTTTCACCTTTCATAAAGAATCGCAATTTTTCCATGGAACAGGTGTTGCGGTGATTACCCGCAGGTAGATTATAATCGATTATTTCTGACCTTGGTACCACGAAGCTCTGTGCGCGATGGATCACTGGATTTTCTATCCTCAAAAGGAATTGCGTTACTCGTTTCACTGGAAACCGTCTCTAAATCATTCTATTTCCTAGTATTTCCAGCATAATGCAATCCTGTTTGACAAACATGGTCAACAGCAAAACTCATAATCGATCACCGATATAGCAACCTAATGCCTTATTTCAAATGTATGCCAGAGTGAGCTGTTTGAATGTTCGATCCTTCAAACGCAAATCCTTTCACGATAGAAATGGTAGTCGAGCGAATCACTTTATATCAGATTTTGTATTAAGCAAACGAACTTTCTCCTCTTACAGAGGACCATTTCGAGGATTGCCATCCAAATGTACCAGGCTTCGACGCGTGTGTGCGTGAAGCGTTGAACGAGGTTCGGCCGTACTTCAAAACCGGCCTCTCGAAGTACAATATCACCCCGTTCGATCCGTTCTTCGCCAGGGAGGTGGCTGTGAAACGGGGACTGCCGAACTTCGGGTTCACCTTAACGCTGAAGAATGTCACGGAGAGCGGATGGACCGCCAGCAAGGTGACGAAATTCGTCAGTGATATACCGCACTACAAGGTAAAACCTATTATCCTTATTTTTCACTTAACCCATAAACTACCATAGTTTAGTAACCAGCTATTGTTCATTGTTCGTACAATGAATCAATCGATTTGAATGAAATTACCCCAATTGTAGGGGCTACTGAAGGCGGTCCAAGACTGTGTTTACAAACACAGAGGGATTAATTTATTCTTTATTTACTAATCGAAATGAATAATGTATAGGTAAGTTCGTGGATTCGATGTAACAATTAGCATTAGTTAATTAAAATTTATACGATTAACAGTTCAAGGCTATTATTTTCACCACACATCATGGTCGATTCAATCAGGGAAATGGCCTTGAGCTGCCAGTGGATTTTACTTCGTCTGTAGTAGAGACTTTTTGCTAGTAACTTTCACTTGGATGTGTCTGTGACTTAACTGTGTCCGTACAAGAAACTTGGGACACGGTCATAAAGTAATACCGACCGAGGCAGAGATGTAGCAGATACCGTCTGGACACAAGTCTGATTCTTAATGAACTGTAGTTTGCATGTAAATTGACGATGTCTTGAAATTCCGTTTCGATTTCAGGTCGTCTACACTCAGAGTTTCCCGGAGAAATTCCTATCTGGTTCGTACGACTTCAATGGAGCCGTTTTGGGTTCCTCCATGAGCAATAAAGGAAAATTCACTTTGGCCCTTTGTAAGTAGACATTGTTCCTTTGGGTACAGTAAATCATCGATGATGGTTCGAAGGCTCTGAACGTTAAATATTTCATAAACTAATGGCCACATGCGAAACAAATATTTTCTATAATATAATTCTATCACTGTGTTAAACTTCATTAAAAACTCACCGTTACACCTGGGTACCTCTCTTCTTGTCAGTGCTAAGGAGCCTTCAAACACTCATCGATAATTTACTGTACTCTTCGATTGCTAATAGAAATTTCGAAGTTACGTTTCAGGGAAACGGATTAAAGAATTAAGGTACCTGTTAAATATATTATTGTTCAAACGAAACATCTTATGACCTCTTGTTTCTGGTTCCAGATGACCTCGTTCAGACGACCACCGTCACCAAGAGGCCCGGCCAGAAGATCGATGCGAGCGTGGACGTGCAAACGATCCGCGATTTGAAGCTCCACATCACAAACTTGCTGTTCGGCCGGCAAATGCTCGAGAACGTCCTCGACAGAATAATAAACGGCGCCTGGCAACCGGGCTTCGTGATGACCAGACGTCTGATCAACGATCTTGTCTCCGCAGCGTTCACAGAAATATTCAGGAACGCGTTCCGTAATTTCCCTTTCGAGAAAATCATCAAACCGAAGCCCGAAGGAAGTTAAAAAAGCGATCTATTAGTTTGGACAAGACGAACGATACGCGCGCAACGATGAACTGTGTGAAACAATACTCACCAGGAATTTATTCTAAATATATATTCCTTTTGCTGTTGAGCAAACAGTATCCAACGGTCTTACGACTATTTGTAGAATTAACGAAACTTAGAATATAACATCTTTAGAATTTAAAATAATTCAGAACAATCTTTATATTATTATTCCCCTTTGAACTCTAAATATAATACCACTTGACTTCTCAGTGATACATTTTACCATTTAATTTTCTTTCAGAAAATATCGAGTGACTTGGAGACAATCTACAAACCTTACGAAGAAGAATATTCCTTAGTGTCTACTGCAAAAAGAAATATATAGAATGCAGAGAGTTTTCGAGTTTTTTACCATTTAGATAGTCGTTAGAGACGAAACTGTGCGGCGTTTCTATAGGAGATGAGGCTTTTTTCTTCTGGCAGGATAGCTGCTTGCCTTGACAGGTAGACGGTCTCTGACCTCGCATTCTCATGGTGTACGAGCATGGTGTATCAACATCCGCGCATCGCATAGCTCTTATCGATCCATAAGATTCATAGCAAACACAAAGTACTTACATGATCGAAGGATCTGTTTGTGACGAGCCATTTCCCGAACAGACATTTATTCTGTTGATTTAACTGTTAACTGGCCAAGTGGCGTTCGAAGAACGTCATGATTATTTTTAGAATATCTTATTCTTATTCAATAGTTGTTTAAAGAGATTCCTGTTTATTTCTGTGTTTTCTTATATGAGAATACAAAACAATTAGTTGTCTAATAAAACTTTTAAGTAATAAGACTTTTACCTCATCAAAGAAAGGTTAAATAATGCACATATCTTATTCAACTGATACTAATGAAGAAGGTTACAATTATAAGTAATTTTTAAAGATATACTGTAATTACTCGATGACTGTGACGTACTTGGGTCCGCTTCAGAGCATTTATGGCATGGCGGAAAAATTTTCAGCCCCTTATAAATTTGTTTTTTACCTGAAGCTGAGTTTCTGATTACTCTGATTTGATTGGTTCCAGAAGGGGAGTGCCCCATTGGTGGGAATAACGCCGTTGTTCGTGTAGCATTCATCAAGGAATCACTGTATAGAGTATGAATAACAGTTTGTGTTACATTTGATTCATCGTTGCTAAACGATGAATAAACGAAGAGTCAAGTATTACAAAATATTTTATAGATTCTACACCCGCACGTTTTACGTATAACAAGATGTCAATGGAAGCATTAACCGTTCGATATCCGTCATGATGTAGCTCGAACACGGCCAGAAACGGTGACGATCGTGGGTTACCGTGTTCATTAACGGTGCTTAATATTCTTCACTGGGTGCCTCCGACATTTCTGACGTCTGCCTCTGACGTCCGTTTACTTTCGATCTACCTGGGTCAAATTTTTATCGCCGTTTATCGAGTATTACGAAGCAACAATCTGATACGAGCAAACGACGCCGGCACAAGCACTATTAATCTAATTACAATCAATTGTTATAGAGGCTGAAGACTCTGTATTATATCAATCAAGAAGTCTAACTTCTTATACTATTACAGTGTTTTATTTTATGTAAATTATATAGATAATTGGTATAAAGTGTGTCTTAATATTCATGAACTTCTATCAATTTTAACTGGAACTGCATATGTTTTAATTTAACCCTCCGTTGTCATTCTGAGTCAATTAGACTCAAGCCAATATTCGATCAGTTGTTGTTTAAAAACTATTTGTTACATTAAGTCGTAAAAAATTCTGAAATCAAGCTTGAACAATGTAGATTATATTTTCATGGTAAAATATCATTACAGATCCAAAAATTTGTTCGCTATAATTTTATTAGTAGATCTTTGTTTGTAGTTAGTGACGTACCGAAGTGCTTTGGTTTTAATGTCAGGTAAACGGCACTTTAAATGTCTCGATATCGCGAGACCGATTTCTTTTTTGTTATCCATTCAAGAAACTTTCCAGTCACTTCGTCTTCACATAATTTTCAGGATCGCAATAGAGGTCAGTCGGTACCGTGGTTCTTGTCATTTAGTTAGAAAGCGCAAAGAGCTCAAGCGCAGTTAGTCCTTACCCGTAACGAACCATGCCCATCAAAATGTTTTTTTTTTCTCCTCTCTTACTGCGGCCTCTAAAACGAATTACTTCAAGCCGATGCAGAACGCCGATGCCCGTTGATTATTTTCGCGGCTGACTTTCCCAGAGCCGATCGCGATTCGTCCGCGACTTTCTTCTGCGATCGAAATGGCGCAGAACAACGACGTACATGAAAAACAATTTTCAAATTAGCGGATATCCGTCGCCATAAATCAGAAATAGTGTTCTAAATCCTTGTGGAATAGTCCATTAATTATAGTGTTGCATTAATGTTCATGAATTTCTATTAATTGTTAGTGGAAGTAGATATTCCTAATGTAACGCTCAGTTGCCAGAGCTTCTTTTTTAAACCAAATTGTCATACTGGGTCAATTTGACTCAAGCCAATATTCAATCAGCTGTTGTTTAAAAACTATTTGCTAAATTAAGTCGTATAAAATTCAAAAAGAAATAGTGATAATTAACAAAACTAGTTACAAAAAAAAAATAATTACAAATAAAAATAACTACAATGAATACAGACTGTACAAAATAAGGATAGATGTGCTTATTCGAGAGTGTTTAGTATTTTGTGTCTAATGTGCTAAGTAACATGTGGAAGAAGTCAAACGAAGCATTTAGATTACCATTCCTTAAAACTTGAATATCCTCAAGTAATTCTGAACAGGCGATGGCATCCATTACCGATTCCAAATAAAAACAGTAAATTTGCACATACACCCACGAACATAACACAACTGACCCCCAAAAGGTTATTCACCAAGTACTTCAATAACCTGAAATACGTTTAAAATTCCGAATCGAAGGCCGTACAGGATATCGAACCTTGAGGAAAGAAGAAGAGAATCCTTCACGTTGGAGTACTTTGTCGGGGCGTCCACCTATTCCATGGCCGGATATACCTTTACTCATACACCGTTCCTGTTCTTCGTGTACGAGCCACGAAGGCATAGCGGGGGCAATGTCAAGGTGCTATAAGGCCCGACGCATCCCTGCTGCCCGGTCATTCCACACGAAGAAATTCGATCGAGTCACGCCGGCCTGGAGATCAGAGGAGTTGTATACGCCTATCGGTCGAGAAACGTCGGGAGACGGGAAAAACGGGGAACCATCAGCAGATCCGCGATCGAGAAATGACGAGGGCCAGCCTGTTCGTGTGCGCGTGTGCGTTGCTGATCGGCGCCGAGGCGATCGGCAGGTACAAGGGATTGGAATTTTTAGAACCGTGCTCCAGGGAGGACCGAAGCCTCGAAAGCTGCCTCGCGAGATCGGCCAATGCCCTCACTGAACACTTCCGTCACGGTAAGTTCTGATTATTCTACGGGACACATTGGAAACTACAGTAAATTCTGGATGAGTGTTCGAAGGCTTTTTCGCACTGAACATTAAATATTTCATAAACTAATGATTATATGCAGGTGAAGCAAATATTATTGGGTACAGAATTCTAAGCTCTATCACTGAACCTAATTGAAAAGTCGGGGGACCTTTCCTTGTCAGTCTTCGAACACTCATCGAGGATTTACTGTAATGGGATCTTTCTTTCTTGATCATCTCTCTTCGTAAATCCTTTTCGGCTTAAAAAAGCATGTATTCCTTGTTTTAATCTCTTCAGGAACGAATTTGTTAAGACCAGACGAGTAATCTTTTTTATTTGTCAAATGTATTTACTTGGAATGTATGTGTAAATATGAACGACAATCAATTGGTAGAATGACTCCTTCCTTTAGGGAATCCCCTAGTGAATATTTATTCACAGTAATGTTTATTATATGCTTTGAAATCATGCTTGAATGATGAAAGGAGAATTGTCTTGAATTATGATAGACAATATTTGTATGATAGTGGTGATTACATTAATTAATTTATTATTTATAAGCCACATATATTGTCTTTTATAAGGCCCAAATTGCTTGCACATGACAAGTTAGAGTATTGGTCGAAATTTGACAACCTTCCCCTACGCACTACCGACCAAAAGTATGGGACTAGAGTTAATTATACATCTACAAATAAATTTTAGTGTATTACTTTTGCCAAGTCTTTGTAAAATAATATTTTTCTCTTTGTTTAGTTATCAGACCTGGTCCCATACTTTTGGCCGGTTAGTGTACATATATGTGTTACATTTTATATCGCGAAGAATGTTTCTGGCATAGTGACAGTCCAGAATACGACGCTGGAAAACCTGCGTCGAATATTTAGTGGTTGTCTGTAGAAGTACCGTCCAGAACGGTACCATTTGTCGACGTATTTCGACAAACTTGTACATGAAAAAAATGGACGCAACAATGTCTTTAACGAATAAAAGAAAGTGGTGACGCTTACCGATCACTGTTCGCTATTTCTTCGATGCTATCGGTATTTTCGGAAACGCAAAACACGGAATAATACGGAAGTCGAAAGTCGAAGAATCACCGGGATCCACGTGGTGCCGATGAAAACGAGTAAAAAGACGTTCGCGGCAAAGAAGCAGGTTATAACGGTGTATTCGAATGGTCACCCAGTGTCCTACATTCCTCGCGCTCGTACTGACGCAGACTGACGGAATAGGTTCGGCGTTTCTGACGCGGACTGAATAAAACATTTGTTCGTTTTGACCCTCAAGGGCTGAATACCGTTCGATCACTTGCTTTGCTTCTTGATTCTCTTCATTAAACAACACTATAATATATTAGATACTTCCTAAAACGTACTCACTCCAATAATCAGTTGAATCTTTATCGTTCGTTAGAAAAAAACTTAAGGGCTTGTTTGTATCAGATCGAGTGCCATTATTACCATTTTCGTATTTCTTCTTCACAATTAGAAGACCATACTTTATAACGATCTCAACTGGTTTCTAAATTAAATGTTACAATTTGTAGTTTAAAAAAAGTCAGCTAAAGGTACTACTCCAGTTTTCATTGAACATTTGCAAAAGTCGTGAATGCCTTAAAAATTAATAACGAAAGTATCCCTTAGCTTCTAACGGACATCGATTTCTAATAGTCTCTACAGACTGCTTTCAAACATTACGTACCCATCTATTTCGATTCAATTGATTAAATACATTTAAATGTAAATTCGAATCAATAACTAATTATTTGTGGATGAATTCGTAGGTTTGCCTCAGTTGGGCTATTCGGACGTCGAGCCGATTATCCTGGACGAGCTGCACATCGCGCTCGGCGGCGGACCGGACGGTTACAGGGCCCAGTTCAAGGACATCACTGCGAAAGGTGTTTCCTCGTTAAGGGTGACTGGCCTAAGGGCCAGGCTGTCCGACGACGAGGTGCAATTGCAGTTGGCCATGAGCATTCCGAAAATCCGAGCCGCGGCCAAGTACAGATCGAGCGGGACCTTGATCCTGGTGAAAGCCAGCGGAGCCGGTGATTACTGGGGAGAGTACGGTAAGAAGAGAGCAACAATGTTTACAGCTATGTTGCTACTACTATCGCTGACAAGTTTGAATACATTAACATTATGTAGAACTACCAAACTGGTCAAAATGACGGATTGCAGATATATTAATTTAGGATTACTGAATTTAAAATATTTCTTTTGGTGGAATTTATGTTGGCTTCCAATATACAATATATTTTATGTTACACTATATTGTACTGAATGTTATTGTATATATGTAACTATATTATACAATGTAATTCAGTATTCATTGGTAGTTTTAGTGTTAAGGCTAACCAGCAGGAGGTTCTAGGTGAAACGTAGACAATGCTCGGATTTTGTTGATCATAAAATTCAGATGGTGTGAGATTCGAAAGGCACCTTGCGAGCTTAAGCACCGTGAAAAGTGATTACAATTCGAATAGATAGCTAATTATTGTGATAGAATAGTGGGGACTCGGTGAAAAGCATCGGGTAATGGAGAGCGACGTCTACTTTCACCGCCGACGCAATGCAAATTTGTTTTTAGAGGGCTTTTATGGTTTGGCTCGTCTAGCACAGTGTTTTCCAATCTTTTTTGGATCGTACCCCACCTCGATGCCTCGATGCCCCCACTAGAGTAATAGTAAACTAAGTTACTGAAAAAGTTTAATATTAATAACTGCTATAAATAAAAAAGGCACATGCAGATTCCTCTCAATTATCGTCTGGCTTGTTCTACACGATTATTGTCCAGGCATTATCCCCACCACTTGGGGGACATGGAACCTGTCAAGAGCATACTTTGTTGCCGAGGTTCTGGCTATGGACAAAAAACGAATTTACGAAGGTTCGAAACATTTCTACCTAAAAGATTATTGTCCTGGCGGGGACCCGAGTTCGAGACGATAATCGAGAGGAGTTTGTAGGTACAACTGTTGCCCAGGAGGTGACGAATTGATAATGATTTGCTAATTGGGAAACATTAGTCTGGTAGCTCTGTACTGGAACTTACAGTATCGGTTAAAAAATTTAATGGAATATCGTAAATAAACTGTAATGTTATTCGAATACTTACATTATGTTTCAATACTTATTACACTCGATGTTTATGCATTGCGTATCGATACTTATCACATTATTCCCTGATTGCAGAGGGAGTCAAAGCCAAAGTCTTCATCAGAGCAAAGCCGTTCTCGGTTCAAGGCCGTCGTTACTTGAGGCTACAGCAGCTCAAGATGGATTTCAGCGTGCAGAACATAAAAATGGGCGTCGAGAACGTTCGCGACAGTAACGCCATAATACGTAAGCGCTGAAAAAAATATCGATTCCATAATCTTTATTCATTCTTCAACATAAATGTCAATTCGAACTTTGATTTATTATAATTTACATGATATTTCGTATAATTCCACGAGCTTTTGAAAGACGTTCCGGCGAGAATTTACGACAATGACGAACTTGCCGATCGAAGGCCGCTTAATATCGTATTGATATTTAATTACGTTCTTCTTTTTTCTTTTACTTTCAGTGGCTGCATTGAACCTGTTCATTAATACTAATAGTCAGGAATTGCTGAAGGAGATGAAACCGGATCTCAGACGGAAATTGGTCCAAGTCATGACGACCTTCGTCGAAAAAATCTTCGCTCAAGTACCATACGATGCTTGGATCGCCGATTAAGGATTCGTAAAAATCACGTCTCTGGAAGGCAGTGACTTCCGCGAACGATTCACTCTCATTAGTTTTTGTACTGTGTTCTCGGGGAACGAGGACCTTCATACGCCATTATCATCGATAGATATACTCTCGAGAGCGCAGAAATTCGACGCGACACGCGATATCAAAGTGATAAAGGGTAGATTAGATGTGTAAATTGTAAAAATTAAGGAGATTTCGCCACTATTATTAAGGTAAATAAGTATCGAACGGTATTTACATTCGATAAGAATTCGAACAAACCGAGAAGGGTACGCTGTTGAAATATTGAATCATTTTATACTGCCTCTTAGGTTTAGTTTCTTTTTTTTTTTTATTATTATTTAAGTATCTATTTAGTGACGAAAACGTACGGTTAGCTATTAGAAGATACGTGTACTGAATGGAAAATCATGAGACACTGTTACTCGATGTCTGATAGGGTATAAATTATGTAATTATAAATTATAAACATGTTTCGCAACATTGTGACTAATTGAAGAAGGAGATTAGGGTAGATTGTAGACGTTCTCGCTATTGTTATTTCTCGATACAGAGTCTTTTGTAACTACCCTTGTATATCCGTTCTTCAATTTATACCAAACATTATAATACGCTCAACAATATCGTACTACATTTAATTAAGTACTTACTTTAGTTAAATATAATCGAATTGCCGATTAAATTGTAATTTGTACAATCCGGTGGTAAGAGCTATTTAAACGTAATTGTAATCCTGTGGATGAACGATCAATTACTGAAATAGAATATTTATTTCTCACATTATTTCAACGAAATTATCATTATTTCTCGAAATATCCTCTGTTTACGTTCTACTTCAAAAACATTCCACCCACGTCGCCATATTGGATAACATTAATCCCGAAGCTACAATCGATTCCAGTCCGATACCAACGATTAACCTTTTTGCATCGTTACTACCAATTCAAGATTTTATAAACCTCGGCAAGAAACGGCAATAAACATAATCGATCCATTTAGATCACTAATCCTCCGAACAGGAAATCGATCGGAGTGTAAAATGCGAAGTATGTATCACTGAATACTGGAAGTTTCTTCGGACAATTCGTTGATCTTCGGTTCAATCTCTCGTGGTTCGTTGCGTAATAAACAATTACATTATATCATCGATCACTTTTGCGACTGCTTGCGGGTCTGCAAGACGATGGCTGCCACTCTGAAACGGGTAAACATATCAAGTCCTCCGGAAGCTTCAGTCTGACGACACTTGATTAATTCCTCGGACGCTCGTATTTTGTGTGTCTTCCTACGTCTTCTACGGTCGACGTGTCACGAAGTTTCTTCCGTGAAATTGATGAATCTTTAAACAAGATAGAAAAAAAAAAATAATCCTTGTACAACGTATCGTCGAGCTATCGAATGCCGCATAAAAAGATATTTCGTTAAAAGAACGCAGGCAAATTAGGCTTCGTCGATTAATTGCAAAGTACTAACTATTAATCCGTGATTACAGCCGTATAAATAATTCAACGATCTCTAAGTACGGATCGGCATATTACGTAATGTTTGTAACATTAAAACGATTATGGTACAACACATTAGAGGACGATAGACAATTTTGCTTGTACGATGTGGAAATTAGATTGAATGCGACACCGTGTTCTTGTCTCTTCTCTCGTCCACATCATTTTTACACGGACGATCCGCTAGATACGAGCACGTGTCTCGTTGAAAAGACGAATTTCTATGCCCGAAAGCGTGGAACACGTGAACCAACGTGCGTACGTACGTACGTAAAACGGAGAACGGAGTTCGATGCCTTGACCCTGTCCTTCGAACGTTACGAACCGCGATGAAGCGTAGCTCTGGCTTTGGCGTTCGCTCTCGCGTCGTTTTCTTAGAAGAAAAAACTTGAGGAGAGAGAAAAAGAAGTATCTGGATGGTCATCGGTGGAAAGGCGACATGCCGTTGGAATATATAGATGGGGGGAGAACTAATTCTTCCTGTTTTTCAACGAAGGGAATCCGGTCGACCGGTTTTCCTGCAACCTCCGAATCGACGAAATTTTAGAACTGTATCTAACCCTGTCGCCTACTGTTCAATTATTGTATTCAAATTCGTGATTAATATTTGTAAAATTAAACATTTGTAGTGTAGTCATACGAAATTATTGGAACCTGATAGAATAGTAAATAAAGTAGACAGATCTTGGTTTGAATCCAGTTCCTGTAAATTAACCCTCACAATTCTATATTTCCATATACATCTGCAATCTACTTGTAAGTTATTAGGACACTTATCGAATATGTAGTAAATTTGTGGATTTTATACATTTACATAAGAGTGTGATAAATTTTCATGAAGTTTTTATTTTCTTTAGAACCGGATAGAATAGTAAATAAAGTAGACAGATCATAATTTGACTCTAGTTCCTGTGAATTAATCCCCAAAGGTCTACATTTGCATAAACATCTGCAGTTTACTTGTAAATTATTAGAACACTTATCTAATATGCAGTATATTTGCGGATTTTCTGCGTTTACATAAGAATTAATAAATTTTCCAGTTCCTGTGAATTAACCCCCAATATGTATACTCGTATAAACATTCGCAGTCTACTCATAAGTTATTAGGACACCTATCGAATATGCAGTAAAAATTGTAAGTCATCACGGAATTACTGAAAGTGTGAAATAAATAATATTTATTTATTGTTACAAAATAACGAAACATTTACGATCCATCGCAGTTTCTCTACAAAAACCACGATTCCCAATACTTACGAGTGTTAGCGTAAATATCCCAAAATTCAAGACACGAACATCAACAATGACCCTTCTTAAATCGAGATACATTTTAATACTTAATCATCTCTAGCAGTTACATTCAACAGGATAATTCAAAATACGCCCACTCGTCGCTTACGTCAATGTCATTTCCATCGTCGAGACATAGTTAATCGTATTCAGATTAAAAATCCTTCGTCCCCCTACCCATATAGCCTGACTGACTAATGGAACCTCGAAAAAAATCTCAATGCTATCACACGATAAATCTTGAAATTACCGTTACGGTCGCTCGAATCAGTTCCGACATATGACGTATTTCATCGAAATATGTAAGTGATTGAAAATGTACAGGGTCTTTTCTCGTAACCTCGTGTCGGTGAGCGTGTATGTATGGATGTGTGCGATTGATACCCAACGCTTATACACATCCTTGCCGATATACGCTAAACGTGAGCGTGGCACATGTCGCGGGGGGCACGATCGCATGTTCAGAATTCGTGATTCGTACCGGGCACGTTCATCCGAACGTTCCGGAGAGGCAGGTCTTCTCGGTCGGCACAACAAAGACAGCCCGACCACAGAGAGGGGATGAATGAAGAACTATAAGGACCTGGGGCTGGCCACCGCTGTATTCATTTCAACATCGGCCATCCGATCATTCGTCGTGGGTGACGAAACAACCCCGCCAGGCTTCACAGTTCTCGTATTCGCGAGCCAGTAGCTACGAACCGCGAGCCCAGCATCTCTTCTAGTTCGCCTATTTTTATTTATATTATATATACATCTATTTAACCGGCAGAGATGAGGAGGAACGTGGTGTCAGGACTGGTCCTTGCGACGATTTTTACAGCTGTTCTAGCCCAAGAATTGCGTAAGTGGAATTTTACCGCATTTTCGACTCTCTATTTGTTCTAGTAGTGTTTCACGATTGTTATAGCTGTTTCGGAACGGAGAAATTTTACTTGAATGAAATTTTTTTTTTTAATGAATATTTTCTCGGGTGGAAGTTCTATGTACCAGTGGGTTTGGCAGGGATTTAGTATTGTTGAACTATTTTTATACCACTGGCAAGCTGAATGCAAGTAATTCGTATTAAATTTTGGTCTGTTTTGTTTCTTCTCGATAGAGCCTGTTATTTATTATAAATTGTTTGAATTTATTGAATTGATGTATGTAATACGTGCGCCGGTTCCGATTCGATCAATCGATTAAACATGCGGTGTTTATTGAAGTTCAGTTCTTGTAAATAAATTTTATTGCGAGTTCCAAGGAGGAAGCATAAGAAGAGATTTTGTTCCGGGACATGTTAGTATGGTCGTTGCTTGTTTCATTGACGCACTTACTATCCACGCGTTCGCATTACCGTGTGTTTTCGGTGGTGTATATTCGTTTGTCGAAGTAATTAATCGGATTAGTGTTTCGAGTATTTCGAAATTAATCAACGTATTGCATAATACGCGTATTTGTATAGTATATTATCGGTGTCTATTCGTTTGTTGAAGAAATTAATCGAATTAGTGTTCCGAGTGTTTAAAAATTAATCAACGTATTGCATAAATCGCGTATTTGTATAGTATATTATCGGTGTCTATTCGTTTGTCGAAATAATTAATCGGATTAGTGCATCAAGTGTTCAAAAATTAATCAACGTATTCTATAAATCGTGTGTTTATATATCATATTATCGTGTCGATGACAAAATACTTACAAAACAAATATCGAACGCAGCCGAGTTTATTCACGTGTGCAAACGGAACGATCCGAACCTGGGCGATTGTATCAAGGCGAGCGTGGAGAACGTTAAACCGCATTTGGTGCATGGAGTTCCGGAATACAGCATCCCTTCGCTGGAGCCATTGTTATTGAAAGAGGTGGTCGCCGCGCCAGGAAACACTATCAAACTGAGGCTGAGGAATGTCCACGTTTATGGAGCCAGTAATTTCACTGTAGCAAGAATAAGGTAAATAACACAATTAGGGGTCACTTAGGTTGATTTATCATTAGTGGACTGGTTTTTACGTATCTATAGCCTATATGGGGCTCTTGGACTCAATAAGAATACTTGACCTTTAGAGGACGGGAATCCAATCTTTAGGCTCCTGAGGGATTATATACACTACAACAAATATATAAAAGTTCTAACTTGAAAATAGAAAAAGTGACTATAAGATAATTAGGGTCTTTAGAGTAAGTAAAGTACTCTAAAGGTTAAAAGAAAATGAATTTACCTCAGAAAATGTAATTCTGCATAAAAATCCACGGTCTAATCATCGGATACAGAGAATCGAATTTTTCAAATACGCCATTTTCGTCTGCAGGATCTTCAAGCCAGATTGTTCTTAATTTATTTTGTCGGGAAATTGCGAGTATTGTTCATAGATAATATCGATTCTGTGATCTCGTCGAAACGGAAATTCGGTATAGCAGTATTAATTGGTAGATGTCACTGAAACTGAAAGGAATGACAAACAATTAGTTGACATTTGATACTTGAATTAACTAGATTGTCTAAATTCATGTGTAAGATGTTATCCAATCGGTGTATAGTCGCGTAACTGAGCTAAGCTCAAAGCAAAAAGGCGTCACTCGAATAATTATTCCAGATTGCATAATTCAAGCACGGTTTACATTCACGTTGGATATTTGCATTCAGATGTTCTGTTCGACATTCATGTCGGTGTTAATTGCCGCGAAAACGACCGTACTTTAAAAAGCCATTCGGTCGGTCCGTAAAACAAAACGAAATCGTCCATTATGTCGTATCAACCGGATAATGACTCTTATAATAGCCGCGGCAATGAACGATCCCGCCTTGAGATATAATGCTCGCTACCAAACGCCTCGTCTGCCCCTACCAGGGATCTTTGTGGATCCGACGGTGCGAGTCAAGGACGACCGTTGTTTAACATTGAACACATAATTAAATTCGTGCGATCGTGTTTTGACATTCCTCGAATATACAAGTCGATGTCAAACTCATTTTCATTTTCCTTTTCCATTTCTGTTTGTTCCTATTCTAATAAACAGAAAATATCAGTAGTTCTAGTACAAAAATGAAGTTATTTCGACGAAAGAATTTCATACATATGCAAAATGCCCCCGGGTATGTATCTCAGTGCGTACATCCGGCTCAGCGATTGGAGGGACTTCTAACTTCGGGTGATTAATTCGAAGGAATCGTTTTCCAACTATCTGTCTCTTCGTATCTCAATAATATATCCTTTTGTTTTTTCATGTTTCTATAGCTTCGAATACCAAATAAATGGATAGTAATATTGATTTCCGTCTAGGGACCATTTTTCACCAGATCATCGAAAGATTCTCGATAATTAATCATTTCTTATTTGCATATAGACTTCGAGATACGAGATGTATGCAAATTATCGATAAAAGTGAACGAAAACCATCGAGTTCTTGAAACAAACCACCACGATATACAGTCGTGCGGTTAGTATTCCGCGAGCACGCGAACCGATGTCCGTGACACGAACTCTTTAAACACGAGACAGCGAACGCGTGACACGTGAATTGCGAAAAGAGAGGTGGTCCCCGGGACGTTAACGGAAACGACGAGTTTCATTGGTGGTTATTGTCCATTAAACAATTTTCCTACGGTCGTTAAAATTATTTCCGTCGATTTTCACGAACGATTACCGTTTTAACTGGACACGATCGCAAAAATTGAACCTTTTTTCTTCTTTCGTCTCTGCCCAGGGCCAACATCGACAAATTGCGTTTCCTCATCGACTTGGACTTCAGGGCCCTATCTATAGAAAGCGACTATGATATCGATGGAAAGTTGTTGCTTCTGAGGATCCGTGGATCGGGACCGATGTACGGAAACTTCTCTGATTGCAAAGGATTCGTGAAGGTCCAGGCTGAAACCACGGACAGGCCGGACGGCAAGCACGGCGTAAAAATCGTCGATTTTAAGACGAAGATCGCGGTTGGAAACGGGAAATTGAGGCTGGAAAATCTGTTCGGCGGCGATCCTGCCCTCGGGGACGCTATCAATATGGCGATTAATACGAATTTCGACGCTTTTATACAAGAATTACAACCGACCCTCGAGAGCGCTATCTCGGACACGTTCCTCTCGATCACGAACAGCATACTCACGAAATTCACATACGAATCGCTTTTCCCGCTGTCGTAGGGATATATATATATAATGTATATTATTATTAATTTCTTTGTAAATCAATGGGGGAGAGCTTATGCAGCAATTGTTGATTCCACGACGACATTTTGCACTGTTCGAAGACTTTTTGTACACGTTACGCACGTAGATTTTCGTAATTTTAATGATAGCATAATAGATCGAGAGTGAATGGAAGAATTATTTTTAACGATTAAGGCTTTCCGAATTTTCGCGTCGTGTCATGAAACTGCAGTGGAATAGAAATTTTACATTCCTACGTAAACACCAGCAAGATTCGAATCGAATCCTGTTTTCTTCTTCGTCGGGGAAACCGGACCATTACGATGTCTGAAAAAGTGTTTGTAAAGATTCATTGCGATCGAATGTAATATCGACGAGGAGATAAAGGAAATAAACGTTTATTTGTAGTAAGCGTGCAACTTATAATTTACCCTGTACTAAGCAGACACGTAACAAATAGGAATGCGATACCTATATTATTTAAAGCATCTCGAGTGATCGGTGTCACGCGAATTAATGTAAAAGAGTGGAGAAGATGATAAAATATCTCTGAGCTTTAGTTTATTGAATATCAGTCGTCTTCGATAAGAAAAACCTTTGGAATCAAAATTGAGAATAAAATGAAGAAACGATAAAAACATAAAAACTATACACTAATAATAATAAACATTTCAAAACGTTTTATGGTCATAGAGGTCACGAAACAAAGATGGCGGATGCAACTGTTCTCTATTTCCACATAATACAAACATTTTATCGGAATACTCGGAAGTGTTCTTGAGAAATTTCCGAAGAATCACATTCAAATATTCTAATAAATATTAAACATAACGATGATAGGGACAATTCGTGAATTTCCGTGAACGTAGTAACAGAGCGTGTCGCATATCGAGAATTCGCGGTTCCAGCAAATAGTGACCTGTGAGAATTTTCACGGTCTCTCGATTATTATTCTCGATCGGGGAAAAGTTCGTCGTAGGTGAAATGCTTGCAGATCTTGTTCGCTATTTGGAGACATCTCTCGGAAATTACCCGTTCCAGATTGGGCCTGGTAGCTTCGAGGATCTCTTGATGGCTGTTCCCCAGCGCCTGGCTAACAGCTTCCTGCAGTGTTTTGTCGAAATTGTCGGCCTCGAATTTCACGGTGTAATCTTTCACGTTCAGCTTGGTCGTCATCGTCGGGAAATACGTGTATTTCTTACCGCCGCGTTCGACCAGCTTGAAGTGCAGCTTTACTTTTGCGTTCACGTCCTCTGCAACAGAAGACGTTATAACGTTAACAATCCGTTTCTTTGCGATAGTTTATAAATTTCGTAGGGTTGATGCACCAGTAAATGGACAGGTACCAATGAATGAACATTATACATGAAAACTAGTAAATTAAGTTATTAAAGTAAGCAAATGATTGAATATAGATTTTTTTCATTTTCTATTTAATATTGTTCATACAACGGTGAAATTTGTATATTTTTCTCTTTGAATTAATTAATTACACTTTTCCAATTTTCCAAATTGAAATCTATACATTTTAAAAGAAAGGTATGGATATTAAAAAATCTAATTTTCACGTATTGAATATTTATTAAGACTACTATCTTTGAAAATTCGACTTTAGTAGTTGCAAAATTTCTTAAGTGTTCATTCATCGGTGCGTTTATCCTAGATGGTATAATTTAGTGAAACGAGCTTACTTGCGTTCAGTTTGATCGGTCCCTTTCCGTTGATCGGTATCAAAATCTTTGCGGAGACGTTGTAAAGCGCCTCCATCCGGATGTCCTTTAGCTGGAGATCGATATCGATCTGTTGTTTCGGGAGATCGATATGGAGGGAATTAATGTGGTAAGTCGGGAGTCCGTAGAGTTTAATGTCCGTCCCTACGGCTTTGAAGTTATTCATGTCCGCGAGTTGCACCTTGTCGATCGTCAATGGATCCGAGGGCGGAATGTCCAACTCGGGGATGCCTTTGCGAAGTCTGTCCGACAACGCGGCCACGCTCTTGATCACGCATGCGTCGAGATCTGGGTTCCTCGCGCCGCATACTTGAATGTACGAAGCTGAAAATAAATGGAATTTATAGAAGTATAGAATGTTAAAAGTCAGCTTCAAGGTAATCGAAAGTGCAACAATTTAATTTGAAAAAGAAAGAAGCAAATATCATAAATACTACTTTTTGCTGTGGCTGTTCACACTTTGAGTCATACATCTCACGACCTATAAGTATACGATTAGAAGGCAATTACGTTATCCTGATAAACTACTGTTTTTTCTCTGTTTCTGATCTTCTTTATCTTGAATTGTGACTTTTGTGATGGCGTTGGAATGCAAACGAGAGCCAGCAATGTCGTAAAATTATCGAGTGATTTCACTGTACACGGTGTTCGCGATAATTTGTACCATCGTTTTTTTTCGTAAACGGTAAACATTAGAAAAGAACCGAAGAGGAGGCGATTGTAGTATATTTTACTACACAATATTACGAAATGGTAAATTTATTTCTTTTATTTCTTCCTGACTTTCGACAGTTCCGATTATTCTGATCACCTTGAATCCTGTGAAAATTTCTTTCCGCGTTATCCGACCTTGTTGATCATGTCCTTCGATTGTTTATTCCGTCGCGCATGTATCCAGCACGTAATCATGGGCCATAAATCTTTATGGACAGCCTGTCAGTGTTTATTAGATGGTGGTCTTGAACGCCACTTTTTAAGGAACTACTTGTAACACTTCTATATTATACGGAGAATTTAATTTTTATCTAGAATGGCTGCCCTAGCAAAAATTAAATATTATATATTGTATTCTTCTTTGGTATTTACATACCCCAGAGTAACTGTCTCTAAGAAGTGTCATGCAAAGTGACAAATATCTTCCAATATTTACTTCCTTTAATTTATGGTTGTATCATTACTAACAATAAGGTTGATAATGATTTTTCCCAACACCAAACAATTTCTGCATACATTATATTCGAGTCCCTTAAACACTCCCTATTGCTATCTAAATAATTTTCTCGAGATACGAAATTATCTATTCCCGAAACTAGTCAGACTAGTGCAGAAAATCGGTACTTACGGACTGCAGCGCTCGCGAAGCCGACAATAGCCGCGAAGACCAGCAACACCTTCGCGAACATGTTGGACCGACACTGTCTCCTCTTGCAGGATGTTTTTTCCTTCGACACGAAGCAGACGAGGAAACTCTAATCCTCGTGCACACGATCGAGACTGATCTTTAAGCAACTTGCATGCTTGTATATATAGCTTTGAGGATAACATTGCCGTTGCATCGGAAACAATTCTGAATCACTTGAGTCCATGGCCATGATCGTAGGATACGTCTGTTCCTCCTAAGCCGATAGTCTCCCCCACCATCCTCCGATCGCACGTGATAGAGGAGGAAGTTTCTTAGAAATTAATTAATATGTCAGATCCACTCGAACTTTGTTTCCATAAAGCGATTTTTTGACAATGGCAAACTGGTATTCCTTACTTTCCAGTTCTGTTACATTGGTAACCATCCAATAGGATCATTTGGAAGTCAAAATGGATGCTGAAGGAAGTAAATGAATCATTTTGCTTTATCGTATAATTCGATGGTCTTCAATGAGAATATTGTTACGTTGAACTCAAAGTATGGTCTCCATTTTTTTTCTATAATTCTCTTAACTAATTTAAAAATATTCATTTTACATTGTCTCATAAATTTTCCATTTTTCCACTAATTTGTGAAACGGGTGATTTTCCGACGACCGACAACTTTGTGGATAATTATAAGTGATTAATAACAACCTGAAGTAATTATCCCACTGGAAGCGTAAGTTCGATATAAATTACAATACATTATGCACCGATACAGTTAAATGCGAGAATCTTCAGATGAGTAAACAAGGAAATAACAAATTATATTAGATTGTATTATAAACATACCAGTGACTAAGAATTCCAATGACGTACGTTTGATTGATTTACCACTCATACTTAATGTTCACCACAAATATTATACAGGGTGATTCATAAATGCATGTCAATACTTCAGGGGGGTTAGTCTACACACTAATATGACTAAAAAATGTCATGTAAACGTATGCCCTATACATATATACCTTAGTTGTCGAGTTGTGGATGATTAAAGAGAACGTTCGATGTGTTCACCTCGTGCTTCAACACACACTACTGCACGCCGTAGCATCGAAAATATCAGGTATTCTTCGAATAATCTCGAATCCATTTGATGTCCTATTTGTGCAGTTCGTGCACATTATTCACTTGCATTGAGTTAAAAATAATTTTTAAATGGCCCCAAAAGTAAAAGTCTAATGGGTTGAGATTGTGCATTCCGAACAGTTTCTTTAATCACCCACAACTCGAAAACAAAAAGACATATGTTCATATGACGTTTTTATTACTTATATTAGTGTGTAGATTTTACCCTTTCAAGTGTTGACATACATTTATGAGTCACCCTGTGTATGTATATAATTATAGTCCACTTCTTATATAAATCTGACGTTATTCTCGAGTATAGGTATTGCCGTAACAATCTCAACAGTTTCTTACACGGTGCCCAATAAATCAGTCTTGATAGATGTTCATATATCAAGTTCAATATCACACGGAGAGATCTTGATACTAAATAATCAGTATTACGATCTCTCGAAGCCAATACGCATCTGATTGTTACATGTATATATAATATATATGTATCTCATTCGCTACATATCGGCACCAGCTAGAACGCATGCCAGATCGACTTCCTGCTTTATTTTTCTCCAATTCCCCCGTCCGATCGAGAAAAAACATCTCCTTGATCATGAATAGTCAAAGTGTTTCGATGGGTAACAGAGCAACGAAAAACAGGTTTCCATGATAAAAATGTGCCAGACTTGGGAGAACCGTCGATCTGGATCGATTATACTTCACCGGGAACAATTGAAGAATACTTCTAGAGAACACTGTGAGTACGAAAAATTAAATTTTTCTGGAGGAAATGAAGTTGACTGACTTTAAATTATTTACAAAATTTGAATGTGACTATAAGAATACAATAATCCAAATGTATCACAAATGTTTATATTTTTTTTTTATTATAATGTAGTCCAAATTCATGACGAAGATAATTAGATTAAATTTGCAAACATTTTAAGTGTCAATTCCGATTGTTCAAAATCATAAATATAATATTTGAAATGGCACTTACAGTGTTCTCTATAGGGGTGAAGTTAGATGTACCCAGGGGTCCCATTCTTTTAGCACTATTGGTAAGTGTTTACAAAGGGAAATTGCCTTTATATTGTACACTACAGTATTCCCATTGGAACGTAGAACATTTTCCGACAGGAAACAAAACAGAAGCAAAATTTTTACAATTTTGAGAGTTACAAAGTTTTCTAGAACTCCTAAATTATGTATGCAGTTTTTCCATGTTCTAAGTCGTTACCCAGGACCGTTTTACTGGTTTTCCGACGTCATTGGAAGGTAAACGAAGGACACCCGCTTCCGGTAGCCTGGAAACTTTTGCCAGTGATCTGCGCACCGCCCGATTTCTGTGTCTCGAAAACAGACAGGTCCGTATTCGGCGCACGTCATTCGAATCACTTTTTTTTTTAAGATTCGGGTGACGTCGGGGCAAGGTCAGTTTTTCGTTCCAGAGATCCAGCATTCCATTAAAAACTGATCGAGAACATAATGAACCCGCTTAGAAACGGAACCGATCGATTCCGTGTGCAACAAAAAAACGGACCCAAAATTGCCAAAAGATAGAGGACGTTCGAACTTAAAAGCATTTCCTTGAAAAATACGAACAGACTAATGTCGTAATCTCGACGAGTTTATTATGATGCGATTATTAGCTATTGTAAAATCCAGTCTGACGTAGGTGACGTGATGTAATTGATACAAGTGCCATTTTCGATCGATCATGGTTGATATTTTTATACGGTTTTTTCTCCCTTAAATCTGGATACCAGAGATGTAACTGTCGAAGCAAAAACTGGTATGTGTTACGTAAACTAATGACAAGTCTTGTTAACAGGTGCTTGATTAAAAGTCATTCGACGCTTTTGTTCTGTATTAGGTATTCTCGTGGTAGTAATGGGACTGATACAACGTCGATTCGAACATCGTGAGACCAAACTGGAGGTTCGATATTCTGTAGAAAAATCGAACTAACAAGGTACCCCAAAAATTACGATTTTTTTCTTTGAAACACCGCAGATTCTGATTGGTGGACCTCGATAGAAACATTGGGCCATTTTTCGTTCTTTGCTAATATTCGGTCGTTCGGTTCATCGATCATTATTCAAGATCACTGATATCGTTTTAAAAAGCTTGAATACTATTGTTTTCGATAGTTTTCACGTGGACAGCAAGAATATCGATCCCATCGCTAAACAACGACCGCTAACGATCCTCAGTGTGGTTTCACCTTTCCTTCGATACCGGGCAATTAGTTGTTCTGGACGCGACAAAGAAAGGGAAAAGCCTGCGGTTTGAAGTTGAAACATTTTTCCGTGAATCAATTCCGACGATGTTGGACCGGTGCGCATATTTTGTTACGGATCGCAGGATTTCGGGTTCGGTTTGTCGTCGATCTCTCGCGGCATTTTACAACTTTCGCTATGCTTTAATGGCGGATCGTAAAAATCGCGGAAATCGGTACGCCGGGCAAGTTTTTACTGGCAACCGAATCCACGCCGGAGTAAAGAGAAGAATGTCGGCCTCGTAGATCATTGGAATTAGCCGTCAGCTCTTTCGCAACGTGCATCATTTTTCGCGGCTTTCTCCGACGGGGATCGAAGTTACATAGTAACCACATTTTCTGTTTCTTTCGCTCGTTGAATCCTTTCGTTTCTTGATGCCATGATGGTGTATATGGTCGTCTTCAATAACACAGAATACAGAAGAACTGAGGATACTTTGTAGATATCAGAAAACTCTAAAATAAATCCAGGGTAGAGATAGGCAAATTCATCATCTAAATAAAAAGTTCGCAATAGTAAATAAAAAAAAAAATTTTGCCATTTTTACTTGACTAAACGTGGAAATTTCAATTTTTATAATAAAATAATATTTCTTTTTGAATGAGTCGACACTTGGTAAAGAATTATTTAATCTCACTAACTGTTTAAAGGTTAGGGCGACGATCTTGGATACTGTTACGTTTCGTTATGTGTTATTCGAATAAAATTCTGCTCAACTCTGATCCAGGAGACCTCATTAGATCCCGAGGAACGTCAATGAATCTTCAAAGGTCGTAGAGGACCCTAGAGGGTGAGCCCTCCAAGAGGCTTCAGAAGAGTACAGAAGATTCGAGAGGGCTCTGGAGTATCACGTGGAGCTTTGAGAGGCATCAGAGGGCCTCAAAGAGCCAAAAGAGCCCTGGAGGAACTCTAAAGGATCCCAGAGGACTTCGTGAAACTTCAGAGACCCTAGAGAACACGAATCGAATAATCGATCGTATTACCTTCACCCTTAAAAGCTACCATAAAAATAACTTTGTTTGTTATATTATTATTACAATTGAAAGCACTAATAAATACCGTAAATTGGGGTGATTTTGGACTCAGTTAGGGTAACTTTGTCCCAAGTCAGAAAATGAATATTTTCGATCTTCCAGCTCTGTAAATTGTTAAATTAAGTTGATTTTTACCTGGAAAGGTATTTCATATAAAAATACCTGTAAAGGGCTGCAAAATCAAAAATGTCATTTTCTGAATGTCGGGCAAAGTTACTCCTGCCAAAGTTGAAGTTACCCTAACGATACCCAACAAATTAGTGTTACCAGTTGTTACGTGTTTTTTAAGAATATTAATCCTTGAATAGTAAGATGGGTTTTAAAATCATACATGGTAAGGTGCTGTCGAATTCGATCGGGGCACTTTTTTGCCATTTTCAAACCGATAGGAAAAAGTTATTATCTTCAACTTGTATTTACCAAAAATACAAAATACTTTCTTTCACTTAGATCGGATACGACCTGAAGTTTACCATTAGAGGGTTAAAATAAAATTCGCACGTATAATACACATTATACACATACGTATAACGGCCACAAATAATTTTCCTGTCAACAGTGGCGCAATCGCTCAGCTTCCCCGAAACTTGTCCCACTTCGTTCACAATTCACTTATCCTTTCCATAAATCTGCCGGCGACACGGCGCCGAGATTAACGTCCACTCACTTGAATTTACACGAAGTTGCAGTAACGCCGTTGACATTAACACCATCGGAATCGCCTAATGCCGTTACACACGCGAATAGCAACGAAGGACGCAACCAGACGCACAATTTTATTTCTCCGGCTGTTTTGCAATCCTTCTGCGATCGATATCAGTTCGATCGTTTGCATTGCAAACAAACGTACACGATCAAGCTAGATCGCACAGAGGGGGTTCGACATTGTAACGCGATGCGGAATAGAACGGCTGCTGGTAAACGTTATCTATGATCTATGATTACCGATGAAATTTATGCGGTCAAACTAGTCGACGGTGTTGTCAGAGAAAGATGAAGGGAGAGGGGGGCATTAGATCGAGCATAGAGTGAACGATTAATGACGAATTGCTGACTCCTTATTTTACGATGACCAAAATTGTAATAGTGCTACTGGCAAAAATTTATGGTGGATTTTAATTAACTACATATTTCATGTTATACTATATTATGCGAAATTTTACTGTCTAATATGGATATTATTATATTATACGCGGGGAAAACGGTCCCTGTCCCCTCCCCCTGTATGATATAGGCGGGTGAAACGCAGCGAAAACGCAGCCGATTCGATCGTCGATCAGCGACCTGCACCGTTCTCCAGTCCGTGTAAACTTCTCCTAGCGTGGCGACAAGCGATTCCTGGGGCCTGGACCAATGACCGACAAGTGGCACGAGGTAATCAACATGCCGAATGCGATAGAGCAATACCTGGTTACAACGCACCTGGGGGATCCAACGGGTTAAACATATCATCCCCGTCTATCGAACAGCTAGTCGCCGAGAACCTTCGGACCGGCAGCGATGTACGCTCCTCTTGCCCGCGTATGGTACGACAAAGACAGAGTTGGGCCGAATTTTATTCGAATAATACACAGTGAAAAGCAGCAGCATCTAAGGGTGTCGTTCTGTGCTTTAAACAGTCAATAAGATTAAATAAAGGGTGTCTCAGCAAGAACTTGAATTTTAACTAAATTAAAAAACATATTAATTTAATTGTTTTTTTACATTTTATTATTGATATCTTCAGAGTTATTAATGACATTAAACATGGAATAAAATTGTCGGTTGAATGGCCACCGTTGGTCTGGTGGCAGGTGTGTATTCTTTTGACGAAATTTCGCAGTACGTTTTGGAGTAACGGCTGGTGGATTTTACGAATTTGACGTTCAATTTCTTCTTCGAGTCTCTGAATTGTCTCAGGGTGGTTTGCAAATATGATTGAGTCACCATTTGACTCAAAATTCTTGCTGAGACACCCTTTAATTGTTCGACAAATGTCGATTCATTCATAAAGAAGTACTATTTTATTATAAAACTTGACATTTCCACGTTTAGACAATTAAAAATGGCGAAATACTTTTTTTTATCTTTTATTCGTTATTCGAAACTTTTTATCTACATAATGAATTTGCCAATCTCTGGACACAGAGATCTTATACGATGGGGGGTGGATCCAGATGTTTTTCGTTGTGCAGGCTGATAGATCATTGTTTTTCAATCGACGACAAATTTTAACGCACTTCGACGAGTCGATATGTGCGTCGTGCTGATCGATTTCCTGTTGGTTCGATTATACGATTGGGTCTGGAATGTGGTTTTTTGTTAGGGAACTCGCGATGTTGATGTTCAGTGCTGTGTTGTGTGGTTCTCTAGTTGGTGGTTGTCTTTTTTTGGTTTTGCTTGAGCTGAGTGGTTTTTGATATTGTTGTGAATGTGTGTTACGAATGTCAACATAACACATTTTTTTGTTATCATTTACCACGTGTGATAATACCATTTCTTCAAACCTTATGGATCAAATAATTAAGTGAATTTGTACAAAGCATATAGCTTCTTTAGTAAATTCGTACTTATTGCAACAGGTCACATATTACAATTTGCAAGTAACTACCATCGTAACTGCGGTTTGCATTATGCAAAGAAACGCATGGGTTATGGCGTTTACTTCCAGCCTTGGCACTATTTATTTAAAGAGTTTTACAAATACACAATTACTCGTTAAAAACACACAATTCGTCGTTCATGTTTGTTCGTTCACTGGAACTAATTTCCAAACATTACTGTACTATATTATTAATATTGGAAGATTCTATGATTTCTAGATTATATTTTATATTCCTTCGATCGTAGGAAAGCCATTTTACATTTGACATATATCTGCACAAAATTATGCAAGTCATCTTCGACTCATCGAACAAAGTCTTTCGGAATACAAAGTATGGGCAAATATTTTCCAATTGTTCACGATGATCTCAGAACAAATTTCAGTGGTGTTTTAAACGAGAGGAAATATTTAACCAGCTATTAGCCAGATTCCACTTCCACAGCAACATACATTAATTCAACTTCTACTTCAGTGTCACGGTCGTAGTTGAACGAGTCGCCTGGCTCGAATATCAGCTGACAGCGAAAGTGTCACCGTAGACGCTAATTAAATCGTGATCTTACAACTGCGAAAAAAAGTGAATGAATGAAATAACAAAAATTTCTATGTTTGTTCTTAGCCTGACGGCGGCTCTGTTCTGCGTGGTGTCCGCTCTGCTACGTGAGTACTTTCTCGAAAAAACCTTTAATATTATATTTTAAAAATTCCCTGTCAGTGTGAAACAGATGAATTCACGCGATCCGTTTTGACGATTCGAAAGGTCCCAGCAAAAACGTCAAGGTCTTGTCATTCGTTGCACGAAGAGGTTGACATTAAACGGTTTCTTACGAAATTTCAGTTCACTGCCGTCGATGTTTATGCACATATAAGGGGAATAAGGCTCGTTTTATGTGCATTTCAATCGATCGTTGCAGAATCCATCGTACCACTTTCGGTTCGTAAATACGATTGCGCCGATGTCCTTGAACCCGTTCGAAGTAGAGTCATTGTCGCGAAACCCGATGCACTCTGAATGCACGAGTCAACGAGCAGTCATTAGCGAATTCAAGTTGATCTCGAAGGCCGACATGCTGTAATCTATATCTGGAGCTTGTATTCCTCTTGGACGGTTAATTTCGCAACTGTCTTACAGTGGTCCAAAATCATTACTTAGCAGCTGAAATTGTCGAAAACAAATTTCTCTTATCTTCGAAAAAAACTCACATTAAACTTATTATTAACCAAGGCAGATTTGTTCCATGCATTACTGTTCTCAACAGACCCTTTTTTTATCATCAATCTCACAGTCAAATATAAAAAAGAAAATTTCCTAAGAATTCAGACATTCATGAAGATCTTGAGGACACTGTGAGTGAATGATTACGTCATCGAAAAGGATCCCTAAAATTGATTTCGAATTCTTGATTGCTTGATCTGAATAATAATCTGTAAATAAAAATAAATTTTGATTTATTTGAATATTTGAATTTTCAACTGTTTGAATATATTAATTTTGACTTGTTTCCTGATAAATTTTTATTCTGGACAACTGTGTCGCATTTGGTAATAGAATTACAAATTCTGTAATAGAAAAATGAAAATATTCCACTATTTTACTTCATTTTATAGAAATATTATAAAAGATCCTACACAGTCTGAGTCATGTTTTGGAATCATTCCTCCAATACCGTCCGTCATTTTTACTCACCAAAAATGGATATAATTTCTACTCGACTGTTTTTTTTTCTTCGAATGATTGTAATTACAGCGCCTTACATAAAGCCGTGCAAGAAGAGCGATCCCGACATCAACAAGTGCATCGGTCGATCCATCGAACAGCTTCGCGATAAATTGGCGGCTGGAATCCCGGAACTGGATGCTCCCGCCATCGAGCCGTTGTATTTGAAGGAAATTCGACTGCTGAGAGGACCGGTTGGCGCGCGACTAGACGTGAATCTCACGGACTTGCAGGTAAATCGCTATAGGCGAATGCAAGAATGTTTATTTGTCCGTCGCTAGTCGTCGAGTTTTTTCTTTTTTTTGTGTTTCGAAAAAGTAAAATTGCACGTGTCGTCGTTGGGAACAGGTATCGGGTCCTTCCTCGTTCAAAATACGGGATCTAAAAGCCGACGTGGAGAACGTGAAGTTCACCTTCAAGGTGTCATTCGACAGACTGAGCTTCCAGGGGAAATACCAGATCGACGCGAGGATCCTTTTGCTCAGGCTCGCTGGCGAAGGAGATCTAACGGGGACATTTAGTAAGATTCTCAGAAAAAATGTGCAATCTCAAAAGCTTGGAAAACAGTATACCTTTTAATGACTATTGCATCGTTAGATTGACAGTCATTTACTGTAATAATACAAATTATACTAGGAGAATTGTATTAAGTGCAACAATAAGTAATTCACTATTGTCCCAATATACATTTCAGAATTCAGAATGGTCTTTCGATTTTCTGTTTAATTCAAATGGCGAAGACTAATAGGAAGAAGTAATTAATATTGTTGAAATAGAATAGATATTCAAATTATTCCGAAACGAATACAGCGAATTCGCAAGAAGATGGTGAACTACATATTGGTACACCCATTATTATTAGGAACATCTTGTCTAACTTTTTATTCTGTTAAATTGTGGTTTACTTGCTGTTTTATGATTTTCAAGCCGAGTACGATTCCGACGTTGTTTTAAGAGCACGCAAGGTGTTCAGAGATGACGACACCTATCTCAATTTCGAAAGGATGAAGATTAATATTAAAATCGGCAAGGCCAATTTGCACTTTAGCAATCTATTTCGCGAGGACTCGATTCTGGGTAAGCTTCCTGCAATGAAAAAAAAGATGCGTTCTGTCGCTATAATAAATTATAACAATTCACGATCTTCATCAGATGAGATCATAATATTTGTTAAGATGGTCTTAGCATGTGTTCTACGTCTATATAATACTGTTTCATTTTGTCTATCTCAGAAACAAAAATATTGTTTGTATAATCAGGTACCGCCAGCAACGAACTGTTGAACAACAACAACGCGTTGCTCCTGGAGGAAATCAGACCGGTATTGGAGAGCTCATTATCTGAACTGTTCACCAACGTGGCCAATAAGATCACGAAGTCTTTCACCTACAAAGAATTGTTCCCTGAAAATTAATAAAATTCAAAGTGGTAACTGCTTCATCGTCGATCGAATAGGTTTTTAAATTTCTACGAAAGTTCTTTGCCAGATAGAGTGCGTTCAATAACGAAAACCTGTTCGGATATTGTGTGGAGATTGGTTAATGACGAGTGAAACGAAGTTTCGGGGAACTTCTTGCCACGAGATGGCCGTTTACGTAACGAAAAACGATTCGAGAGAGGATCTATGTAGCGATTAAAGTTTCAAATAAAATACAATGAGGCACAGAGAACAACAAATGGAATATTCATTCTGAAGTAAATGACCGAATTGTCAATCTGAGTCTAGAATTTTTGTAAAAATTTATAGTTGAGTTATACGATTTATTATGTAACGGAGAAGTTTCAAGAAATAGCGAACTGGTTAATGGGATAAATGGAATGCAAATCCGATGTTCCGACTTCGTTCGACGAGTTGTATGAGTGAACCCGGGTAAAAAAACTTAATTTATTATTGATGATCGAGGCACTTAACGTTCGTGGTTAATTGACTGGTCGATATTGGGGTCGCAGTGACCCCCAGAGAATTTCAAAATTCGTCGAACGCCAACGATAGTGAAATTTTCTTCTCAGATTTTACTTACGATATATATTTATTTCACACGGCTACGGAACAAATTTACAAGTAATGAATATCAAACACAAGGAATCGTGAAAGTAACAAATCGTACGGGATACCAGTTAACAACAAACGATTCGAATAACGAATACAATTAATTGCATCGGTTTCTTAGAGATCTAGACTCGTAAATCACATTTCTTATTATATCGAGGACAAAGTTCGAAGGAAAATATAATTATATTCGCGTCGATCACGATCTAGGATAAGTTTCGACGCTTTGAAAACAGTACAAGCTGAAACAAAAGTTTTCTCTCGTCGTCACCGGGGGAATTGTAGTTTTCTTGTTTAGCGGAGGCAGAATAAATTGGCTCGTTAAGGTTACAGAGAAGCTATGTCTCCACTCTCGCTACGTTTTCTCTCGTCGTCACCGGGGGAATTGTAGTTTTCTTATTTAGCGGAGGCAGAATAAATTGGCTCGTTAAGGTTACAGAGAAGCTATGTCTCCACTCTCGCTACTTCGCTTTCCACCTCTCTAATGTTCAACGTTACAAAATTGCCATTTAGCAATTATTTGTACCAAGTCTATCAACAAGCAATCCATTATTCGTTTCTCTACAAAATGACAACATAGTTTACAATTCTCAACATCTTTTGCCCTTCTGTCTATACAAACATAACGAAGAGTATTGGAGAAATAAGGATAAACATTAATGGCTTTCAATTTCCATGAAAATAAATATTTTACAGAACAAATAACGGATCACTTATTGGCACATCTAAAGCTGCGTATCCACTTGTTGCGTATCACCGTAGCGTTGCATCGTTGATACGCAACAGTGATACGATACAAGGATACGCAACAAATCAATACGCACCTTAACATCTTCGTGTAACAATCTACCGAGCTCAGATTGCAATTTTGCAGTCGTGTATACTCTTTCAAACAATAATATCTATCAAACTTAACAATCTCCGAGGTGTTTCTAAAGCGTGGCCAGAGTCAGCTAACGCGAAAAGTGGAGTCCCGTTTGACTCGATTGAAGTTATTAGGGGAACCTTCAGCGGTCAATCGATTCCGCCTCGACGGTAATCATCGCAGCTGCGACAGATGACTGAACTCCTAGGTGGATAACAAAAGCGGTATAATCGTGGACTAGAGAAGCAATTCCTCTTTCGTGAGCATTGCCAACGCTCTTGCCGCCAGCGCTCTGCTCACTGTGGCCGCGGTGTCCTCGATGATCGGACTGGCGATGTCCAGAACCAGCCGGGGATTCGAATTGAAGAACGTGGCCGCTGCGTCAGCTGTAACGAGGAAATCGAGGGGAAAGTTAGAGAGAGCACGATAGATCGATCGAGAGAAAAGGTGGAACCGTTCGAGAGTCCAAAGGTGTTCGAACATTCTATTTAGAGAGTCTCGGTTTACGAAGTCTGTGCATTGGTCTTCAGTGATCCTCTGTTTGGTGGATTGCAGTAATTTTATGGTCTTTAGTTAATTTTGTATGGTTTCTAAAAATAGATAGTTTTCACTGCGGGTACTTGGAAAAAATTGAAATCCCAAGATGGAAGTCCAAGAAAGTATGTAAGTAGGTATAAAATATAATGAGATCGTAAATGTAAGGTAGATGATATTTACCAGCTAGAGTGTGACTAGGTGGAGATTTGAGCTTGATGTTACCATCACCAACACGAATTTTCGTCACGAGCTTATCGATGTCGATCCTTTTTACGCCGTTCTTGTCGGTGGTTTCTTTGCCTTGTGCAGTCACTGCTGCTTCTGTATTAGCTGTCGCACAAATATTACATCACTCAGATTGTCTTTAACTAACTTTTTAGTTTATTTTATTCATTGAAGGTTTTGAAAAACCAGTCTCAAAATATTTGTAGCAGGCAGGCAGTTTCTTCGCCTTGTGCGATCATTGCTGGTTCTGTATTAGCTATTGCATAGAAGTTAAATTACTCAGATCGCCTTTAACGCTAGAAGTATCAGAGCAATCAAAACGACTGATTGTCATAATTTTTAGAACGAGGATTAAAATATTATAACAATACAATTCCTCAGATCCTTGGCAACTTTTATTTGATATGGGAGTAACGAAATCAGTTAATTTATAAATTTATTTATTTTCACACGTTTATCATGTTTATCAACCGATCGTAATAGATGCGCGATTATTATCGGTAGTTCTAGTGTTAATTAACTTTTCCGTATATTTGATTTATTTTCATGTTTTTGAAAAATCAATTTCAAACCTATTTGAAGTAATTCCTAAACAATCGATAATTACAAAATTGGTGAAGATACTCACTGAAGTTTCCTTTGAAACTACCGGCCCCGTTCAACGGGAGCAGCAACAGCCTTCCTTGCACGTCGTAGTCGCCGTTCACGTGAACGTGCGGCAGCTGAACTTTTATGAACACCGTGAGGTCGTTAGGGTTCGCCTTCAACTCGTCGATGAGGAAATTGGTCGCGCCGTGGACGCGTATCTTGGTCATGTTGGCCTTGATTTTCAACGCCTCCAGGTTCCTGTCGACCGTCAAAGACGGAAGAAACAGAGGGTCCAGCGCCGGTAGCTTCAACGACGGTATCCCCTTCGCTAGGTACGGCGTGATCGCTTTCAATTGCTTCAACACGCATCTGTCGTATTGTGGTAGATCGTTTGTCCGGGGACAGGATTGCACACCTGGCGCTGGAAATATAGAACAGCGTAAGAAAAAGAATTTACTACACTGTGCACGCCAAGATATCTCGATGGATCACCGAAATTCATCATCAAGGAACTAGATGGGCTGTAGATGAAGATGATTTACAGGTGACAATTGCCATAATCGTTGCATCGCTATGATAAAACTCACGACTAAGATTAACCTGTTCTGAGCATGTACTTTTAAAGTATTCCTTCTTATTTATTAAAAAAATAAGATCAACGTTCCAGTTGGTACAATTACAAACAAGTGATTCACTATTGTCGATTATATTCAGAGTTAGGCACAATTTTATTCAAATAATACATAGTGAAATTTTAATTATAAAATTAATATTTAATTTTTGTCAACAGCGATCCGTACTTCCACAGACATGACGTAGATCTCTATGTTTTCAGTTGAGAAATTTCAGTATTCCCTCCCGAAATAAATAAGAATATAAAAAAAAAATGAAAACAATGGGGTCTGTTTAATATCGATACTTTCGACTTCGAAACAGCAAGATATCAGTCTCATAATTTTGAAACAGCGATTTAAGGGTCTGGGCGTAAAAGGGTTAACACCCAAATACTAATACAGGTTCACGTTTTTCTTCGTGACGAAAATATACATTTCGAATTTCAATTCGAACATTGTCCAACCACTGACCAAACAATGTCCGACACCTCGTTACACCTGACACACAAAGACGTCGAGCGTTTCCGCGGAATCAGCATTCTTTTTCCCAAGAAACACAAGGAAAAGTCAACGTACCGTGTTGAAACGTTCCAGGGTGACTGAACCCCGATGACGGTCACCCAGCCGCGCTGACTAAGAAGTCACGGCGTGGCTTGCGTTTTTGCACGATATGCCAGGCCTAAAATCGAAAGTGTGTGTATTATACGCTCTCGTGTATAGAAAGTGAAATTACGAAGGCGACGAACGAGCTTCTTTAATCGACCGTAAAGGCGAATTCCGGCCGGGGTCCGGGACTTGCCGATCCAAGGGGGCCCCCGAAGAGAACGCACGTGGTGAGAAAGGATTCCGAGTCCCCCTCCCGCCAGCGGCTGATTGATAGATCGCCGGTAGCTAGAAACGAGGAGGGAATCGCGCACGAGCACGATCATCGGGAGGCCCGTCGTGAAAGGAGACCATACCCGTTAGGCCCGAATTTCTAAACGACCGTTTAAAAGAAAAAAAAGAAGAAAATCCCGTTTTCTCGTTAGCCTGCGCAAGTGAAACCGCTGTAACAAAGATCCGTGGATAGGAATTCCGTTTTCTGGCCCGGTTGATGCGATCAGAGGTTACGTTTCAGGGAAGTCTACGATAAGAGTTTGTGGGTGGTTCAAGATTCTGATAGTATGATCTTCCATTAGAGTTTAGGTTGTTTCTTATTCTGGGCTTTGAACAGGATGTTGGAAATAGAGGAAATTATTGATGGAACTTAGAAGTGTTAGGAGAGGGAAAGGGGAGATATGGATGAAAAAAATAGAAGAACGACGAGAAGGATTGGAATGAATGATGAGACGAGCAGAAATGGAGGTCCAGAATAGGGAAGGGGGACGTGTGTGTGCGTATATACATATAGAGACGAACGATTTGGGATTAGAAATTAGAGATAAGGCGTAGGATGAAGAATAGGTTAGGAATATGTAAAGGAGAAGGGATATATATATATAAATTGTAACCCTAAGGGGAACAATAAATGCTTATTATATATATTATATAATGCATGGAACTTGCGTGGATCAGAATGGCCTAAATGGTACTTTCAATGGAAAAATACTAGTGTCTTCTGAGCGCTGATGATTGCTAAACATTTTTTAGCTCAGGATGGTTATCGTGTACCTACTGTTTAGTGTATGTACTGGCTCTTATAAACGCGAGAATGTTAAAGGAATCAGCATTTTAATTTCACATCAATGCACTTTGTCATGTATGTGCATACGTTCAGTGTCGTCCTTGTAACATTTTTGCTACGACCGAGCGGAATCACGCCTCGGATTTTCTAAATCTGGTACATCAGATTAAAATGAAGGGGAAAGACTGCCTGCGTTGATATCAAAGCTTCGAGTGGGACGTTCATGTAATCGTTCTATTCGAGTTCGTTGTGTTGCGTTGCACAGTCAGTGACACTTGAACAACTATCCGAACCGATCTAAACTTCTGTAAAACTTCTAAAACCACCAAATAGAGAACCTGGAGAACCTACAGAATTTGAAAGTTCATTTTTCGTAAATAGTTACAGACAAGAAAAATGTTTGATCGTTATCTAATAAAGCATTCGTATACATGACAGTACCATTTACTCCATAAAATTCTCGTTGAACCTAACCAGAAACAATATTTAAATAAAAGAAAGTCTGCTGTCGATCATGACGGTACCCTACGCTAAAGACTCTCGAAGAAGATAATGTTTTCTAACGTATCCCGAGCATTTTTATCAAATCAAGGACCGAACCATTCAAAATTAAACTTCATAAGTTAATATTATATAATATATAATATATAAATATATATAATATATATATAATATATATATATAAAACTGGTCCATAAAGCAAAGGCCCAAAAGAAGATCAGAAATGCATAGGTTCCCATAGTGGGCGCTACTACCGGTGGACGTTGAGGACATCTAACATCGCATCTGGTTATTTAATTTGTTTCATTTTCGATTTAACTTTTTAAGATTCAAAGAATAGACTCACACCTACACTTGGAAATTTTGATAATAGAGATAGTTTACCCGAAGGGGGTGGACAATAAAAAAAACTTTGAAAGGGCCGGTCAGCCAAAAAATTTTATGAAAACTATGCAATAATGCAGAGGGCCCGATAGATGATCCGTACTCACGTAGTTCAGCGATGGATGGTGCGGTCCACGCGGCAATCAGGAACAACCCAATGATCATCATCCTGTCGGTGCCGTTAGCCTCTGTGTCCGTACGTAATATCGCAATTACCGAGAGGGATATTGAAAATGCGTGCGATCGTCCTCGTGGCTGGGTATATATAAACTAAGACCACTTTCTCCGCGTGTATGTTGTCCCCACTACTCGGAATGGTGAATTTATCACGGTAGAATGCCTCCTTTTAACTCAGTCAGGGCCGTAGCCAGCCCACCACCAGCAACCGTGCACACACACTCGATAATTCGTCCCCTGTTGCGTGGAACTATCGAACCGTAGGTCAGGTTTTTGATCCTTTCACGAGGGTATCTATCGAACGTGCACGTCGAAGACTTCCATCGAATCGAATTCGACCAACGATTGCTCTGATAAATCCCTTCATCCTTGCATCCGTACGCTGGTGCATTTTCAATTGGATGTTATGTCAGAGACACTTGGTGGAAGTAAAAGTCTGTGGTTGAAATTTGGTTGGAGACACGGCGGAACAACCTTCCTCCATCTGGTGAACGGTGGACCTTTGATCGGTTCCGTGCAATCTCACCGACATTTTGCTTTTGGCCCCAATATTTTCTTGGTCGGAGACTGTTGCACCGAAACGATTCGTTCACGTGAGGAATAGAATTGAGATTGCACAGGTCACAGAACCGAGGGTATCTATCGTTAGAATTAGAAATTGTTTATTAACGAGGAAAGTAGCCGGGGAAGGTATTCCGGTGCAATTATCGAAGAATCAGAGTCATTAACTGGAGGAAGGAATTTACTGGCTGTGTTATATTTTTATCGAGAAAGGAAGTTCAGTCGGTAGATCGATCTAAATATTCATCTTTGCCTCTTTAATCTTTTCATTTTGATTTTTCTGTTACTTGATCATTGTAATCGTTTTCTTTTTCGTGTATTCAGTGTGCGAATTTTCCATCTGGTGAGCCCTGTACTCGATTGCACGCCCCTTAACGACATTCACCGGGGATTGTAATTCCTTTTCAGTCTCTCCGAACAACAATCTCGACAATGATTCGCCATTTGTCTAATAGCCTTCATGTCCTTCGCATGAATTCTGTCCACCGTTTCCTGTCGAGATTCGAGATTTCCAAAGACGATAATGAAAAGAAAACTCCGTGCATATAATTTCGTGATTTCTTCGAGCATCTGTTCGCCGAAGACCTCATCTTCGAGGCGGTCTATGAGAAAATTTCGATGCACCGTATGTCCGATTGTTTCGCAAGCCTTTTCCTTGCCACATTTGGGTCATCGACATTGTGAGTCACGCGATACTGTTTTCGTCGAAAGTCGTTGGACGCAGAACAGTTTGTTTATTTTCTAACGTGAATCATGCTAGGGTAATAAAAACAGCACTTTCAGTGTTTCAGTGCAGTTGTACATCTTTTTATTCCTTCGGTTTGAGCCTTCGATACACCTAAATATATATTTATAATTAATAATATAATTGTTATTATTGAAAACGTATTACACTTAAACGAAGATTATTATTAATATGATAATTATAATTAAGTTAATATTAATGATAAAATACAAGATATGATTAAGGTACGGTTATACTGTACGTTATTGCATCGGTATACTAAAGTTAGATTTTACGATTAAATAATACATAGTATTAGGGATCATTCCAGTCTCCTAGTTCCGTTGAATTCGTCCACGTTTGTAAATCGAGCCATCGACAGATACGCTTTCCCCTATAGCTTAACACTGGTATCGGTGGTGCAACTCGTTTAATTTCCTAAATACGATTATGTAAAATCTGACGGATCCCAACTGGTTCCGCTGTGGTGACGTGCGTGGTGTAAACTGCACGTAACGTTTTGAAACTTGTTTGTAAATCGAATATATATATATATATATATATATATACCTACATATACGTATATCTATATATCGTGTCTCCGTAACTGGAGTGACACGCGTCGAGACGGTTCTGGATCGATTTCCGATTCTAAACCGTGATCCGTAACGAACAAGAAAAAAAAACTACATTGGTAAATGCGCTTCCACGACTTAAAAATACACAGCGTAAATTATCACTTCTACAAATATATCTATACTTACTCTCATATGTACTGTGACAAAACATGTGTGACCGTAATAAATATGCAAACCTATACATTAAAATGTAGTCTACGTTATATAAATTATTAGACTGGTTAACGACTTCTTAACGGTTTCTAATCTTCTCTTAACTAATATCCGTAATATATATAAATAAATAAATATATAAATAAATAAATATTAGCATGCAGTTATTCGGTTAATATACATTATCATGAATGGTGTACCGATTAAAATAATTAGAATAGCAGCTTTTGAAATGAGTGAAATGTTGATAAATTACGATTTTTAAGAAGCTACAGTGTCGAACCTGTTAAATTAACTTCGTTTCGTTGGATCGTTCGCTAGAATTTCTAATTATTTTAACCAGTACGCCACTGTTCGAAGGAAGCCTATGCCCCAGTTTGCAAAGGTCCAGTCGCCCAGGCAGATTCGTATCAATTAACCGGCAGATTTTTGTACATTCTGTATATCATCGCGTCGGCCGTCTTCTCGTTCAGCGCTTTGGTCGCCAGGTCATCGGCAAGCATCGCGGCGACCGCCTCAGCGGCCATCAGACCTACGAAACGAAAAACGTCGACGTGAATCTACCATTAATCGAGTTAATACTCGATTCGTGGAGGTGTGTCAAAACATTACAGAAAGTGGACACTTTTACTTCGTTCGCCAATCATCTATCGACGACGACACACTCGGTGACCGGCCGCTTTTACTTTTTCCTCCGTTTGTTTCCTGCGTACACGCGGAAAATGATGATGCATGGAAAACTTTCGATTGTTCGAACCGTACCGTTCTTCGATAATTATAGAAACATTTATTCGCTCCGGCGGATTTTACGTAAATCGAAGTTAATCGTAAAATAGAAATTCAAATTCAATGAATGATCCCCAACTAGTCTCCGTCGAAGATTTCACGCACGATTGGAGATTGCGCGATGCATTATTTTTTTTTCTTTCGTCACTCTAATTATTAACTAAAACGACATCGATCTAGACTTTTACAGAAATCAGTCAACGTTATAATTATGTGATTGTTAAAGTCGTTTGGCAATTTCCTGCCTTTTTACTTGGGGACACTTGGCGCGGTCTGGAGACTTCAACGAGTGTCGAGGCGAGTGCAGCGCTACCAAACGGGACAATCGAGCGTCGATGGTGTTCGAAACGCCGAAAGAAAGTAATAATTGATCAGTCAGACTCTCCTGTGTTTTATATAATTACCTGATGAAACGTTCCAAAATTTAAACACTCCGTAATACGTATACGATTTTTTATTTTCCTTTGTATTTTAATTAATCCTATATGTACGTTCGAGTCAGTTCAATATCAATTTGGTCATCGTACTTTCGTGATCGGTTGACACCACTTTCCTCAACAGAATTCCTCTTTTCCTGGGTTTACATTACCGTTTACTAATTACGGAAGAACACCGTAGCGGTGACGCAACGAACACAGACGAAAGAGTTTTACATAATCCCTCGAACCGGCTTTATTGTCGCCCATTCGTATTCGGACCCAAGCCTCTGACTCACTGCTGAACACTTTTTACGATGCGAACGCTCGAATACATTTCCCAGCTTGTCGATAGACTCGCTAGAAACTCCATGCAATTGATCGTTCGTCTATCGACTTTTTTTTTTTTGTATTACTAAACGATTATAGATTTAGCGCGCATTTTCTTGCCAGGTGAAAGACCGAACTTCTACTCGGTTCGGTTCTTCGGTACGTTTTTCATGGTATTATTTACGATTGAAAGAAACTTCCGGATTCTCTTGCATTTTAGTACATTTTCAAACATTTGTTTATGGGGTGATAAAAATGAAATATACGCACCACGGCTGAGAATCGATTTGACCGGTCCTTTTTCGTCCATTCCCTGAAGATCGACTTTCTGAGTCTTCGCCGACAATTTGCTTCTCGCTGCTCGCACCGTTAACGTATCCTGACCTTTAATTTTCTTCAATTCTATCGTGAAGTCTCCCACCAGCTCGGCTATAAATAATTACAATACATTATTTTAACAAAAAAAAAAAAAAAAAAATTAAAAAGCCAATCAGGTATATTAGAAGAATTTCTTACTGAAGTTGCCATTGAGACGTCCGTTTCCTCTCACCAATTCTTTTCCCACCTTTCCAGTCAACTGATAGTCAGACTTGATGCGGAGACTGGGTACGCGTATTTTCAAAATCACGTGCATTACGTCATCCTACAAAATAATTCACAAATGTAAGAATCGTATTTTCTTAAGCAAAGATAAGGAAAGTGAAGGGCAATATTCACGTCAGTTTCGTTTTCTTTGTGGGCGCGTTTTTGCCTCGTTCCCGGAGCGTTCTTGCTGTCCCTTGAATTTTTCGAATCCATTCCACCGTAATGGTAGACCAACTGCATTCCTTCCTCGAAGTATCCTTGCTTCTCCTGATAGTCCGTCGCGTATCTCTTCAGATCTTTCAGACTTTTCGTTTCTATGGCCGCCTTGATCGCGTCGTTCCTCTTGGTTAGGGGTTCTCCATCGGTGCAGTTGTGGCTCAGCATTTTCCTTTTCTCTAGAACATCCTATGCATGCGATATAATTAACAATAACAGTGTCAATTAAAAAATAAAGAAACAGGAAGAGCAATTAAAATTTTTAATTAAAAAAATATATCGAAACAATACCATCGGAATGTCCTTAACACCGTACACCATAGCGTCCTCCTTAGACTCGATCCTTCCATTTCCAAATCGTTTCACGCTACCATTGTTATTTCCATCGGCGTAAACAATATCGATATACCCAGGCTTCTTCTCCAGCCCAGCTTGAGACACAGATTCCCTGGCAGCAGCACCAGGAAGGATCGTTTGTCCCTTGACTCTCCTCTCGACACTCTCAGACGCTGCAGTTTGGACGTCGTCGTACCTTTCTTCGGCCCTTCTGCTGCCATAGCCTTCTTTTCTTTGATACTGAACATCCTCGTAACGTGCTTCGCCGTTTCGACTATCGTAACTTTCCCTTCTGTCGCTGTAACGATCGTTTTCCTGATAACGTTCGGGATAGGAATCCTGTCTGGTTCGATCGTAGTTCTCTCTCTGTTGATAGTTCCTCGAGTTGGCGCCGGATTTCGAGGCGTAGACCGTCTGAACGTCCGAAGGATACCTCGGACCGTCAACCATTCGAGCGATCTCCGGCCTGGAGACAACCCTGGCGCCCTCCATGCTGAAACGTCCGTAGTTCGACTCTTGCGTGGTCTTCTGATCCTTCTGATCCGCCGGCTCCCTCATCTGTTCCGCCTGGATCCTCATCAGGAACGGATCGTACCGTCTGAGACTCTCGTAGCGACGCTCCTGTTCGCTGGACGCGGCCTTGAACTTGTTCTCCTGATTGGTCGCCGAGACTATAGCCTCGAAACTTTCGTTCTGCAGCTTCGGCTCTTTGATCAACGTGTGGAATCGGTATCTAATCGAGTCGAGATCCCTCAGATCGCTGTAGCTCACGTAGCCAGCCTCCAGTTCGCTCAAGTTCGATTTCAATCGTCCTTTGGCTATGTGAATACTTTCCACCGTCGAGTCGTTCAACCCATTGATCTCCACGTTTCGTAAAATTATTCTGTAGCTCGTGTCCCCTTCGGACTGGTCCACTTTGATCACTGGTACCCTCAGTGGGTCCAGTTTGCCTGCTTTAGAGAATCCACCGGAGAGCAGCTTCGCCCATAGCTGCTGCGACATGTCCAGCAGTGAGCCTTGACCATCGATCAAGCTGACCAGACAGAGGGCTAAGAATATTGTACCGATTGCCTTCGACATCTTTGGTTAGGTTTTTCCTACAGCTTTAAGGATGATTATTGTGTCCTGGTCACCAATACCTTGGTATTCTTGCAGATGTTACTTCGAAGTCGGAATACGTTTGGTCGAATTCATTTCATAGTTTTGATCTCCCAGACGTAGATCGGCTTGAACACCAGCAGAATCACGATGGTGGTCACGATGAGGATGAAAAGGAAACAGAACAAAGCGACGCACATCAACACTCGTGGCTTCGAACGAACGGTTTGCTGCTCCTCCAGTATGTCGATCGGTCGAGGATCAGTTCAACGGGGACCCCCGATGATCATTATGAGAATATTCATTCGTCGACGAAACTTCGTGGCTCTGTTCGTTGATCGAATTCTTGGACCTATGTGCACCGTTGTGGCATACTCGATTGCAAGTGGACGACGCGTTTGCCCGACGTTTTTATACTGTTCGTGGAAGGGCATCGGATCTGGGCCATGGACCAGTCATTCTTGACACATGTTAACTAGGCGATCATTCTAGTTGGATCATCGTTCTTCTTTCTTTTTTTTTTCTTCTTCTTCTTCGTCTCCCGACCACAGTCATCGTTCCCCTAAGTACTGCTCCCGTTGTGCTGTAATAGAGGGCAAGGTCCTTCCCCGACCTTAAGTGGAAAACATCGTCCGTTCGTGGATCCAAAGACTCGAACAGCTCGCCATGGTTGTCTTCGGTTACGTAATACCGCGGTCTTAAATGTACATCGTCGTCACCTGTGGTATATTTAATTAGAAGATTTAAATAGGTGCTACGTGTGTACACAGCTGTACGACTATTACGATTTTCTGAGGGGCTCGTGACAGAAACGACCCTTGTCAATTTTGTATTTCTTTCTTCTAGGATAGTACAGAGTACTCTGGAATTTTTAACATATATCAGGATATAGGTTCGTTTTTTATTATACAGGGCAAAACAAAAAAAAAGTGTTCATAACTTACAGGGTAGTTGCTAATATGGTCGAAAGATTAATATTTTCGAAATTACAAACAATTTTTTTTTCTCTTGCTTCGGGAGCTATCATACCATATGGAAACGATGAATTATCAATGTTTATTATTCTGGCTTTTTACAATTTTTATTAGTTTTTTTTATAATTTTCTTCATTGTTTCTATATGGTACCGATATAACTGTGAAAATATTAATCTTTTTAACATATTCTTATAGAACTTTTTTCTCATCATTTGACGAGTACTATGTACCCTAGAAGTTATAAACCCTTTCTTTTGTATCACCCTGTATATGGTTCACTATGTCGTGACTCTTACTTCTGACTATTAGAATCTCTTGTTATCACAAAAATCGAAGCGTTTGACAGGGGTCGGTTTCGTTATCAGCCCCTGATTTATATCGCACGATAGAGCGACGTCAAGAATGTGACAAGAGGATAAAAGATTAAGAATTTGACATCTTCCTGACGTGTCTGTACAAAGAATGATCGTTAAATCTTAAGATTAAAAATTCTGTCGTTATATATATATATTATTAAGGATCAAATGAAAGAAAAGAAAAGAATTTATTTTCGATTCGACAATAGTCATCGAAAACGAACGAAGACTCGATTAACATAAATATAAGGGGAGGCGATAAAATTCTCACGAAGCAAGTTGCCTGATCCTAAAAAGGAAAAGAATGACATTAGAAATGACAGTGTCAGCGCATTGTTGATCGATGGCACGTTTGCGTTCCTCGGTGGGCAAGCAGTTCCGAATTATTTCGTGACCGAACCTCGTCGCAGCAACAATGCTGGTCTACGGCTGCTTGATAACAGTTTTCGCGATAAATTATTTGTGTGATGGCTCGCCGATCCTAGAAATTCGTAAGTATTGTACTTTATTTTATAATTTTTAATTACATTACATTTGCGTTATATAAAATATTTATTTACTTTTGTTAACTGAAATTTATTCGACATCTTTGAAGTGTAATTTCAACATTTTCGACATTTTTGAAGTGAAATATATCGAAACGATTTGTGTCATAATATAGGAAACACGTATTTATTACGTTAACTATTGAATTATTTGTCCTGTGTAGATGTATCTGTTATTTTTCTTCGTCTCGATCGACTGGAACTAACGATGAATCGTGCGGAGAATCAGTCGGTACACGTTCGAAGTATTTAGGTTTACCGTGCACGCGCGACAAGTTTTAATCAATGTCAACGTTAAAGGCTAATGAACAATTAATAGTCGCGGCTCGCGTTCCTTTTAATGGAGAATAGTCTATACACTATCTAGATTACCACTTTTGTAGAGATTATCCACAAGCTTCAAATTCTCTGTCAAGATTTCCATCAAGCTTTTCAGTTTCCAAACGTCCATCTTTCTTTAACCCGTTCATTTTTTTTTATAAAATCAAGAACCAAGAGTCATTTTAAGACTATTTAACATATGTTCTAAAATGATAAAGTAGGTATCCAGTGTAGTGGAGAAATGTAGTTAGCGGGTTAATAAACCATTAATCTATAATGGTTGGACTTTAATTTTGTTCATTACTCACCTTCAATAAACCATTAATAGAACACCAAAGTTAACGATGTGTGTATCTTGTTTGAAAATTATTCGAACGTTAATCCAGTGAGTTTAGGATAAAAATGATTTTGTTCTGGTTCCCAGCGCCATATTTGAAAGTTTGTCACCGAAATGATCCGGACCTGAACGACTGCATCAAGGAAAGCATTAATCTGTTAACACCTCATTTAAAAGACGGCATTGAGTCACTTCGATTACCAGCCTTTGAACCACTATGCTTGCCGGAAGTGGAGATCAATCAGGCTTCCGGTCCGATTTACATTCACTCGAAGTACACAAACATCTCCATATTCGGTGGTACCGATGCTGTACCGAAAACTGTCAAGTACGTACACGAATCGCTTACATATCACGCCAGGAATCAATCCCAATTTGAAAAAACTTTTTTTCCATCAGAGTCGACCTGGATAAAAATCTGATGAGATTGAAATTCTACATTCCACGGCTGAGAATGATCACGAATTACGATCTAACTGGAAGAATAATGATGTTACCCATCTCCGGAAACGGTATGGGACACGGAAACTTCACGGATATTGACGTCATCATCACTCTCCAGATGGAACGGTATCGCAGCGAGGAAATGGGCCAGTTTCATCGACGCGTAAACGATATTTACGTGGACTTCGAGATGGGCCATGCCACAATTTATTTAGATAATTTATTCGACGGCGATCAGACACTCTCGGGGGCCATGAATCTTTTCCTGAATGACAACTGGAGGGCAGTGATCGCGGAGATCAAACCGAAACTCGAGGAGACGATCGGTGTTTTTATTAAAGATTTTACGAACAGGATTTTCGCTGTGTTTCCGGAGGACGCGTTACTGTTACCCTGATACCACGTCTGTAGATTAGTTCTTAAATATTAACCCTTCCATACAAAGAAATATTTGATTACACATTTTAACTCAGTAGACTGTTTAGATATTTTGTTTAAAAATATTTTTTTTTAAAAAAAAAAAGGTTTGTTATTCAATTTTGAACTCACTAGACCTACTAAAAACATTCAGAGCATGAAAAATTTAAAGGTTTTTTCTAAGGCTTTGTGTGAAATTGTAAGAACTTCGTATATTCCTTTCCTGAAAGGGTTAAGCAATGTTTTGGATACAATTGATTTGGAACAGAATGTATAATTTATCAAGTAATTAACGTGTACACTTTATACTTAGCTTTGTAGTAAATAAAGCTTTATTTTGATTAGGATATTGGTAGTCGCAAGAAAATTATTTTCAAATTATATGAAATGTTATTTGAACATATATGGTTAAATATGTAGGAAGTTTGTCGTCGCTAAAAATGAAGGAAGTATTACTCAATTAAATAGGTACATTAATTTTATGGAATTTGTTGTACAAATGAGTACACCGAATAATTATAGCAGTCTGTGTTCCTGAATGTTGATAACCACATGATGACTGTGCAAACCGGGCAATCATTTTGCAGGCGCCGGCTGACGTTCTTGAATCAGTGTCACTTCTTTAGCTGACACAGTAAACGAGTACATCATTAGCCTGAGGAAATAACGAATTTGTATTATTATATAGTAACTACCGTTTAATCTGTTGCCAGGTAATATCTACACATAACTAATAGCAAATTAATCGATAATAAGAGCCACATATAATACTTTTCATACACTTTCGAATGTTCCAGAGCCACAGAAAATATTACTTTAAAATTGTATTTATGTTCTATACTATATATTATTAATATAAAAGTGTTGACTATTATTTACAATTATTTCCTTTAGATTTCATAGCACATTTTTCTATGCTCAGGGAGAGAATTATGTAAATAATTTACCACATTTTGTATTTAATTGTCAGTGTACTTTTGTGTAACGCAAAAATCGGTCGCAGGCGCAACTGTAATAATTCTTTCGCAGATTATTCGCCCAAAGTTGCATTCGAAACTCGTCGGTCCGCGCGGGAGGTTCGAATTATAAATTACAGCGATTACTTCGAAACGATTCATCGTCGAGATGAGGCGGTGGTAATCTCGTAGAATCATTCGTCGACCAACAGCTCCCTGGGATAATGACGATCTTGTGAAAGACACGACGAAGAAATTGAAGACAACCGGGATGAGAAATTGTAAGGGAATGTTGCAGCAATTTCGTGCATTACACAGAGTGATATACAACCGACAGCTTTTTACTGGTTTATTGTTGCTGGTTGTCATAAAAGCGGTTGTAAACAGGAGTCGTTTACAAATAACGAATAGAGACACATGTACCATAAATACGCGACCATTAATCACGTTTAGTTTGGGTGTTTTCGAGTCAACTTGTTACATAAAAATAATGGATACTTATTACTAGACTGCAGATGTTTATGCAACTTCAGATTTTTATGGATTGATTTATCGAATTGAAAGTATGTCAAACAAAGGTTTCGTTAGGTCCAAAGTCAAGTAGAATATATGTATACTCATTTTTTCGAAATCTCTTCCTGTGTTGTATTTTGCATATTTACATTTACGATAAATGCAGAAAATCGACACTCTACTTATTAATATTCTAGTGTACTAAATTATTTATGATATTTTGCTGATCTTTCAGATCTCCTCGACTGTGTTCTAAAATTAGTTTAAATACAACAAAAGAAGTAAGAATTTTAAATAATATTGTTAATTATGTTATAAATCAGATGCAGTGATCTACAGTTGCTATACGATCGATGTTGCTCCTGGAAGAATGCAACCCACTTTGAGACTTTCCTCCTTGTACACAGTGCATGCACGGCATCATCGTTCCACTGATCAATTATTCATACATTATTCTAAAGTATTTTTAATTCAAAATTTTCATTGGAGTGAATATTCTACACTTATCGATAATATTTGTAGAAAGTGAATTAATAATTCATTCTTCTAGGAATAATGTGATTGTTGTTCGTAATAATTTCCACGTGAGGATAAGCTTCTTAGACAAATCAAGTATTATTTTCACGTGAAAACAAAATTCTGTCTCTTTCAGATAACAGTGGAGTTACATTTCTGCCACGCTACTTTCGTGCATGTCATTGCGTAATAATTGACACTGATTATCCCGACTATTACATAAGCCGTCGAATCAGAACAGTTCCATTGTATCGTTGTAAATTTGTAATCTCGAAGCAGCTATAATGTCCCCTTTTAAATTTCCATTCAATTATTTCGAATCTATTTCGCATTCTTGTTCAATTATACAAGTTGTACAACTCGACCGAGGAATATCGTAACTCAGGATTTACAATTAAATGCTCGATGTTTCAGTTTTTTTTCCTGGTTACCTAATTATTAACACGAATGTGTTAGAAAGTCATAGAAATTAAGGGGAAATGAATGTGTACGCGCGACCAAAAGTCGTCACCGTGTGCCCGACAGTGGAAACGACAAATTGGGCAAGAGTAACACAATCCTTCAGAATTTCTCCAAACGGTGTAACGCCGACGAAGAATTTCAAGGTGTTCAAACAACCGGCGGGAATCGGAACATTTGCCGAGGAGCGCCATTCACATATTTCGCGCTCGAAAACGTACACGTCTTTTCGTGGAACGATAGCGAAACACGTCGCACGAGATTCTGCGAAAATTAATATAAAACTGGTAACAGATTACATAAGAATATATCAATTTCACAATTTCCTTATTAAATATTGTATTATTGACAACAATGAATAAGAAAATTTAAATCGAGTCCAGAGTTGCATCCTGGAATTACTGATGTTCCCTGACGATTCAGACGCCATCTTGAAACACGCTAATAAACATTTAAATGTTGAAATTCTGCAACAATTATACTAATTATAATGGTAATAGTATAATTATTGTAAAGGATATAGGTACTATAGTCGACGAAGTGTTGCAAAACGGCACCTTTCTTCATCGTTCATTTCCGAGTAATTTGTCGGGTATTCTGTCCACGAGTCTCATCAAGGACCAATTCAAGAAGACAATGCCACATTACGTATTCACAGCCAGCTATGCAACCGACGGATAATCGTGACTTACTATTATCGTATATTAATACCGACGATGTTGTTCTTTGATCCAACGTTTCAAAGAAACCATCGACGTGGTAGCCATAACAGGTATGTCGATTGATTTTATTAATCAGGTGTCAATACAGGTCAAACTGAATTATCTTCGTGTCCTTGAGCTTGTTAAAAATGACGTAACATTTTGGAGAAGATTAACCAATATTTTCAAGCAATCACCTTTTTTATCATTCCAAAAACAATTATAAAAATTGGGAGAAATAGTGGATTAGAAATAAATTATTAAAGAACCATTAAAGTTGATTTAATACAGCTTTTATTTTATTGAAATATTTCAATGATCTTAATAGAAGAAATGATTTTTCTTTCGCCTTGAACCCAATAATAAAATGTAATAATAAAAAAAAAATAATACTATAATATATAACTGGATTAAAAAAGAAATAAAAAATATTCGCAGTCCAGTGTTAGTAATCCAAATTGGAAGGGTTAATAATCCAAAGGAACATTCTATCGTCCGTGTACTTCATAGAAGCATGAAATCCTCATATGACAGTGATTAAATCCAAGTTTAAAACTCCGAGTCACTATACATTTCCAAAAATCCATTCGCACGATACCGACCGCAAAAATCGTGGTTGTGTCCAAAGCGCGGGCTTTCAACGGGAGGAAAATAGAAAGAGGCGAAGTCTCGCGTTTAAAGCCGGGCAGAGGTCCTCGGGGTAGGGGAACGCTCGCATATAAGACAGAATATGAAGGGGACCTGTGTTTAGTTTACGAGAGTCAATCCGCCTAGCCATCACCTTAATCCCTCTCCGCTGCCGAAAAACCCCAAAAAACATCCCCGAACCTTTCCACGAAACAATGTAACAAGACTCCAAAAACAAAGTGTTCCCATTGAGAATCTAAAGTGAACTTTTCGGAAAAATCGGTAACCAAAATTATTGTGCTAGAGGATCATCAAGGAAGAAGGACCAAAACAAGGATATCATAACAATCAGACCCAACAGAAGAAACGTGGAAGTTATTATTTCAAAAAAAAAAAAAAAAAAATAAGAGGAAGTTCAGACTAATCACGAAACCCTCGGAAATGAAGTCCTTCAGGATGCTCCAAGGACTCGCTAGTGTGTTTCTGGTACTGGTGTCCGGTGCGTTGGTGTCCTGTCAGAAGGAACAAAACAATTCCGTATTGAACGAGCCGGACTTCGAGATCCGTAAGCTTCACCGTGTGGTCACTTATTTTTTCCTCTTCTTCTATCCTATAATAGTTCACCTAGCGCGCACGTGGTGCATCGAGTCCACTGTCAATGACAGCCGTGACGAAGAATGGTAAACGATCGATCGATACGCGTTGGTCGACAAAGTTTGGTAAAAGTGAAATTATTCCAACGATCCTTGAAAATTCGGAGTGTCATTTTAGAGCGAGGCCGGCCAGGGATTACGCAACCACTCTGCTTTCGTAGGGATAGGGTTCTTAGTCGAGTCCAAATGGGGTGGGGGGGCCTTTTCGCGAGGCATGTGATGCCAGGGGGTTTACTCGAGGTTCTCCATCGGTCGCGGCCTGTGCTTCGATAATTTTCAACGTGATGCGTTTTACCGTGGACTACGTAACAGGTGCACAATGAAGGCAGCGGCGCAGGCGGCACCAGCCGAGTAATTATTCCCCGTATTTTCTTTTTACGATCATTGAGCGTATCTGCCTTTCTCTTTCGCGGAGGGTAATTTAGAAGGGGGACTCGATTATGTCGCGGAAGCGTATTGTGTTACCTACCCTCTGTTTTTTTCTACGGTTTAGACTTCGAAAATAGCCCTTTTCTCGTTCGAAATCGTTTTGGTGAAATTTTGACACTGAAAGTGAGGAAATTCGTCTTTGAATTTCGAGGCTTCAATCGAGAGGTTCTTGTTAGGTTTCCCCTGTGATTGTTTCTGTCAACTTGAAGACCATTTCACGGGAACAATGTCCATTTTCGTACTTCTCGACTTCAGAAATATGGTACTTTCTCTCGACACACGTGCACCAAACGCTGAGCGGTGTCTTATTAGGCCATTGCGCAGCCGGATTTTCCCCTTTCCAATGGCTGTGTATGATATTCGAAGGTTGAATTTTCTGGCTTGTTCGAGCGATGATCGGAGCTCGGATTGTTTGCCAGTCTGGTCAGATCGAGGTGCCATTATTATGTCAGGCGAGACAGGAATATTATCGAATGACAAGTTACTTAACGCTAGAACTACCGACAATAAACTTTACGTTTGAAAATTTACAATTTATAAATTAACCGATTTCTTCGCCTTCTTACTTGTAGTAAAAGTTGTTGAAGATCGGGGAAAATGCACTGCTACAACAACCAATCATTTTGACTGCTTTGGTAGTTTTAGTGTTAAAATAAGACACTTGTTGCTTCTTATTCCATTCGGTGTATAAATATGAAAATTCCAGGCGTGAAATAAATGAATATTCCATTTAACCCTTCAACACCCAATGTCACATATACGTCACATCTAGAAAATCCTATTTCCAAGGGTTTTGTCGTGAAAACACAGACGAGGTGCAGGTATTAGGACCATTTTTGTGTTAATTAATCAAAACAACGTTCTCCCCCCAAAGAAGTATTTGGATATTAATGGATCAGAAAATCTCCAAAAAAAGTAAAAGAAATAGGTTTGTTTAATATCGACATCTGCGATTATCAAAATAACATGCAACATATATATATCAGTCTCATAATATTGAAATAACCATTCTGGGCGTTAAAGGGTTAAAATTGATTGTCTGAAAAACGTCGAAGACACATTCTACTATTTCTATTTCCCATCCACTAATTGAATTTCGGTTAATTTATACATCCAGATTTCCTGTAAAAATTAGGGAATGAAAGAGGGTCACCGTGCCGCCGCCATGTTGCAAAATTTCGTGGTCCCGACAACGGAACGGGTGTTAACGCAACAACGTCGGTCACGTTTCGACAAAAGCCACGGAACGGTTAGAATTCTGTAATCGTTCAAACACAATGGCCGAGGGTCCCGACTATCCGGGCTAGTTAGCTGAAACGCGAACTATTATGCGATGGATACTGCGTTGGTCACCGTACGAACATAATGGTACCGGCTGGGGGCATGGCGTAACGGCTCGCGATGGCGTGGCGAAGGTTATGTCAGAGATTGCATAACGTGCTCGAGGATCGACGGCAATCGGTCGGAGAAAGTACCAACCTAGGAGCCGGTCTTGCCCGCGCGTATCCTCGTCCCATGACGCAGCTCGTCTTCGTCCGATTCGCCTGGAATCCCCACCAAGGAGTGTTTCGAGTGAAAGCGTCAACGTAATCGCCGGTGCATCAGACGGTCCAGATTCCTAGGATGAACAGAATAGCATCGTGCTGTAATAATGATATACTGACCCTTACGTGGCGATATTATCCGGTCGGGGAAAATTGTTCGAATAAAATTAACATTTGTGGAGTCTAGCTCGTAGATTGATTTTGTGATATTATAATTGTTCAACACTTTCAAATTGAATTTTGAAAGTAACAAAATAGTTGATTAGACACTTTAAATCAGTAGACTGTTTAGATGATATTTTGTTTGAAAATACTTTTTTAAAAGCTTTTTAACAAAATGTTTGTTATTGAATTCTATATTAATCTGATTCTACACAAGTGAGAAAGAAAAAAATATTTGAAATAGTAGTGCCAAAAATGGCAGACAAACCGTGTGGCGTATTGGTACACTTACGATTGTCAGTGGATTAATAACGAATATGTTTCGAAGTGTATAAATTAAAATAATGAATTAAGTAAATATTTCTGTTAAATCTAGATATTTAAGTACTCAATATATAATTTTTGTCGCGTGTGGAAAATATATCAGTAGGTCAGAAAAATAAACGGTTGCGTACACAAAAGTGGGTACGCTCGGGGTAATTTTGACACTGGAATCAGGTTTCCAAGCGGTTCGGTCGTCTTGCTCAATTTTCAGGTTCGAGCAGGTTGTCACGATTGCAAGATATAATTGAACATTGCGAGGAACGGTTTCCCAATCGACAGAAGGATACACAAGTGACATGCACCGTGGCTTTAATTTTCGTCTCGCGGTCGGACCCCAATGAATGCATTGCGCGACGCACATTTCGCTGCACGCGTTGAAGTCTCCACTACTGGACCTCAGGCATTTTAAAAGTGGCTCTGTTAGTCTTATGATTCTCTTTCAATCATTTCTTCCCGTTGGTACTAGGATCATAAAATGTACAGTTTATATATTTACGCATAAGAGGATTCTTCGAATGAAGAAATTGGAAAAAAAATTAATGATACTGTTTAAAATTACTTTACATTGAGGTATATCGCGTGAGTCATTCGGTGTAATTCGTTACTGTTACATAACACAGATAATCTAATTACCTTCGGAATAATTTACTCTAAACTACAGCTGGAAAATTGAATGAATTTTCTGAAATCATCGGAAGTGAGAGTGGTTGCATAAACGCACTGGGAAGTAGGAAGACTTCTCAATTCGTTGGAAAACGAAGTTACGATTGCGTGACTTGAAAATTTCACGGATCTATCGCTGTATTGTTTAAAAAAAAAAAGAAAAAACAAAGAAACATGCGTACAGGTTCATTCATTGTATTCTATGTTCCACAGCCGAGTACATATTACCGTGTAGTAGATCTGATCCAAAGATAGAAGCATGCTTCCAAAAGACGCTGAATCATCTTCAACCGTATTTATTGAAAGGTGAGACAATATTTCAACGCATCGAGTATTCTATCGATTTTCCTCTTCTTTGGGACACTATCCTTTTAGGTATTCCTGATCTGGACCTACCTCCCATCGAACCGTTAATTATTCCGGAGCTCGGAATGGAAAATGGACAGGGTGCAGTGCGTATTCGAGCTTTATTTTCCAATATCACCGTGATAGGGGCGGGTAATTATTCCATTACCAAGGCACGAGTCGACGTGAATACGTACAGGCTCGACCTTCACCTCGCGTTCCCGAAAATCGAGCTCCAAGGCTACTACGAGGTGGTCGGAAACGTGCTTCTGTTTCCAATTCAGAGCCACGGCGACTTTTGGGCTCTTTTTGGTAAGCCAAAGTACTCTGTACTAACTCGATCCACGGTAAACTATGAATGCTTTTGATAATTTCGATTTTTGAATAATGGAAAAAGTCTCGGCTGAGACGCGACTTTAAGGGATCAAACCATCCCTCGATGTTTCGATCCGAAATTTTTTTGTTATGAACAAATAACATTTTGGACCATTAGTTACCACCCAATTATTCTACATAAAAAACCGCAAACCTCGTTCATTAGAAGTTTTCATGTATCTTTGGTTTTCGATATAATGCCTTCGGGTCGAAACTTTGAGGGTTCGTTTCACCCCTTAAAGTCGTTTTATGACCTTGAAAAACCGTGAAAAAAAAAGAGTTGACAAAAAATTTGCCATAATCACGTTTAAAGCTTTCTTGAAACCATGCTATACCTAATAAAAACATTTTCGACCGGACTGTTAATAACAGAGTAATCTTTACTGATTACGTTTCGTGGTTCGCCTTGTATGTTTCGTGATTATGCCTGATATTGCCCCGTTTTTTAGGCGACGTACTGGCCATCGCCCGTATCCAGGGGGCCGAGGAGATTCGGGACGGCGTTCGTTACCTGAAAGTCGCTCGTATGTTGGTGGACTTCAGTCTGGGCCGGGCTCGGTTTCGTATAGTCGATCAGCTGAACGGCGACAACGTGATCGGCCAGGCGATGAATCAGTTTCTCAATCAGAACGCGAAGGAGATCATCGAGGAGATGAGACCAGCTGCAAGCGCGAGCATCGCGAAACACTTCAAGGACTTCCTTGGCAAAGCCTTGACCAAGGTGCCGCTGAAAGTTTGGCTTCGGGACACGTAGCTTCACTCTAGGTCGTCCGTCACGAAGACGAGAAATTCAATTGCTTTCGAGGAACTCCACACGCTGTGACCGCGGCTCTGTGCGACGCGATTCAATTAGACGGACTGACTTGGTGCTCTCTGGAATCGAGGGATCGCACGTGTCACTCGAATAGACGCTCGATTAATAAAATTTTGGAATTTTTTTTGTTGACAAAATTTCCATTTTCACGCTCGTTGGATCGCTTGGACTGTATGGGGTACTCGAGTACACTTTAAATAAGGATTGTTAGCTACAATTATAGATATTAATTAGGATTTTTTAGTATAGTAGAACCTCGATTATTATCGGTTATTGATGATTTATGTGTTCTTTTTGTATTGGGGGTTTTATTTTCTGCTTTTTGTAGTATTTTTAAATCCTTGTACTTTTTTTGGAATGATATGTTGGAGAGTATAGTTTATAGAGAATTGTATTGTAGATCTGTTAAAATGATTATGATCGATGATCCCTCGTTTTCACGTCTTACAAGTTTTATTTATATTTCCATTGATTTCGAATTTGATCCAGTGTTGTATACATGTGTGGGCAGTCGTGAAATAATCAAGGTTCTAGTGTAACAATCGTTTTACTGCTTCTGAAGGTGAACTGAAAGCGTAGCCCAGTGTATTATTAATTATAATAAGCAGTGATCTCTCACCTACCTTACACCTATCAATCGCATTTTATAAAACCATTTACATCTACAACATTAGGTTAACAACAGTTCGGTTTGGAGTAAATATTTCGTAGATCTTAAAAAAATAATCAGAATCGCAACAAATAGATTACTGATCTGAAACTTACAATTATATTATTCGAAACTAATTAGTACATAAGGTCTCCAGCAATGCTCTCTCTCTCCATATATATATATCAATAATTCTCAACCGCATTCGTTTAAATTTTTATCGCTGAAGTTCGAGGCTTGTCTCGTCGAATGTACATACATGATTTCGCTTGAAGTCTTTCCGCGGTGAATAGTCACAATCAAAATGTTGGGAATACTAGCCTGTCTAGGATTATGCGTACGATTCATTTTGTAAATAGATTGTTTGTAAAATACAATTTCAAGTTTCGTAGCAAAATTATCTATTCTTAACCCTCTTGTAACGCGACACGTCACCATTGTAGATACATATTTTCGCTAAGGGATAATGAACGAGGCTGGAGAGAAGCTTCTAGATAATGCCCTCCCTCTGGACAACGAGACTCCCGGACTTTTTTGTTTACAAAGGTAACGACAATCCTGGCGAGCAATAACGAATCAGCTGGAGCCGAGAAATATCTGTCGAGACGTACGTATATTCGCACCGTGTTATCCCCGTCACGATTACCAGCTATCTACTGGCCCTTTCCGATTGAAGAACAATAGGTTTACTTAGAAAGGTGGAATGGTTCACTGTAAAAGTATGCTAAATAGCATTAAGAGAATATTTCAATTAATCAGTAGAGAAAACAGATTATACTTGTGTATTTTACAATCGTTTACTGTTCATTAGAGTGCATTCTATCAGGCGATAGTCATTTTCGCCAAACGCCACGCGATCACAGGAAATTCCTATCTAGAGTCGCGACAAACATCGCTCATTAGAAAGTACTTAGATCCTTTAATCTGTCAACCGTGTGATTTCCCGACCAGAATAATTACTTGAGCCGAAAAGTCTTCCAACAAATAAACAAGAAATACTCGTTAATGACATTATATTTGTACTGACATCAATTTACTTAACCCTCATCTGTCCCTTGTATCAATTTTACCCATTTTTCTCCTAAGAAATTATGACATTCTATTACGTGTAGATGAATTTACTTAGGACTTCATGATTTTTATTTTAAAGAATTTGCAAATTTAACTATTTATGCCTTCATCGTATTAATTTTTACCACAGTGCCACCTTAATGGGGGGGGGGGGGGGGGGAACCCGATAATGAATTAGAACCGTGGTTGGACCGTATCGGTCGACCTACGACCCCTTCGTCTCCCTTCCTTTCTCTCTTTCCATCTTTCGCCGTCGCGTTTTCTTTCGGCTCGTACCAGAGACCAGACTTATGTTCACACAGCCGAGTCACACGTCTCGGGAGAAGCGTGCTCGGTGGCAGACAGTGTAAACCAGGGGCGACAAGGGGTGATCGGGTAACGCGCCGTTATACATATAGTTCTATACGTATCCACGATAGCCGGGGTGATAACCGGTGGTCGGTGTTGGAGAGGAACTCTCGACAGGCCAGCAGTCGGTTCCTTGATGTAACGCGACGACGGTGTTTCTTTCGTCGAATCGAGGGTACACGAAGCGATCCAAGGCAGCCCCAAGTGCTCTTCAACCAAATTGCTCGGGACCATGATGGCTCAATTCACCAAGAGGCAATGGCTCACGCTGATAGTTATTAGCCTCGCGGACTTCGCGAACGCGATCTGCGTTTCACTCCAAGCGCCGTTCTACCCCCAGGAGGTGAGTTTGGATGAGATCCTTGCGTGGATAGTGGTGTGGAGCTGTCGATGAATTTGTGATCGTATTTGGTTAGATTCTTTTTCTTTTTTAGACGGGTGTGTTTGGGGGTTTTTTGGAGGACATTTGGTGGATTTAAATTTGTTTAGCTGAGACAATTGAGTCGATGGCGTACGTTTATCTTTTATCTTTATCTTGGTACAGGAGTAACTGGGACTTGTTTCTTGAACATTTATCTCCCCTAAAGTGGAATAATTGTAACGATAGATGGATCTAGTATTGACTGAATAATTTTACCGTGTAATCTTGTTGTTAGAACGGAGTCTAGATCGTAACTCGTAGGTTTCGTAGTATTTTCGTGTTGCTCGATGGAAATTTAGTTTATTTAATTGTAATCCAATCGTCGTAATTTCCATCGTATGAACTTTAGATTAAAGAGGTTAAGATTCTTCGTTCGTTGGTCGTAACTTACCATGCTTTCAGATGAGACACTCATTGTCCGGTTTTATTGTTCGATTATCGCACGAAAAATAGGGATGCATTGAAACGGGAATAAGAAATTTATTTAAATTTGTGCCACACGCGAAATGATCGATCGGTTGCCCCTAACGATTTTACGAAAGGCCTGGAACGTCGTTGGAAAAATGCTTGAATGAGAAGTCATAAAAACAAGTGAGATAAAAAAAAAGGTTTCCACACGCATAAAAATATTTCCCATGTAACGATTGCTTATCGACGGTCGTTTGTGCGGGGGTTAAATATGGACTTTGGCGTTTATGTTATCGGCTCGTGTGGTTCATTAAGTAGTACGGGTACATGTGCTGTCGCGATGCCTCAAACAACTATTTTTCTAACACAATTAACTATTTTTCTATGATTATATTTTGGCAATGTCGTCTGAAATATTTTTTAATTCCATTTACTTGCTTTAAAATTAAACGCTCTGTGGATAAATTTAACTCGTAACGTTATGTATAATTACTTATCAAATGGAAAAGCGTCATAGCTACGTAGGCGTGTATATATTTATCCGATTACGTGTACTAGAGGTTACTATGCTGGGGTATAACAAACATTTGTCAGACCGATTGAGGCGCCTGCTAAATCCAAACAAATCATTGTTTTCATCGTTATCAGTTCACGCATTATAATTGTACCAGAGACTTGTGAAATATTCTGTCACTACAATGATCGAGTATGCTTCTGTCGCCATAACAATGTCTTCCCGCGAAAAAGTGGACGATTAAATTGTCGAAAGAAAGCAAGTCAACAGAAATCGAAAGGCCGCGACGAAGGAATATTAATCTGAATTTACGATCATGCAAAGGTCGATGTTCGTTCGAGAAAACGGTTTCGATAACTCGTATTGGTAGACTGTTTTCATTCGAACATATTGAAATGTTTACGTTAATCGGCCGTGTGAAACGCAAAACGATGCTCCATTAACATTGCGACAATCTACTGACCGTGCTCGGTATCGTAAACAATTAGGGGAACGCAATTACGTGTACTTGTATCTTACTGATGAATGAAATTAATTTACAGAAAAGCATATGCATGCATTGCTTAATAATTATTCTTCTTTCTTGCATCAGGCTGCTGAAATATTTTCTCAAAACACCTGACGCAATTCGCCTAGATTGTTTACCAATTGAATTAACGCGAACTGCTGAATGTATATAGGGTGGTCGGTTTACGCTTAACTCTCATTAGTCGGGTCGTTAATGGACGTACCTTTAAGATAAAAGATTAACTGTGCAATTAGTAAACAATCAAGTAATACTGATGCACCGAAGATATCGTAAATCGGCGATATAGAGTACTTTTTCAATGATTCACGGTCACGACGAGTTATCTGTGATTCATTCAGTAGCGTTTCGTGTGCTTTCGCGATTATGATTATGTAACAGGATTTTCGGTGTTATTGTATCAAAATTACGATAATCTATGATGTAATTGTTAATACATTTTTCATAGCGTCCCTATCTTCATCTGTCGTAGGAAAAGCCTTGAAATATTCATACAGTTTCATCACCCTTCAATTTCAATGTCATTTTTCACACTTCACTTCACATCAATTACACTTTTTTCACTGTTCTTTCTTCTTTTCTTTTATTAACTCATTTACGATTTCACATATCTTTCCACTGCAAAATTCAACACCTTTTTCAAAAACACTTCTGCTTTTCCTTGTCCATGATAATTGAGTTTTTTTTTTAAGTAATCGAAGGGTCAAGTATATTTATTTGTTATAATAATATTTCTTGCAGGCAGTCCTCGCCATAGGAAAAAAATGAAAGACTCTCTACTACACGCGTAACCGAGGATAAACTCATGATAATCCTTATCGTTTCCACGCGAAACGATTAAATACCCTTGTCGCAATATATCATAATTTGTCTAACCTCGACAAGACTATATATACCTAATTACGTATAATAAGCCGTAATCTGTCGAAGAACGAAACAAAAATATTCTGATTAAGACATTTTCGAGATTTCACAATCTCGGAGAAATTTCTGCCTGCGACAAATTTCGTGTCCGAAAATAGCCGTTTCCCGTTCGAAATTGGTCCAGTGACATTGAATGAGACGCTAAAATTTTGTCCGATGCTGATACGCGGTTCAATCCAGTCGATTCCAGTATCGTTTCGGACTTAACGATCATAAAAGGGGTCGTGACCCAATGAAATCAAAATCATACCAAACAAAAGCATCGTTTCTCACGCAATGCAAAGTTTTTCACATTTTCTAAAATCATAAAAATCATTTTTCATTTAACTGTTTGAAAAATCTAGAGTTTATCGAGATTTATCTCCGCGAGTGTTAATTGCAATCCAGCCAGATAATTGTTAACCTCAGCATACCTTGTCAGCGTTTTAAATCCCGGTAAAAGTGCCACGACATTGTTTATTTAATTCTAATTGCATGTTTTTGTGTCCACAGGCCGAGAAAAAAGGTGCAACCTCATCGGAGTATGGATTGGTATTTGGGATCTTCGAGCTGGTCGTCTTCATTATCAGTCCTGTCTATGGGCAATACGTGAGTGAACCATTTCATTATCTAATTAATATTCATCAAATGTACCTTGTATCAATATAAACTTAAAGAAACAATTTTGTTCGTAACGCTCGGTAATTTAATATCAATATTTGTCTACATACGATTAAATATATTTTTTTACTATCTAATCGTTTTTCTAGACTCGTTCAGACTCTGTTACAGTTATGTTAAATATTCAGGTTATGAAAAGGAAGTAGTAAACAAGGAAAATCATACTGAAATAGTTTTCTAGATAACACTTTATCCGTGTGACGCCCTACTCCCCGATGAACGCCCGAGAAACGTTCGCTACGTCCGCTTTGATGTCGGTGGTTTGCCTGTGTCTAGGCGGCGCCCGTTTTATCAGTAATGTTTTTCATTCTTTCCTGACGAAATACCGAACGATCGTTTCTCTTGCGCCGAAATAAAACGCTTATCGTAGGAAATGGTCGTCCGAAATTGTCAAACGATCTCTTCTGGTCTATTTACGATACTATAAACATCCTATCATTGGACCGTCAGAAAAATAAGTTGGTCGAAGGGTCTGCGATAAATCACGCATTAAAAACCGTTATCGGTCTAAACATTATCGAATTCAGACATCCTATTACCTCAATGACAATTTCGTCTATTTTCAATAATAACTCTTTCATTAACGGAACAATCTTTAATCTTAATTAACGGAAATTATTGGTAGTGTTTCAGAGATTGATTATAAAATGGTGTCAGTATTTTTTCGGACCCTACAATACGAAATTAATTGCTAATTATTACAATATATCCTAGTTAACCCTTTAACGCTTAGTGCTTCACATATGTAAGTAGATCTCCATTCAAGTGTTTCCTCCATAAATAAATAAAAAAAAAGAATAGAAAATAGATTTGTTTAAATATCGATATTTTCGACTTCAAAATAACAATATACAACATACATATCAGTCATATAATTTTAAAATAACGATTTAAGTCTGGGCGTTAAAAGTTGAATACCATTCCTTGAGAAATTCCATTATATTTCTCAAAAAAATTAATCCACACGAACACAAAGCCTTCCATTCATTATTCTTCTACAAGGATCGATTAATTCTCAGTTCCAATTAATGTTCCGACTGCTCTACATTCTACCTGTTCGTTTCAGTTGCACCGTATCGGGCCGAAGTTGCTGTTCAACGGCGGCATCATGACCACGGGCACTTGCGCCATCTTCTTCGGTCTCCTGGACAAGGTCAACGGCCATTATCCCTTCATAGTCCTTTCGTTCGTAATTAGGATCGTCGAGGCGATGGGGAACGCTGCCTTCCTTACGGCTAGCTTCGCCATTATCGCCAAAGAGTTCCCGGACAACGTGGCCACGACCTTCGCCAGCCTCGAGACCTTTTTCGGTTTTGGTCTGATTGTCGGGCCCACCGTGGGCGGTGCCCTGTTTCAGGTAAGCCAATAAATTCCTCTCTGTGACATTTGTCGCAATCTGGTGCTTTCAGGAAAACCTATTAACAGTGGCTTGTCGATCGATCGTTTTTGAAACGTCCCCACCGATGAATCACGTGTAATAGTTCACGTTAACGACCTTAATTAGACGACCAGTGGAAAATGAACTTTCAAAGGCTTTAAAGGCTTTTGGCAATCTTTTCAGTATCTGTATAGTATAGCTAATGGACATTTCAATAACAGGTTGGCGGATACACAACCCCGTTCGTTGTCCTGGGATCGGCTTTGTTCGCAACTGCGGTCAGTACCATTTTCATTCTACCGGTTCATACTAACGATAGTCTGGCTACTCACACTACGGGAGGTGAGACTTTAATGTTTATTACTATAATTACAAGATCATCCAGAATGCTGGAATGGATCACTAGAAGTGTTCTTTGTGTATGATTTTTCTAGGTGTGACGAAAGCTCTGAAGATTCCCGGTGTATTGGTCGCCACAGCGTCCATAATCGCGACTAGTATGAGCATAGGATTTTTACAGGCGACGCTGGAGCCGCATTTAAGGCAATTCGAATTGAGTCCCGTCATTTTGGGCTTAATGTTCGTCCTTAACGGCGCCACTTACGCCATTACGGCCCCGGCATGGGGTTGGCTCTGCGACAAACATTCCCATCCGAAAGTAATTTATCAGAATATCAATGAAACTACTCGTTAAATGTTCTTGTAAAACAAAAAATTCCAAATCATTATATTGCCACTTATTTTTATTACTTTAGTTCCTTGGAGTATACAGTTCCTTTTACGATTATTCACTAATTTATTGCGTTTTATTTATTATTATTGTTTGATCGATTGAATAATTTTTAGGTGGCAACCGTGGCAGGATGTGTTCTTGTGTGCGTAGGATTTTCTCTGGTCGGGCCAGCGCCTTTCATACCATGCTCGACGATTCTCTGGATGACCATTTCCGGTCTCGTCGTTCACGGTCTCGGCATGGCTGCACAGCTGGTTGCTAGCTTCACGGATGCCTTGAGAACGTCCATGTAAGTAAGCCGACAGTTTACGAGAAATTACTTAAAATATTGGACATTGAAGAATAGATAAATTGTTAGATCAAGGGATTAAGTAGACTAATTGAGATTAAAGAGTTTAATAATAATTCATTAACGGTGAACTAATCTAGTAATATAATTATGATTGATGTTTAGAGAATACGGGTTCGAAAATACTCTCGAGACATACGGTCTCATCAGCGGATTATGGACGAGCACCTTCGCCCTTGGTGCCTTCATTGGACCCAGCGTGGCGGGGATCCTTATGGACAATATAGGATTCAGAAACGCCTCGATGTTCATCGTATTACTCCATCTACTAGTGGTAAATTATTCTTCTTTCTACATTAATAGCAAATTACTTAACTTTCCTCCAGGATCATCCCCCAAACAAACAATTATGTTTAATCAGTTTAAATTCGACGTTAAAATCATCGGTAGTTCTTGTGATAAAAACGGTACCCATAAGAACAATGTATCCCAAAACTTCAAGTCTACTTCACTCAAAATGTATTTAAAATACAGGTAATCCTCGTATACGGTAAATTTACGTGTCGTATTAAACTAAGAACTAGCATGCACAAACAAGATTAAATTCCAGAAATTAACGAAACTACATTATTTTACATAATTCTTCAACCGTATTAGAAAGAAATCGCGTTATACAGGGGTTGACTGCATTTTTACAAAATCCATTCTAGGACTCCCCCTATTTTAATAATCCAACAACTACCGTTCCACTCACCTAATAATGAACAATAATGAACAATGTAGTAACAAATCTACTTACTGAAGGATATCAAAGAACTAAGGCCTGTTGCGCACTGTCGACATGTCGTCGAACAATAAACGGCTCGAAAATTGTCAGTACAGTAAACCATCGATGAGTGTTCGAAGACAAGGAAAAGTCTCCAACTGTAACACTGACCTTTTAACGAGATTTAGGTCCCTTTCCTCAAGTCCACCAGAAAGTTGTTCAAGGAAACAGATACCAACGAAATCTTACCACTTTAATGGTCCCTTTTCTTAAATCTCCCAGAGAGTTACTCAAAGGTACAAACATCGCCGAAATCCAGTAATTTCGATGGTCCCCATTCCCCCAGAAACTTTCTTCGACCAATTTTCTGAACAACCCAGGGAACAGACCGATCGAAATGCCCGGAAACATCGAGATTATGCACGACGATCTCTGCGATACCGACAATTTTCGAGTCGCCCCAGCCAGTCTGCTCGTTCAGTCGGCCAATGACCAGTCGACAGTGCTCGCAACATGCCTCGAAGGGTTTCTGTGATCGATCGGGCCCCGAAAAACCGTGAACAAACCGAAAACGATGAAAAATCACGATTGGTTCCCAGGGCGTGACGGCGGCGGTCTTCCTCAGCGGTTGCACGCGACGACGAAAACCGTACACGGAGATCAGTGCCGCGGACGACCCGAGGATACCGCTGACAGACAGCGGGCAATCGCGTAGCGGGAGTCTACGGTACGCAGGACGGGGCCAGGGTGTACCGATCGACAGGCCCAGCGGCATGAATTCCCTGATCGCGTGCAACAGTTACTCGAACAGGGCGGGCGCATGGTCACGGGCGTCGTACAGCGGACGGTATTCCCACAGTTACGGTTCGATCGAGGCCAAGAGGTACCTGGAGATGACCACGTGATGGGGCCCCGTCAACGCTTGAACGGAGGAGTACATATATCCTGGGCAGGGTCGTGTGGTTAACGTCTTCGGTCCCCTATGTCGGTCCATTTTTTCTTTCTACTACAGTAATGTCTCGATGAGTTCGACATACTCGGGTCCACTTCGGAGCATTCGTGGGAAGGCGGAAAAGTTTTCAGCCCCTCATAAATTTGTCTTTTGCCCAAAGCCTCCATGGCTTCTGTTTACTCTGTTTCGATTGGTTCCACAAGAGGTCTCCCCCAGTTGTGGGAATAACGCCGTTGCTCGTGTCGCAATTATCGAGGAATCACTTTACTCGCGAATTGAACTCTATCTCTCTCTTCGTCTCTTTTTCTACTCTTCATACACACTTGATCCTCTTCCACCGCGACAGATTTGATTCTTCGAGCGTATTAAAAATGAATTTCGTCCAGGAAAGAGGTTATGTTTCTGGACGAGGTGTTGTTATGGAGATGAATCGTTGAATCTTGGACAGCGGGAATCGGATAACTTACCTTTTTCGACTGGGGAAATTCGTTTTTTTATATAGACTCGAGGTTATTGTTAATGTTGCTTCGTCGAGTAGGATGGTTTTCAACTGTTTGGTAATTTATACCAGAGATATCTTACCACGGATAGGTCGTTCAACCGCGCCGGTTAACAAAAGCGTCGATGACACAGTCTGAGAATTAAGTGGATGTCCCGAGATCGGTCGCTGTCGATTGTTTTCACATGCCAAGAGTGCCAAAGAAACGTACGTAGGATCGTGGAAAAAATTGTACATACATGCATGCTCTCGTCTCGTCTTATAACAGTTGCACGGCATTTATGTATCTCGTCGGTGTCGTAGCCTCGATTATGTTAAACGTTATAGTATAATTATCGCTGAACATGTCCTTAATAAAAGGAACATTTTTATTTAATAAACGATTGTCATTTTTACGTATACAGTTGACACGTGTATCTCTATCTTAAAACAAGAAACTACCCCGGGGACTTCAAAGATCGAGGATCATCACCGAACAATTGATCAAAAATGATCCAAATATCATAAATTATCAATTTCTGCAATCAACAAATACCTCTACCCAGATAGCATATAAACCCTTCAAGACGTCCATTTTACGGCTATTTTAAGTCGTCGTGTGCTATCTGGGTAGTTTGTATCCTTTTTTTAAATCTACCACCTTTCATCCATGAAGGCGTATCTCCACTAGAAATATCGAAAAATTAATCGATCAGCCAAAAAATTAGTGAAAAATGGAGAAATTCTAGATGCTATCACCACAATAGTATCGAATACTTCGAAGCCACATTGGACCAATGTTTTCTGACGCGTCGGTGAAAGAAGAAAACGCAGTCGCGTATTTTCCATCGTTGTCGCCGGTGGAACTGCAATTTTCACTCTCGATCGGCCGTCACACGATCTCCCCATGGGTCCATAGCAACGACATGTTTTCTACGTTCGCTTTGAATTCCAAGGCGTTCGCGCATACGTGACACACCCACGCACGTGCGCGCGAATTCTTCGGAACAATAGCCCCTCCGACGACGCCGCGGCGGACCCGCACGTGCATACGTGTATGTGTGTCTGCAAAGACACCGGAGGAGTCGATGCATTTCTGCCTGCTTTCGCACGGAACACGCATCGATGATTCATTTCGTACACTACCGGTTTCAAGCTCCAAGTGAAACGCACGCCCCGTTCGACACTTTCGAAGCGTCGAGACGCCACGTGACTCGAAGACCAGCTGCTTGTTCGATACATTGAAATGTTTCAAAGTGTCGTTAAATTCCTCGTCTAAACTATTGGTATTCAATATACGATTCTTTTAATAATTGGTGGAAAAAATGTTGGTTTAGAATATTTCTTATGGGTCGTTGCACGCTTTACACCCTCTTGTATGTATGCGAAAGTTGCTCATCCCGATCGGAGACTTCCTTTGTTAGTCGAGCGTGAGGACTAGGGTTAGAATTCTTGAAAGAAACTTCTGGTCATTCAGATAGTCCCTTTATTTTCTCCACTATTCCATCATTTTTTGTGTAATATTTTATTAGATCACGTCTATTTTTGAATCAGTTTTTCAGTACGATAGTAGGAATAAATAAAAGATAAAAAGTAGGACTTTGCGATTTATAATTGATTGAACGTGGAAGTTCCAACTTTTGTAATAAAATAATATTTCTTCCTTTATGTGTAGATATTTGGCTCTGGATTGATATTTGCATAAAGATTCGCAGTCTAGTAATTAGTTAACGCTCAGTACTTGAAGCAAAGGCACAAGGAAACACGGGTTTCATTTACACTATCCAGGCAAACAGGCGTCGAGCTTAACGCGAAACAGAAAAAATCGTGAATGATAATTGCTGGTAACAAACCGGTGGTTCGAGCATGAGGCTGGAAACCACAAACGCGGGCGTTGATGCAATTGATATAATTAGTCAGCAAATTAGCGCAGTTAATGTAAGGTGATCGCACCGTTATGAAACGAATTACAACACAATTAAAAGCGTCTCTAACCATACAACTCCATTTTACTTAGTTCCCTTGAACCGTAGAATTTCAGAGAAAAGTCTCGAATTCTCAAAAATTTTAAAGAGATTGGTTTAATAATTTCTTCACAAGAAATTCCAAAAGATTCTTTCGTTTCTAGTCCGTTTACATCAGGCTCCTTCCTTGAAGTGTTAAAAAGCCTTTTGGGCCGTGAACGTCGTCGCCCGCCATCGTTCGATCGCCCCTTTATAAATTCCCTTCGCATACTTCGGAACCGTAAGCCTGCGGCCGACAGGCTTTGATTTAAGACACGACGCTTCTTCCGGGAAGACATCCGATAAGACGATCGTAAATTCACGAATCTAAAGGGTACTCTGCACGTGTACATCCGCGCGAATTCGAAGTTCGTACGAACGCGTAAACAATAGGTATAGATCGTTGTGACTATTTCCTAATGTTCGTGGATCCCCTCTGCTCGCTCGTGTGCATCGACCTGCCCGGAAATTATTCGATTCTACGTGTAGAACTGCAGCCTTAGGAGGGTCCTCTTTAATCGTCTCGAGGGTGACCCTGTTTCTGGGACCAGGGAAGTTCAGATTGCAATTTGGATAGAGAGTTGAACGGGTAAACAGGAAGCAGGGAGAACACTCGAAAGACTCTGGTAATAACAATTTCAGAATGTCTTGCTGTATCGTAATTTTGTAATGTTCTGGAAATTATTGGCAATGTATATACATCTGTAGGTCAGCGATTTGTCAACCAAGAAATTTATTATATATTGCAGTTATTTGTTGTATTAGGTTGAGTCGTAAATAACTTCCGTTTTGATGTTTTTTAAATCTATGTTCGTCGTTACGAATTACACTCTAAATTTAATTATGGATGTTCTGTTTAACTAATCCAGTGACCATTGTTATTCAATTGTCATTTAGTAATTGTGTTTCCTAACAATCACAGATTTATGACTCGAAACCGAACAGTTGTGTGTATGAATCGTGGAAGTACAGATTAATATACTCTTTTAGATTAGTCTACTATTAATATACTCTTTACTTGTTCTGTTTCGAGAACCTAGACGAAGATTATATGAATTATTGCAATTTCCGGACCTAACATTGTGAAAGAAAGGGAAACAGACAACGGACAAATCGACGTAAATGGTTCAGGACGATGACCAAGTAGATAAAGCGTGGCAGGAATACGGGGCCAGGACACCGTAATTATTTTTTCAAACACAGACGAGCATGAAAGCGAAGCATAGGAACGAAAGGAAGAGGAGTGAATTATTAACGTACGCGCTGGGGGTCAACGGTGTGCATCCAAGTGTCCGTGGATGCAGGTTATCCCCTTTTCCTCTCGGTTTCTTCTCCTTTATTCGTGTCTCGAGCGCGAGTCGCGAAACGTTGCGTCGTGGATCCCCCCTGTGTGTATCACCTGTAGATCGAGGAAGAAACAGCACGGTCGAGGGCGCAGTGATGATAATCATCCGATCGACGACTTTTTTTCTATTCCTTTTCCTTTGTTTCGAACTTCGTGGTAAATGCTTCCTCGATTATCTTCGGTACATCATTATACATTTTTATTGTTGTTCCACGAATGAGTATTCGAGTATCGTAGCAAAGCTTAGAATAACATTCTCTTACCTGTATTAAATAAAACATTCACTATTTTGTAAATTTTCATGGTGATATTATTTAAATGAAAAATATTTTGTCGATTCTGGATAAATTAAGATAATGAAGTTTTATGAACTATTTTAGTGGTAATTTCTTTAACATGCATTTTTGGACGGTGTTAATATTATCGAGAATTGATCGAAGAAATAATTCTTACGCCACTGCGACGCTGGGATTCGAGGATTAGTCGAAGCTGCCACCCGAAGAAGAATATCCGTCGGTGAATAGTCCAACGAATGAAAAGGAACAGGTTCACGAAGGATTTACCGGTTACCCGGGTGTCCCTTCGTTCTAATCATCGCGTTTATTCAGAAGACTACCAAAGTCTGCGTATTTAGAATCCTCGATCACGATCTGAAATCCTATACGTGGATTGTTATAATCAGATTTAGGTAGGGGCTATATTTCAATTCATTTCTACTTTATCATATAAAAATAATTATAACCTTAACCAGACCAAAACCAGAAAGAATTCTACAAAAATCCAACCATCACATCTATCCCCTTCAGCAAAGAAATAATCTTCAGTCTCTCTGATTACTGTTGATTCGCCTTTTATTTAAAATTCTCATTAGATAAGCCCAATGCGCATCTATTTTTTTGTCTATCTAAAGATTAAAAAAAACCGTTCTTACGCCACTGTGATAAACACCGGCCGAATCGAATGTCAGGTGAGGTGCTGCCACCTGAGCAGGAAAATCCACAGGTGAACAGCGAGAGAGAGCATAGGAATACGGCGTGAAAAGGAGCAGGTCCAAGTAAGAGGGTTGTCGGTTACTCCGCCCCCACCAAGCGGCCCGCGCGACCGTGGAAGGGGTTGGGACGCATGCGCGTAGCGTGGTGAGTCCTTCGGACGAAAGCGGCGGCCAGCTCGAGGGGCCCAAAGTCTGTTGCCATCGTGAGGGAAGGCCTCGGATCGCGCTCGTCGCCAAGTGTCTCGTCAGTCTACGTTTTCCCGCGTACCCTTCGTCTTGCCGCGAGTTTTTCCCCCGGTGCCACGAAAAATCATCGTCTCGTTTACGGTTCTACGCGCGAGTGTACCACGTGCCCACGGGGATATTAAAGACTACGCGAAGACAGTTCACAGAGTCCGACAGGATCCGGGAGCAGTGGTACGTTTGTGTTAAATCGCGTTAGTGTTTGAGAAGTGTCATGGGGATCTAGGAACACCGGTGAGGGTGAGTTTTAATATTTCTTCGTAAATGTATGTGAATTCTTGTTTTCAGTTGATGGATCTAATAGGGAGAGATCCATAGTACTGAATTTTAAGGGGAATAGTCGTTGATTTTGTACGGTACTCAAGGATTGCTGGAGAAAGAATGATAGAACACGCGGTTATTATTGAGTTTTAGATTGTGAATGTTTCTGTAGATTCTTTCTTCCTTTTCCTTGTGGGTCGTCTAATAGACGCTCCCGACGGAAGTGGTTCAGCAGCTAGGAATTAATATCGTTGAACTTCCTGGTGCAAGATACACCCGTAACAAAGAAGGGCAGCTAACCGATGCACCGACCGGTGATTTGAATGCGCGATGCAGTGATAAACCCACGCATACCGCTTTTAGACGCTCTTTAATCACCGGTCGAACATAAAAATGTAAAGTTGCTCGGTTTTATCTCCGCGATCATTCGGTAATTGGAATAATTTTCCGAGTCGAGGTGCTCGATCCCAAATATTTATTATCTTCGACCTGAAAACATCAATAAGATCACAATTGTCATTATCTTCCCAGTTTATTATTTTTGTTATTATATTAAAATAATCACAGCTTTCGTTATTTTCTTATTTCAATTCACACTAAAAGGAAGTCAAGTTTCAAGTGCCATTTGTACCATTTATAAACACATCAGACTCTACGTTTACTCCAATTGATTACTACCGAAGAATAACCGGAAACGGGCGGTGTTAATTACCGAATTCACGACGAATCAGTCCGTGGCGATGTTCACGATCGCATGAATGGATTTTAACGTCTTTCAGAAAATCCGACTGGAAGGAGTCGATGGCGGGTTAGGTGCAATCGGAGGATCGGTTAGGGCATTTGAAATTGTGATTCCAGGCGTGTCCGAGAAGGGAAGGTTCGGACGAACGGACGGACGGACGTTCCTACGTGCGCCTTCGTACAGATCGAATCACGCTAGGCTAATGCGTCGAGTTGGTGTGTTCACAGGCGTACGCGCGCGTGTTTGTGTATGTGGGTAGATGTATCCACGGTGGAATCTTAAGTATCCTTAAGTATCCTGTGGCCTCTCGCGGCGAGAAGAGTTGCCATCCGGATCGTGCGTTTAGATTTAAGGGAAAAGGGAGAATACTCGCGCAAATTATCGTATCCCAGCTGAAGTAATTACTTAAGTGCCCTCCCTCGAACGGCCCCGGCTAGATGCGTTTCGTGTTTTCCACTTCGTTTCGGAATTTCCTGAAAGGTATTCTATCTTGCGACCCCACAGCATCGAGGAAATGGACGTAGGAATGGACTTCTGAAACCATCTTTTGTATTCCTGCACGGTGTCCAGATAAATTAGACGGTAATTAGTGGATATTGAAAAATAGACGGTTTTCTATCAGGGTCCCAAATTATTTTTCACGGATGGAAAAATTTGATCAAATCTTTAGGAAAGTATATTAATCATTTGCACTCCGCTGACTCTACAACAGCGACATGTATCGTCGAAATCTGCAATTTTTCTTTATTTGAATAAAAACTAAATTTATAAATTCATTTGAAATTATAATCACTTACAGATTTTTGTTAGGAGATGAACGGTATGCATCTCGGAACTGACACAACCGAGATATTCTGTCGTTATTAGTCATTCGTGATAAAAGAGTTTTGGATTGCTAAGGGTTAAACTCTGGTTAATTTCCATCAAAGTACTCTTGGAAAATAGAAGTTCGAAATAAACAGTCTGATCGGCTTAATCTTGAGAACACAAGTAACGTTCCGTTGTAAACAGATCACCTTAACCGAGTCGCATACATAGATGTTTTCCCATTTCGTCCAACTGTCACCTTTAAATATTCATTCAAACTTGACGTATACATATACAGGGTCGTTCATCAAACATTATTATTTCGATTTACGCGACTTATTATTGGTAGCCAAAAGTGGTTCACGTAGAGTTCATTGAGATCAACAAGAGGCTTATTATTTTGTGATAACAATAAAATTAACATATCTCCTAAATTAATGATTTTCTAACATAACTAGGTTAACACGTTTCAGCAAAGAATATTAAGATGCATTAACTGGTGCAATACAAAATATATATTTCTATTTAAAAAAGATCTTAATAACCCTCATATGCGTCTTCTGGAATATGCCCCTCCTGGAACCATTCAATTCTACCTGAACCATTTTTCGTTACAAATAATACCAATCACATAAATCGACGTAGTAATATCTGGTGAACCGCCCTGAATACCATCAAATGGATATACAAATATTTTTTTTCTAATCTCCCAAACCACGAAGAAGTCCTTCATTTCCTGTCCCCAAGCGATCTATCATCCGAGCGAAATTTCGCCTGTCTCCGGTCGCCCCGAAGCGCAGGCCCTCCACACAACCTGCTCGATCGTTTCCATGTGTTTTGCATATGAGATCGACCGGTGCGCAAGTGTGCGGGCGGGCACGTACGGTGTCGCCCCAGCTCGTGTGCCATCGCGGTGTTTGCGTATGGGTAGCCATGAAATGCAGTCGAACCGGCTGGTAGATGCATGCGCCGTGGCCCGGCCGGAGCCCCTGTGCCTCGCGGTCGGGTCCACTGGGCCCCGGAGACACGTTGCTTGCGGATTTTTCCCTTTTTTTTTTCTTCTTTTTGTAAAAAAATCCGTTCTTGTTACGATTGCAAGCCTGCCACGGGGAACGTAAATAAAAGTCCTTCCCACCGTTGGTTCGCCTTGGTCGCCGTCGGACAGGCCGCGGGAATTCCGCTTCGCGTATTTATCCGCGTCTACGAGTGGAAAAAAGGGCTTCGTCGAATTCATTAGGAACGGGGAAATACACTGACAAATTGATAGTTCGCTCGCGGTGGTTTCTTCTTACCTTCGGGGAAAATGCTGGTTAAACGTTTCGCGAAAATACTCCGAAATACAGTATTGCTCGATGAGTGTTAGGACACTTAGGATGCGGTTGATGTGACGAGGTGTTTGAGGTTGCTAAAAAGTGTGGTGTAAATATTGTTTAGTGGATATTGACACTAGATCGACCGACGATAAATTTATATCTGTTTTGATCTGTTGTTATACATGACGAACTTTTGAAAATTTATTAGTTAAGTAATTTCTTCAGTTTCGTAATGGAATGAAAGTTGCAAAAGATCTGAGAAAATTTATTCCTATACATTTTAATCATCGTTATAGGAGTGTACTGACTAGTCATTTTGACTTGTTTGGTAGTTCCAGTGTTCAAGTTTGGAAGACTATGCTAGATAGATAGACTATGAAAATTTTATTTTGCATAAAGAACCACAGTCTAGTTATGAAAAATTAGCTCATGAACAGTGTGTCTGTAATGTCATTGATGAGGTACTTTCACAAACATTACACAGAATGTAAGCACACGTACATATTTTATCACGCTCACGTCTCTTTGACAATTTTCACTGCCTGTATGCCTGCTTGAATAGACGATAAATTTTTGTAAAAGCAGTACAGACGAAGTAGACCTCGACCAATGCCAAAGATGCCCAATTCTAGGACACGTTCCGTCCTAGGATATCTTTCGACAGACCGAATTGCGAAACCCGTAACGCAATCCTCGGACCGTATAATTCATTCATCGGGCCATCAGGAACATTACGAAACGGTCCTGTCCTTCCGAACCCCGATTCGTCCAATTCCACGGACTAGTGACGACGATACACTTGAATTGTATCGATATTTACTATCGATACACATGCACATCGGGAATAAAATATCCATATTATTGGTATCGATACTTGCAATTAAATTAGAAGTAATAAAATCCACAAATAAAAATAAATTAAGAATTAAGCAGATGTTTACCAAATATCTTTAAATTAAAATTTTTTCTGAATTGTAGGGGGTATTAATCATTCGTTCAAGCATCATTCCGAACAATAAAAAATATGTTCTACAGCCGAAGAATAAAAAAAACCTCTTTCTGGTCGTAATAAATTCGTCTTTGAAGAGGTTAAAAAAATCCTAAATATCCCCTTTCGTTTCTGGTCGTTAAAGGGGAAAGGCCCCTTAAAAATCCATACGAAATATCGATATTTCAAATGAAAAGTATCGATATTCGAAATACCGATACTGTATCGCGCGTCACTACCACAGACCCAAATCGTGACGGAACAGATCCTCCCCCCCCCCCTGGATAATTCGTTCGTTTCGCGCGCGAAAGGGGGGCTCTCATTATTCGCCACCAAGCCATGGGGCACTTGCGTGTCGCGTCGTTACAACACGCCGCGAAACAGGAGAAGAAACAACGGAGCCGCCGAAAAAGAATTCCCCGGCGAAGAAAGGCTCGTAAAACCGGCGGGCATATACACAGTGGTCGCGCCGTGAGCAAGATCGAAGGGGGCCCCGATGTTGGGCCGTGTCCGTCGAACAATGCTTCCTGACGTCACGAGACTGCACCTGCGACCGCGCCGCCTCTCGCCCTGCCCTTGCATATGTAGCAACCACCCCGTGGGGCGCGTATACGATCGTTGGGACTTATTTGAAAACACGAAGAAATAGGTGCCCGTTGCCTTTGTGACGGATTTCTTCTGTTTATCGAACGACTGGGAGGGCAATAAGAACGGCTCGAGAGGGGAAGTAGGTTCCAGGGGGAACAATAAAGCTTGTAAACCCCGTTATCGGATATGGCAGTGTTCCCTTTTCTATAATGGCACTTTACAGAGATCTTTATAATGGCATGGTAATACGTATCGCGCAGATAACCGACAGTAGGCAGGCTTTGTTTCGTTTTGTTATTGTGGAGAGAGAGAGAGTGAGAAAGGTGCAGTGATAAGCGGGGAATACGTTGACGTTGTTCTGTGCAAGTTGATCGTCGGTTGCTTCATTCTTGTTATGGTGAATCGAGTCCAATACTATCTATAATCGAATGTTCAATCTCTTGTTGGTTAATGATCGAGGATTTCTTCTTCTGGAGAAATATTATTTCAGACATGGCATACTTTGTTCGTTTTCATTTTAATCACAATCTATAAAAATTAA